ATACCCCCTCCTTCATCTTGCCACTGTCTTTTTCCACATATCTTTCTTTCCAAAATTATTTTTATCAATTTTTTTACACAAAGAGAGAGAGAGAGAGAGAGAGAGAGAGAGAGAGAGAGAGAGAGAGAAAGAGAGTTATTATCTTCTCGTCAATCTCTCATTTCTTAGAAAACAACTCTTCTCCTCTCTTATTTTCACGTGTCACTATAATAATCTGAATTCAAATTTTGTTGATATTGTGATTTAAATAATTCTATTGTCATTTTTCTTCTTTTTGTTAAGCTTCTTTTCAAATATTATGTTTGTCATTATGTCTTTGATATTTCAAATATTTTTTATATTAATACTCTATTCTTCACATTATTTAGGTGATGCATTCAAATCTCACTAGTAATTTTAATTTTCAAAAATATATTGTGCTTCATCACATGTATAGACACTTCTTATACTATACTTATATTCATAATATCATGGCAGTTTGTCTTGGTCACTTCAAGTATGTCTTGTACATTGTTATTGAAGTTGGAAACTATATAAAAGTAATATTCGATGAGGGAGTAAAATGGTCTTGGTTAACTATCAATGTTTGGGATGATGGAAGTGAATAGCTTATTCCTAGTATGAGGTGCATAGCTCGAGTTGAAAGGAATGAAGGAACATAGTGATTGAAGATGCTGCATATTTAGAGAATGTTCAACAAAAAATATATGCTTGCTGGCCCGATCGATGTAGTAGTTGGGATTTGATGGAGTGCCCCACATCTTGTGATCCCCTACCTCAGATGTGGTTGTGAGCATGCCCACGGTGTTGTATAATATGATGATGATGAAAGAGCATGTAGAGGTCAAGGAAGAGACCATTCTACAAATGTAGTTGTCTTGACAAACTAGCAAGATTGTGGAATCAGAGGCTTACTTAGAGATAGATTATCAATAACCATTCTTTGCAAAAAAACTTCACTTTTTCAGGTCGAATTATAGGTAGTAAGGAAATCACAATGCCACTAAAAAATCATTGATCAACAACAGATTTGAGCATTTCATATTGAATGTGAAAAATGAGATGAGGTGAACTAAGAGATTCACAAAGCTTTCAAAACATTACATATATGTATCCCAAAATAGTAGAGGATATTGATCATCTCTTAGTCACTATATCAAGATGTCAAATTTAAAATTTATAAAATTTAAATCACTTTAAAATAAATCAAATAATCACATTGAGTTCAAGTCGAATCCACAAGGAAGAGAACAAATTGTGATAATTCCATTTGTTCTCTAAATAAAACTAAATCTAAATAAAAACTTAGAAATAAATAAAAATAATGAAAGAAATAATAAAAAGGAGTATGTGAGATATTTTTTTCTCAATCAACTATGATCAACTCCACCCTTTGTTTGTCCCCATCAAATTATAATATATATGAAAATAAGAAATTCAATGTAAATAAACTAATTTATAAATAGTTAGGAAAATCAAAGAGAACATTTTTATAAGTGGTCACAAAGAGGGAGAAAAAGTCTTTCTAAGTGGACTCTCTACTTGGTAGAGAAACTAAGGATGGAGGACATTTTTAACAAATCAATTCTACAAAATGGAACATTAAGTGTCAAAAATAGGTTTCAATTCAACAAAAGAAATCATTCAAAACACTAAACCTAAAATTCACTAAAAATCGAACATCCCCCCATGACACAAAAGATGAGGCAAACAAAAAAAATCTAGATTTGAAACAAATTAATTAATTTTTGTTGCAGACTATTTCATAAATAAATTTGACAAAAACTGATTTGAAATCATGAATTTCCCTCTTTCACACCAAGGACAACAAGCAAATGAGTTTGAGCAAAATCTTGAATGAACTATTTTTGAAACCACTTTTTTCTTTGATTCATTCACATGTTATCTCAATGAATCAAAGAAACGAATTTAAAATGATGTAAAGATTGGATTTTTGTTAAAAGTAACTCAAGAAATCAGTAAAACCACTCAAAGGACTCTAATGTTTATCACTTGACATAAAAAAGGAAGAAAAGAATCATATTTTCCCCCAAAATTAAAAGTTTTTATAGTCCCATTAGATCTATACTTCATTAGACATAGTGAGGAATCAACTTATTAAAAAAAAATGATTTTCAGATTCTAGGTGGCTTCTATTTTTCTGCCCATTTTCAGTTTGTTTATGGTTGCTTCTGGTTGTTTCTAGTTGTTTCAAGATGTTTTCACCCAAATTATCCCATTTTCTGAATCATTTCAATTGAATTAATAAACCAAAAAAATAGGCCGTAACAAGCTTTCTGAAATAGGTTCATAATTCACTTATAAATCAACATATTCCAGAAATAGTCTGAAAAACCGCCAAAAATTAAGAAAAAATATTTGTATCTATTGTGTAAGCTAGGGTTCTTGTGGAATCCTAATTTATCTTGCTCTTAACTTCCATTCCTTGCTACCATTCATTCTATTTCAATTTGGATCCTTTACTAGATCAAGGTTTGTATCACTATATGATGTAAAAGGTACGTCCTCAACATGGCACACATTATTTTTGAAATTCGAAGAACTTGCCAAATAATGTCCACTCTGAGTTATATCTTTTGGGGCTCATAATAGTTAAAAGAACAACCAATATTTGAGAACCAAAATAATGAAATCAAAAAACAACAACCAAATAATCTCTCTAAATACTACTTAGTTCCTTTGCAAGGCCAACAAAAGTACACATTGTTTCAGTCACTGAGTTGTAAAATTGTACTTACATGGTGCATCTTTATCATGGATATCAGGAACTTCATTTCTTGGGACTTCAAGAATATCCCCATCATTCTTATCTTGGGAGTTCAATAATGCCATGTAACTACATGCATCCAGCCTCCTATTTTGAGATAAATTATCCAACTTCATGACTATATTTATATTCTTTTCCTCTCTCTCCTCCACTTTTATCTTTTTTGAGTTTTTTTATCCACTAAATAATTCCCCATATGTAAATAAGTCAAAAGTGTTTGGTGATGCATACTCTTTGATTCTCATAATAATATTTAATCCCAAAACCTAAGTCCTATGATCGTGCTATGGATGTGGTAAAGATAAACAATTTTTTAAAAAACTTATGAGTACCTCCAGATGAATGCAAATTTAGAGTGTGAAAAATTATATATTTCAGGAATGAATTTGAGATGATAAATAAAATCTTAGTGACAAAGGCTCACTGTGGATCAATTAGCATAACCAATAACCATAGTATAAGATATTGTAAAAGAAGTAAGATGGAAATTCAAACCCACTAATAGCGTGTGGGAAATCCGTCATGCATTAAGGAATTTAAAGAAGACTAGCTCCATGCATGATTATATAAAATAATTTAAGATACTCATGCTCAAAGCTCAAGACATGGCAAAACAAGAAAAGTTTACAATTTTTTAGAAAGACCAACACCTTGGGCGTAGTTGAAGCTTCAACAACTTGGGATACATACTATTTCAGCAGCTATTGGTGTGGTGAAAGAATTGCAGAACCACCACAACTCACAAAGGCTGGTGCATCTACCCACAATATGATCAATACAAGTGAAGTCACATCGCATCTTCTTGGTTTGTAGTCTCCACATTGTGAAGGTGATTAGAGAAATCTTGAGAGAACAATTTGTAAAAATTATAGCAGTCTAAGCATTCAGAACCTATTGTAAATTTTCAGTATGGTGCATCATCATAGAGGAAACAATGTTTTTAGTGACATTGTGATTTCCTCACTACCTCCAATTCGAGCTGAAGAAATGAAGGTTGTTTGTGAAGAATAGGTCTTGACAATCTATCTCTAAGTAAGCCTCTGACTCCACAATCTTGCTAGTTCATCAATACAATTGTATTTGAAAAATGACCTCTTCCTCAACCTCTACAGATCCCTTCTTCATTGTCATCATAGTCTAAAACACCATGGGCATGCTTGCAACCACATCTGAGGCCAACAAGTAGACATTTGTTGGCAAAGATTCTCTCAATATGCAACATCTTCAATCACTCTGCTCCTCCCAATCGTAGGCTACCCACTGATAGCCTCATGATTGTATTATGTCCATCCCAACTGTAAACCTCAAACATTTGACCTTAAATCACAAAATCTTAAACCACAAACCCCAAAATCTTGGATCCTAAAACTCCAAACCTCAAATTCTAAATTTCAAAACCCCAAGACCCTAATGTCTAAGCTTTAAACCTTCAACTCATAACTCAAACCATCAAATGTTAAATTCAAGAGTTATGAGCCTTTTATTAGAACATAACTTAGAACCCAAAATGTTGACCATAAAACCCTAAACTTAGACCTCAAACCCCAGACCACAAAAATTATAATCTGATATAAGAATGTTTCATCGCTGTAAGAAACTTTCTTTAAATAGACATTGAACTTTACATGAGGAGAATGTAACCCCAAAAAAATTCTTCAGATCTGAGCTAAGGGTGCAAAGCCATGCCACTAATAAAAGGATGAGTGGGAATATGTGTAGGCCTCATACGATGTGACATGCATAAGAGATGTCACGTGGCTAGTGACACACGATTCCACATCACAAAAAGGACTACAAACACAACAAGAGTAGATGATGACATTGTGGTGAGAAGAGTAGACGATAAACACATACCATATAAGTAAAGATCTAAAGAAAGAAGACTACCAACAATGTTTGTGGGCACTTCTCATGAACAAAAAAAGGCACATTGTCCTAAGAATATAAAAGATGATAATGTAAGGCAAAGAATCAACAAAGACAACCACAACCACTCATGAATTCTCTCTCTAAAAGTTCATCTACCAGTGACTAGCGTTTATTACATGGGGGATCATTGTCTCAATTTTTACTCTAAAATCCAAGGTACACCCATAAATACAACTTATTTCAGTGCGCCAAAGTCATGTTTCACACACATGACTAAAATAATTAATAAAAAATAATCAGCCATATAATTAAGAAAGGTGCATGGCACTTTTGCATTGAGTAATCACTGCCTTGAGATTTCATTCATTGTGTTCAACTTCAATCTTGATCTAAATGAGACTATGTTGAGGAGAATAGAGTCTATTTCCTCCTCCCATTTCTCATATGCAAAAAAGACAACAAAGGCCAATGGAAACCCTGAAATAAGGTGGATGGTCACTATGAGTTAAGATTAACTGTCTAGACATGAAATCCAAAGAGACTTAATGAATGGATGAGATTTTCATACAAACCTATTTCAAAGGACCTCTTGAATGACAAGATTCCAATGAAATTGAGGATCAACAACGTAGCAGCTACCTGCAAGATGAAAAAGGGGAAGAGAATTAAAGCCTACCCACTTGGTGCAACAGAGATAAGCAAGAGTGTCGTGTTCCTCCACATGCTTGGGTAAGATGGTTGATGAGTGAACTAGATTGGGATCAGCACTGGGTTCTATTCTATGGCCCAACTTGACAGATTCAGCCAAACAAATTTGATTCCCATTCTGGATCAAAAGAAGGATTCGAATCGGTCTCTGATTCTATAGTATGAGTATTATCCCATCTGACCAAATCGAACAAAGCCAACTATTAAAATCTGATCATAGGTCTTGAAAGAGAGTTAAGAATTGGCCACTGACTCAAGGATCAGATCATTCTGAAAATTTGCCCAAAGTAATCCGATCCTTGTCTGGATTGAAAGAGAAGACTGACAATGGCCAATTCAAGTCTAGTTACTAAGACATGGGAAAGCACAAAATAGATGAGAGAGAAGTACCTTGAGAAATAGGGACCAATCATTTCCTCTACAAACTGACTTCAGGACACCAACCAGAGAGTTCCAACAAGAACAAATAGAGATGGCTGCTCGATGTGCCATGTCTTGAGAGATGTGAAAACAAGAAGGGGGGATCCTTTTGATCTGGTAGCTCAATCTGCACCGCCCATTTTCCTTTAATGGTTAGCCATCAAACAGAGCAAACTGAGCAAGATTTTCAAAATGACATTTCATTGATTTGACTACCCAAGGACCTTTGAAACTTATAAAACAGGTTAGGAAAAAAAAATACTGAAAGTTCAATTGAAGATTCAAGTTATAATCATTCAGAAAGAACCAAAGAAAACAACGAATACACATTTGCCAACATGGGCTGGAGTAAATTCAAAAAAATATATACAATTATCTATCAATTTTTCAAACTAGATTATACATGCAACATTTACAAACAAGGGGACAGTGAGAGAGAGAGGGGGGGGGGAGTGAGAGGGAGGGAGAGAGCATACACTTTTGTAGGTAATTTGCTGTGGATGAATAGGAAGAACGCAATCACGGAAAAAATCTTTGCCACAGCTGTTAGAAAGGTGTGTCCAGACACATAAAAGAAATAATACAAAATAGCCAGAAGCAAGACTGTTGTAAGAGTCTGCATTTTATCTTTCCACAAAAGGGTTTCAGCAACTGAAAAACCAAAGGCAGATTAAACCATTACATATCATCATTTGTGAGGATACCATTTTAAACACCACAATATCATCTTCATCTTTACCTCTTCCATTTCCAAGATAAACTGAAGCCTTAGATGTTGTTTTCTTCTGCTTATTAGCTCGCAAATGGGAGTAGGAATCTATTGTCCGCTTCAATCCTTCCTGAATAACAATAGAAAACTTGCACACAGCTTGTACATGTATACTATATGCTATATAGAGTACTTCTAAGAAAATAAAAGGCAAGGTTTGTAAGCAAACCTCTAGAGATACTATAGGTTTATAGCCAAGCTGCGTATTGGCTTTTGAGCAGCTGAAAGTTCTGTTGCATGATAGAAGTCTGATTCTTGATGGAGTCAGTTGAGGCACACGCATTCCATACCGAGCAAAGATTTTGTATGTCCACTCTACGCCATAAGCCACAGGCATTATAACCGAGATAGGGATTTTGGTTCTCGGACTGCAAAAAAGCACTAAATACATTAAAATAGTCACCTTCTCAACTCAGCCATGAAGAGTCCTTCACCATTTGATGAAAAGTGGGACGAATGACTGTACTCTTTGATATCACTTCCCAAAGAATTTCTAAAACAAGGGATGAAGTTTATTTAATTTATGGGTGGTTACATTGGCCGAAACTCCATTATGGAAATGTCATATAGAGAAGACTAACTACGAAGTAAGTAGCAATTTCGGCATAGACAACATAACTAGTAATGAAACATGATTACTAGTTCGCATGGAGCCTAAACTTTGACAGGAAGTCAGACTATCGAATCAATATATGGGTAGGCTCCATGAAGTTTTTCATGTTCCTCACTGTACGGACAAGTCAACAACTAGAACCCTTGCAGCTAGATTGGCCATGCTCCACTGTCAATCTGCAGTAATATGTCCAATGTGAAACATATTTAGTGCAGATTTTGTTCAATATGTCACTCCTGCAGGTGATGAGGATTCAAACAAAAAACCCATATTCTTCAAGGTGGTGTTTATCATGTGAGGTGACCACATGCCATTTAATATTTTGAGATCACTTGGTGGACCTAAACCAAGGCAAAGTAACAAGTCATCAGGAGAAACTGACCGATTTAGGCATCAAATCCTATAAGCAGCTGGTGTGGTCAAGACTGTTGTACAGTTGATTGAGATGAAATTCAGCAATCTATGCAAGAGCATGCTTGATATTGAACATGGATATTACCCAGTCATAGACCACACTAAGTCCCCCTAAGCCCAATGTACGCCACACATACCCCACAGATCCTTTCGGTCCCTAGGTCAATCTGGCACCCTAGGAGCACCAATTATCCGTCCTAGAGTTGCTGGCATAAGATCTACTCCCCAAAAAACAAGGACACCTGTAAACACTACCGAACAGTTCAGCACAGAAAAAGCCACGAGTGGAAAAAGAACTCCATATAGACTAGTAAAGATGTAATATATTTGTCAATGAACTTATTACAAGTTAGAGAAGAAGATTGCAATTTCAAGTTATTGCGGCTGTAGACAATAACCAAGTCGTGATCAAAGTAGAAAAGCTGAACATGATGTCGAGGAATGTTAGAGGCCCCAAGCAAGAAGACTCATAAGGTTATTAATCTGATATTAATGCCTAATTTCCTCGTATTCAAAGGAGGTCGAAGGGTCTCTTGTCATTGAAAATCCATCACATAGTTCAATATATCAACTGATGTCATTAAAATCAGATCACACAAAAATCAATGTATACTTAGGTACATTCTCACCCTTTCTATTTTGGTCTTCTCTCATGTCTATCACCTCATGCGAACTGTAAGAGGGTTGTACTAAAAACATATATGCAGGTTTATCAGTTTTGGATGCAGTAATGGATGCACGTTAAGCTTTGCGAGAAGAAATAAATCCCAGTCAAATGATGCTACACAACCTTGAAACAGCCTAATCATATAGGTCACACAGATCCCAAAGGAAGACGAAATATCCCAAAGGTCATATAGGGCACAAATAAGTGGAAACACTACTAAGGTTGCCAAATTTGAAGCCGAAATGGATTTACATGATCGCAAGGGACCATTATGGGGAAGCTAACAAGTATAGAGATTTGACGTAGGAAACGTATCATTTCACTGTCTAGAAAAAGTATGTTTGTGTTAAGGCCACAAAAAATGGACAAAAGGGAGGTGAAAATGAATTTAACATAGGATGTATTCAGAATTCTAGCTCATACTTTTCGAGAAGCTTTTCTTATCGTGCACAATCATTTTTTTAAAAACCTTAAGCTTAATGGAAACTAGTTTTCAATGACCAAATCCACAGGTACTCAAAAATTGATGTATAAATTGTTGGCTAATAAGTACGACGGTGAAAAGAGACCACCAAAAGAATACAACTTTCAGGATTTGAAATGTACCTCTCATATCCAAGTTCTCCAACAATCCTTGAGATGAAATCCCAGAATTTGATCGGTTCCATATTTGTTATAAAATAAGCCTACAAGAAAATGATGTCACAACAGATTTACTAGTAGAAAAACGAATAACGAAAGCTCATACCTGTCCTGCAACTTTAGTGCCATTTTCCTCTGAAGCAAGAGCTTTCTCTGCACATATATGTCCATGTGCAACATTCTCGACATAAGTGAAGTCATACATATTATTTCCATCACCAACGACAAACTACAAAAAAAAAGTAAACGAAAGAGAAATATTAAGTGAGCAGAAGTCACCCAATTGTACTCGTTTTAACCCATAAAATGTTGCATTAAATTTTCATACATGACTAGGTATATTTTGATCTTCACTCAATTTTTTTTGCATTAAATCTTGCATTATATTTCGATCTTCAAATCGAGGAGGTAGGGACACAATTCTTCTTTAATTATCCAATTTAAAAATCACTTTTTCCATCCATTTGATAAACCTTTCTTCTCACTAGACAATATGCACTAGAGATTACACGAAATTGAACAGAATAACAGGGCTGGTCAGCCTTCTTGAGCCATTTGCTTCCCCTGAATAATATATCATTGTCAAATTATCTGTTAAGCTGTAAAATGTAGATTGTTATGAAGAACCACTCTATTAAACTATGCCTTTCCAAATACAAATAAATAGCAGCCCTATGGAAAAATTTAGAGATGTTACACGAAATTTCAATCGACAATGAATACTTATCTCAGTGGATCAGAGAAATTCACTTTAAATCCCAAAAACTTTGTACTGACACGAACAAGATAGCTAACAATGTAAATGAACTGAGCAGATTTCTGGGCATCAATAAATCTCTAAGGAGATTTATTCCTATATAGCGTAATGGCAAGCTAGCTTCCTCTTCAAAAATACGGTGTATTCTCCTCTGCTTCCTAAGGGTATGATTCCCTTGTTCAGAAGTGGTGACGATTCTCTGTACTTTTGCAGTCAATTTAGTTCAAACTAAACTAAATAATAAAAAGAAAGTTCTCATCATTATTATGATTATAATAATAATAATTATAACTTTATATTATTTTTCAAAATAAAATGGCCTCTGGAAAGCTCCATAGTAGGACTCTTTTGGGGTGCAGCCTATTAATTTTATCCTTCAAAGATAGATAGCTAATCTATTGCAGACAACTAGACTTAGTAGCACGACTCTAATAAGCGCCCCAGATCTACTAGTATTCTGTTTTACAAGGAATAGGGATACTCAAGCCTAACATGAAACATTTCTTCAGAGCGGCTTGCTCAATTGGGTTCACTATCATAAGCCATGTTTTAATGTAACTACACCATTGTTTCAACCATATTCTGGACCCTTCCATAGCTAATTTATATTGCATGCGTACCTTAACATAAGCATCTAATAGAATAGTCTCAACTTAGTCAACTTATGCTCGTTAATAACATTCTCATGATCTTTGCAAGTTGATCTATCATTCTCGTTGATGAAGATGGCGTCTATTTGAATATTATCATCACTCATAAAAGTTAGCAAGTACACCGTCCAATAACCTCATTAGAATAGGAATGAGAACCCCACAGTACAGATGTCCACAGAATTGGTTACGTCCTTACTACTGCATTCAATACGACTATGAGGAGTTCAGGGAAGATAGCACAAATGTCCATAAACATGATAATAAACTAGGTTGGCAGCATGATAAAAAGAAGAAAATAATAAATGAGGAAGAATGTATCTCTTTCTGGAAGGTAAAAGTTAAAGTTACCTTGGACTTTCCAGCCTTTGCAGCGGCAACCAATGACGGGACCAACAATTTATCACCAGGCCCGAAAATACTACTGGGGCGTATGCAACAAGATAAAAGTCCACACTGTCCATTTGCTTTGATAACCAACTTCTCTCCCTCAGCTTTAGTCTCCGAATAAGAATCATTGAACTGAAAATAATTATTAGAGTCATAACCGGTCCAAGGGTGGTACTTAATGTTAGAAATGAAAAGTATCATGAGTGTTGGAACACACTGATTCAAGACCTTTTCTGGATATGGAGTTAATTCGTCTGCATTGTGCAATCCATGAATACCATCAAACACAACACTGGGAGAACTAGTATATACAAGCCTCTTAACCTTGCATTCAATACATGCATCAATGACGTTCTTAGTTCCTGAGGCACAAGGATTTCACATTACGCTAGTTGATATATCACCAGAAGACTCATTAGTTATTACTAATTGAACCTCTTGTAAAATTAGAATGCATCATTATCACCTTGCACATTAACTGAATAATGAAGTTCGTAGTTATTGATGGATGAATCAGGTGCAGCCATGTGGAAGACGACCTCGGCCCCTTGAAATGCTGCAATGTGGACAAAGCCAAACGGGCATCCAAACTTTGTGAAACAAAACAGTAAAATAGAGTAGAAAGTAGAGCAATCGGTAATCAGATTTTGCAAAGTCAGTCAAACAATTTACTCCAACTTATCAAAAACATGGTGACAGCAGTTCAGCGTCAGAGAGAAATAGTCATTGCAATAATTTGCAAACTCAGTATAAGAAAAAAAAATGTCATAAAAAGCACTACCAACTGAAAGAAAAGTTGAAGAGATCTCATGAAAGAAAAAAAACTATTCACTGGATAATTAAATGTCGGGTTTAGGGAACAGGAATCTGGCAAATCACTCCAAAATAACAAAAACTAACCCAAAAATCTGTGAGGACTACTCCACTAGTTAACAATCAGCGGAAAATGCGCATCTAGAAGCAGCATAGTCCCACTAAATGCAGAAATCGAGGAAGGTGACATCTTACGTGCGCGGAGATATGTGGAGAGAGTGAGAAACGAAGGTTGACGAGGGAAGATACCTTGGACGACCTGGCTCTTGTCGCGGAGGTCAGCGGGCACGTAGAGTGCCCTCCCCAATCGGAGGGCAGGACCGAGGACACCCCCGCCCTCTTCCTCCTCGCGAGGCTCGAGCTTGATTGACGGTGCCAGATCGGCCACGCGGACGCGCCATTGCCCCAAACGGAGCAGCATCTCCACCAGATGCCTCGCCGCGAAGCCCCTCCCTCCTGTCACCACGCACCATCGCGCCTCCTCCCCTTCCCCCATCCTCAATCTCTCCTCACTTCCTTTGTCCTCCGCGGCTCAACAGGGTGGGTCGAGAGTGTCGCGGTCTCTTCTGCTTAGAACCTGATGCAGAATGATGCCACTCGTCATTAATTGAAGAACGTGGAGCCGGTCAAAGATACAGAGCTGGAGACGCGCGACGTGGAGGACGTGGATCTCACATTGCTTATTGGAATTTGAAGCATAGTTGCTCACCAGATCCTTTGATCCCGTCGCCCCGGCTTGGGTTGGTCGGAGGACCCCGCCGCTGCCGGTCTGGAGCTTCTTCTACCCCCTCTTCGTCCACTTCTCCAGCCTCCCCTCTCTCAGCTGCCGCCCTGCCTCTCCCCACCTCCCACCCCTACAGACTTCCCTCTCTTCGCCGTCGACTTACCTCTCGCCGTCACCACCGTAGCCGTAGCCACAGCCCGTCTCTCGCCGTCCTTGTCGCCCGCTACCGCCGCCTGTCCCGTTGCCTCCGCCGCCGTCCGATTGACTCTCACTCTCTCTCCGCTTAGGGTTTGGCTGATCCGGTTTGTGTGCCCAGACCTTCCCGGTCTTAGTCCATTTCCGCCGGGCCCAGCTTGCTTGGTAGATTGAACCATTCGGCTTATCGATCCGAACAGACCAGATCCAACAGGTCCGTACCGGTTTTTCTACCGGTTCAAACCGTGCCTGACCGTCTAGTCCGCGCCAGTCCCTCTCTTTGGGTCCGAACCACACTCGTAAGTCTTGGTCCATACTGACCGTCTCGCCGGTCCGAGCTGGCTCGCCTCGCCTGGTTTGAGACACTCCAATCGACCTGGTCCGCGCCATGTCACTCCGTCAACAGTCAACACGCCAGTAAACGGTCAACACTATAGTCAAAGGTCACCACACATTTTAAAGACAACGGTCAAAGGTTGACATAAAGGGAGCTCAATAATCACCCCCATCATGCAAAGGAGCTCAACTCTACTATATCCTCTCCACTTCCTCCATTTCAATTATTCATTTAATATATTTTTTTGCTACCTTTGCTACATCCACTTCATTTATTCATAGGATAGTTACCTTTGTTTATTCAGTTAATCATAACCTCAAGGTACAAAATATCTCAAATCTATTAAATGAACAAATATCTTACTTCAAGTAATTCTCTTAAACTACTCGATCCGATATATTCCTCGTCCACATCGTTTAATATTAAAGCATTAGATTGTAAGAACCGAAGTCTTTGAGAATCTATTCATATTATCTTTGGTGAGAAAGTTAGCTACAATAATTTTATCACCACACTAATGGCATAGTGCATCCACCCAATCCACAATGACAAAGCTTGGAACCTTCGTGTTGGGTCAAAAAATCTATCACTTATATTGTCTTAATGTGACATAATGTTGGATCCTAATGAATTGTGGCAGTGGGACCACCTTTAAGTCATACAGAAAAGATTCAGCCCATCACCCAATCAAAATTAGACTAAAAGCTGGTCATGCTAACTCCAACTACCACACCGATGCCCATGAGACAAATGTCACAAGGGTTAAGACTACGGCTACATGCCCAGCCCACCCATGCCACCTTGACTGACCTCAATTGATACAAAGCAGCCTTCTACTTGTGGAAGCACCCTTTCTGCTCAAGGGTGTGAATTCATCTAGCTCAAGAGAACTTGTGGAGAGTCAACTTGCCTCACAAGGTCATGATCTCCGCCCTTTTACAGCATGCCAACCCCATGACATTTCCCTAATAATCCCTTGGGATTAGAACTGCCCTAATACTTGATGAGACAGCTCAACATCATAAAGCATAGGGATAGGCAAGGTAGCCATAACACTAACATGATGAATTAGTAGTGTAAACCTTATTGTGAGTAAGGCTGGCAATGTGTAAACCATGCATGTGAGTTTAACAAGCTAGTCTTGTTAGGCTCGCTGTTGTTGCACAATACATACATTTCAGGGCTCCACACATGAACTGCCCATCGGGCAAAGTGCCTCATGTTGTTCTAAATTGTATGTTGCTTGTGCCGTATCATGCTATATCATATTGTGAGGTAGCCCCTTGCCTTTGAGGTGACTAATATAGCACTCCAAACCTCACTCTGTTCTAGCACTATCCTCCACGCAAACAGTGCAAGAATCCTATGTTCTGCACATAAAATACTATGCCTAAACGCCTCTAAGGCTCATGAGATGACTACCTAAACACCACTCTATCCGCACAGTACATTTAACTACGATAGTGTGGCTGCTCATGAGCCTCCTACACCATGTATCATCTGGGCATTTTGGTGCTTATAGCATGATGTGCTTGCATGGGCTCATGCTGCTGGTGTCTTTCTATGCCCATAACATCATTACTTCATGGCGTTGGTGTCACGACATTCCGATGGGAGCCGTTGGGGATCTTATTATGGAATGGCAAATGAGTGACAAAACAAAATGGTGCTATTAGTTTTCATTTTAACTATGTGACATTTAGTCCTAATTCGGCATATAGTATTTTCACAGCAGTAACTTTTCACCAATGCTCACTAATTTGAATTGCTTTTGAAACGTGGTCATCAGTAAGGGAAAAATAGTATATCACAACAATTTGGACCTACCTCATGAACAATAAAAAATTTAATTTCTACTTTACAATGATAAGAGACACCAAAATTGAAAAATCAAAAAGCAATGTCGTTAGAATGATTGGGTTATCATAAGCAATCTTCCATGTCGGAATTCCTTTAAGTCTAAAAGATCTATAGGATACTCTTTCACAATTGTTCTTCATACTAGAAACCAAAGTCAAACTAGTTCTTACCCTTTTGCTCCACATGAGATTTATATTCTCATAGAACTCATACAAAGACATCCATTATCATTTAGCCTGACAATGTCGCAGTGAGCCTTGGCTCCATCTTATGGAAGAATCAGAATGACACTGAAAATGGTATCATGACAAGCTTTCACCAGGCCAAACAGCTCCTTCCACACAAAAGTCAAGCTCAACAAGGTCTTCTTTTTTTTTCCTGGTTCCACCCTGCCAGTTCCCTGAGTTGTGGACTCATTGCATAGAAGATAGCGATAGGGAGAACCCCATGAATTCATTCACATGCATCACAGAATGAGGAGATTTGGACTGCCTTAAGAATCATAACTACCACCAATTACTCACAATTAATTGAATGCCCTCAGTTTGATGTCCACAGCACTAGGCAGAAATCACATCACAATACCATAAACCTTTATTTTTACTTGCCTAAGTTTGTTTCTTAGAACTACTGTTACCAAAAGTATAATTGAGGTGGGAAGAATTTTTGTTCTCCTTTTCTTTGAAGTCACTATGAATATTGATCTTTCGAGTAAAATATATTGGAATGCGTCTAATCTCTCCCACACAATCGCCTACATTTTTTCCTAAAAATATCCGCAATTGAAACATCAGAAATCCATTCGGAACCGTGAAGTATGTCCCATGTTTTATACCCTCAGAAGTATTAACCAGCACTGCAACTATTTTTCTGGGAATCCGTTATCAAGACCACGAAAAGCTTAAAAAATATTATATTCTGTTCATACAAGATTAAGAAACATAAATCTGCAGGAAGGATTTCAAACGAATATCCAGTGCATGGAACATATTATAAACATATGGCTCCAAAAGAAAGGGCCACAGCTGCCGGGCCCATGGCAGCATCTAGAAGAATTGAAGTATTCTCTTTGTTTTAGATTAAATGAATCTGAGAAAGATCTTACACAAGCTGCATCACACCTGGATTAGAGAGTTCCCATTTAATCTGAAATAAGAACATAGGGATACATCATGAAACAGTAGAATTATCATCATGTAGCAGAAACACTGCAAATAGAAATCAAGAGTAGTAAGCCGAATGAATGCACAAAGATGAAATGCGGCATTAAATAGACACTAATCCTGCTCTACCACTTTGATGAAAACATCAGAATTATGAAAACGTAATGCAACTATTGTAAGGTAACCGATAACAACATATACGAAAAAGCAAGCAACCGCCCATTTAACCATTCTAGTAAATTGCAGGGGACCCAGAGGTAAAACAATACGCTTCAACCACGACTGAGAAACATACAAGGAATTGGCACGAAATTTAAGCTTTAGATTCAGTGAAGGACCATGGGGTCATCGAGTATTTTAAAAGCACCTGCGACAATTGTAATCAAATCAAACAAGAATAAAAATCAAAATGAGAGTAAGATTACTTGAGATTTTATTTTCTGGTTTGGGGGTTGGAATAGCACCAGATGCGTTAACTATTAAGACTCGAGACTACAATAAAGTTTTGGTAACCTCACATTGAGGTGCTCACTCAATACTGATCTGTCTACTCCAGAAGATAATAGAACATTTTAGGACCCCCCACCACCTAAAGATCAAGAAATTAAGTCTTTCCTAAAAACGTTGAAGCCCACTCCCCTATTTCTAGCATATACAGTATACTCATCCACTACGCTTTTGACATACGACTCTATGAATGAAACTTAGTCAGCAAGATGACACAAAAAAAAATTCTCTACCAACCCTCGAAAATAGAATTTACAAACTTCTCCCTCAGGTGTTTGAAGTTTAATGCTTGAGCTAAAATCCAGGTCAGGTATGAAAATAATTTCGAAAGACTGAGAAGATGAAACGTTGTTAAGACAATTGTGTGATTGATAAAACAAGGATTCTTATGAAATGGCTTAAACAGTAAGTTTTTACGTGTAGAGTTCAGAATACGTCTCTACAGCAAGAGAGGGGTATCAGCATCAAACATTGAAATGACACAAGTTGGACAAGAAAAATATCTAGAAATAAAACATGAACAGAAGGGTCCATGATACCTCAAAATAAGTGACAAAGCTCAAATAATATCAACCTGATGCTATCACTGAAGCTCCTAAATTCACAGGAGCTTTTTGAAACACTCTAACAACAGGCATCCCGTCACCATTATCATTTCTAACCCGCCAAGAGCGGTCCTTTTTCCTTTGCGGCTTCTTGTGGTGCTTCTGGCCATCAGAAGAGACATTCTTCTTGACAGAAAGAACAGCAGAAGCAGAGACCGCACGGGATCCTCCAATCGAAATATCAAACGATTCAAGCTCATCCAGAACAAACTCCTTGGTAAGCTCATGAGAACTATCAATAACAGACCCAGATGTTGAAAGATCAGCAGAACTGCCACAGTTTGATTCACTAGCCACAAAGAATCTTGAACATGACAACACATCTGAAAAATGCTCTTCATCACCATCAGTCATTCCTGGAGGCAGTTTGAAATGAGGAAGTTTTCCATCGACATAATCTTTTAGAATCTGTCGAGCAGCCCTAGTTTCATCGGGTAGACCGCTGGAAATGACATAACCACGAGATGAGCAATAAGCTCTCAATAGCTCTTGTGCGGAAGGTGGTTTTGACTGCAATTCATATTGCTTAGGCTTCGGTAAATTAATTTTATAAATGCCCTCAAGAGTGCGCCTAGGTACACAGTTAGCAACCACCTGCACAGCCTCCCTATGTTCAGTCATCCTGTCAATGGGCAACACCCCTGAAGCAATCATCTCATATCTAGAGCTAGAAAATGAAGGGAAAACTAGACCAGGGCAGTCACAAAGCATGAGCCTTTCAGATATTATAATTGTTTGAAAATGTTTTGTCTTCCCAGGGGTGGATGTAACACCAGCTCGTTTCTCGCCTGCCAAAGCATTAATAGTTGAGCTCTTTCCGACATTTGGGTAACCAACAAATCCCACAACGACATGTCTTGATACTGTACTTTCCTTTCTAATGCTCACAAAATGAGAATTGTCTAAACTACCTTTGCTTGAATCACTCATGGACACAGCAGCCTCTGCTTCAGCCTGTAAGCGACTTAATAGCTCATCCCTACTATAGATTTTTGTATCTTCAATGGAAGATATAGATTGCTGTGCAGGATTAGATACTTCCCAAGGAACGTTTACTAGTTTCCCTTCGAGAGCAGCAGAGGCAACCTTCGCAGACCAAAACATATAGAGAATTCCATGGAGCTGAAAATATTTGGCCCATCTTAGCCTGCACAATTGTGTTTTTTTAGAAACAGTATCCCAATAATCAAGTTATACAACTAGCAGCAAAAAAACTTAACGACTAACCTGACTGGAAATGGCAAGAGATCAGCCTTGTTAACCAGAAGCAGAGTTCTCTTACATTCATCAATCTCTCTTGCATATGCCTGCAAAATTCACTAAGGTTGTCAAAGTCATATATCAAACTCAGATCAATATTGATCTTATCGTGTTTGGTGTTGGATAAAGATCCAAATAGAAAAATGTTAATTATTCCGGATTCTATAAATTGCACATTACATACAAAAATATAACTCATCATTTGTGTAATCCAACTGCAGTAGAACATTGCAGACTCGGGCAACATGAAATAAGATATTAGAACAAGAATAAATTTGCTTTCAATATCAACTTAAAACAAGAATCACACCAATAAAATAAAATAAAAATTGCAGTACTAAGAGAAGTGTCAATAGAGAAGGTAAAGACTATTATGGAGAAGATGATACTTTTTCCTATTTAGTAGACAAGAAACAGCAATTCGACTCGTATAACTACTAACTACTCTGACACTCTTTATCAAGCATTCGTCGCACTTTAACTTGTTAAAGAAAATAGAGAAAATATCACTACATGAATTAACATTTAGGTCTGCAGAAAAAAAATCTGATAGAAGGTTATGAATGCAAAAAGATGGCATGCATTAGAAGGAAACTAGCAATAGCGAGATAATACAACAAACAACAATCATTATGCAAGTCGTAATCTAGCACATACCAAGTACGAGAATAATAAGGGAAGTTAAATGGCTCGGTATGTAGGCACCCATTAAACCACCACAGTTTCTTGGTGATAGTCTTGTGACCACAGAAAATAACTATAACTCATTAGATGTAAAGGACCATCGAGGAAGAATTGGCAAGCAACTGAGAGATCACGAGGCCCGAAAAATGGTATGGTGAAGAAAAAATAGATGCCAACCACCAAAGCTTCGCAAAATACTGTAGACTGCAAGGCTATTCTAGTGTTGGGATCATGAAAGAATTGTGTGACAAGACCGGACAGTCACTAGGGAAGGAGATAAACAGAGATAGCCACACCTCCCAATTCTATGATGTCAATACGGGGAGAATATCAAAGAGAGCTGACAAAGCAAAAACCTGTGCAGGAAAAATGGGACAAATCCAAACCTTAACCCTGTCCAGATATCATAGAAAGAGAGCGAGATAAAGATTATTATCATTAAGATAAGATAAGGCCCATATGAGAGTGGGACCATTAGATCAAAGGTAAAACTATTATCACAAGATCATTACTTACATGCAACCATCTGAATTTATCTGACCATGCAGATTGGCATAGCATCATAAATAGAGATAAAACCAGAATGGTTCATTTTAAGCTGAGCATAAAGGAGCATCATCACAATTCACCAAGGTTTGGAAATTGACCTTTCTTTAGTTCACGAATAAAATATTTTAATATAATAAAGAAGGAAACATACCTCAAGATCAGGACATCGGTAAAACAATGGATCTCGAGCATCCACAACCATTACGAGCTACAATTACAAGAGACAAAATTAACACATCACCACAGGTTCTATAGACTGAATATAATAACAACAAAAAATAAACTAAAACTAAGCACGATCAGAGGGGAATCGGAGCAATTCTGAGGACAATTTGACCGATTGGATCCCTGCATGAACTTCTGTGAGATTTTGAGATCAACTAGTAAACTACAAAAGAAAATAAATATTGACGGCCTTCGTACTCGTAGGCTTAGGGGTTTTAAAATACATCTGGAGTCCATTATACAGAAAGAGAATGAAGTCAATTTATTTAGGAGGTTGATTTATGCCACATACTAAACCAAGCAGAGCATATAACATGATAAATACGAAACCAATCCAAGTAGACAAGACAACCACAAGGAAACAAAAAAGGAAGGGTTGGGTGGTGTGGGATGGAGGGGGAGGCGAACATTCTGCTCCTCATCTAACAGGATTATAGAAGAAAGAGGAAGAAAAAAAGCTGCGATAACAGGTTATCTCTGATCAATGTAATTCGTTAGGCAAGTAGAAATTAAATAAGAAAGAAATCCTGGGAAGTAGGTGTTATCGAAGTACAATTTCAAAACGATGCATCAAATATGCCTTTTAAGTTTAATGAACTTCATGAACTGATGTAATGGAGTCTGACTTTATTCTCTCATAAAACATGAAGAAAGCTGAAAGATAATAGTTGTAGTAGTGTCATGGGCCATTAGGATTGACAGAAAGCAAAGATGACCCAAGGTATATGTGGAGGAATAAAGTACTTCGTTAACGATAGAGTGATTGGTTTCAGCTACTACGGAAACCCATATTTCAATGCTATGCATACTTACATCAACAGACTCGCTGATTAGCATTGCCAATTTTTTACTAACTGTGGTACTTGTCTGATATTAATATTTGGATCAAAAGTTCTGTCCATTATGCACAGGAATCATGTAATAGTGCCATATTTGTTGCAGTTTAGAGAACAGGCATCTTTAGCCTTCCTTAATAATAAGGGAATCACAGTCCCAACCAAAAAAAAGTGATTGCCAATAGAATAGGTTTTGAAGATGCACCATGAACTACAGTGAACACAATAAACCCAATCGGACCCATTGAAACATTTTTCTTATAGGCCAATTGTTATGATTTCATAATTTAGAACGCTGGTATGGATAGTACGTTCGTGTAGTATACTCATCATCATGACGAAAGAGACTCTTATCATGCCGAATAGTCCTTTTCCCACATTGAGTTATCTCTATCATTGTCTTGTCTAAGCCCGATCATCTTTATATAACTCTAATACATAGTCAGTCTACAAGGTTATATGGGTCAAACAAATAATTTGCCACTAAGTAGCCAAGAGTTGTAGAAAACAATAATAAACAAATTTTGAAGAAAAAATCTGTTAAATGTAGCAAAAATAAATATAAACAAGAAAAAAAATTAAAAGGTGTAGTTCTTGAAGCTGATAAATGAAATTCTGCATTGCTAAATCTTCTTCAGATCTTCATCAATCGTGTACATAAACATTTATACAACTGCTTCTTGACAGGACGCCAATTAAGAGTGCGACAAAGAAACTCTTATCCTTTCTCGCCAAAAATCTTTAAAATTCTGGTCACGACTCCATGGCCACATAAGGTCATATCAGACCTTTTAAATACTGAATGCCACACCATCAAGTTTTATTTGATCTTTTAACTGTTAAGCTTCGGGCCCAAATAAAGTCTTAATGGATCGTCCCAACTAAAGGGGGCTCCAGTATCACATAAAGGCCTAATGGCTTTGCGGCCATGGTACTCTAGACCCACAAGGTTTATGACCATTGGACTCCATCCACACAAGGTTTCATTGCCTAATGATCATTAAGCTCCAAATATCAGGTCCTTCAGATATTTTCTTTGATAGGTTAGGATTTCTTGAAATGAGCTCAGGCGTGGGATTCATGTAATGATCACGAGCTAGGCTTCTTAAAGAGCACTTGAGATCCTAGAAACGGGCCCAGGCTTGTCAATGTGACCCAGCTGGGGCTTCTCAGGCCAGACCTGATCTCTTCTCTCACTCAGCTTTAAGCAAAACTAGTAAGCTTCCCTCAGAAAAGTAGTGAAGTATCCTCTCAGTATCCCCGTCTTGATACCCACGGAAAGCAAGGCCTTCTACCACCCTTTCAGCATGGTCTCCTTTTCCTTCCTGACAAGATGCTGGAGGTAACATGGATCCAGTGGCCCAGTAACTTTCCTCCACACCTTTGGTCAGGGGTGGAGAGCTGGTAATCTAGTCGCTCCACTCAGAATAGGGCATAACTTAGGTTAGGATTTCTCTACGTTGCAGGTGGTTCCTTGCTCATCCATTGCACATTCCTTCACTTGATCAAGCATCTGGGCAGTGACCTTCCTCACCATCGCTGGCTGCAATTCGTGACAGGTGAAGCTTCCAACCTCACAGCATGATAGCTGATTATTATCCCTCCTTTTCCTTAATGTCAACCAACAGCCCTTCCTCTTCATTTTTTATCTATTATTTTCATTTCCGCAGGGACGGGGCCAAAGCATTTAAGCGAGCAGTTTGGATATGACAGTATCCAACCAGTAGGTAGTTGTCAGTGTGTATTTTTCCTCTTCAGCAGTAGATGGGGCTGTGCCACTATTACAACTGCTCTCGCCAATTTGACCGCTGACTAATGGATGGCCAATGTCAGACACTACTTTGTTGGCGAAACAATTGGACTTCCTCGGCATGGTGTGCAATGGCAACGGAGCCGGAAGTCTATGGAAAGTTCACATCTTAATGGATCCTTTCCTTTATTAAAAAAAGGCCACATCAGCCATTATTACGGCTCTGCCTCCGATGATGTAAAGAAAATCTATGCTTGACTTCCATCTACAGAACCTCGCACACGTCAGTACCTCGGCTACCAGTCTCCTCTTGGGCCTAACATTAAGGATCCTCGCATTCGTCTAGCTCCATCTCGATTATTGCATCTTCTCACCAAGCTCCATGTCAACCACCTTCTCCTCTCCTCTCAACCATTTATCTTCTCACCATTAAATTTCCTTTGTCTTCAACTTTCGTTGGTTTGTTTTCTCTAATAATTTTCGAATTTGTTTCCCTTACTTCAACTTTACTGATATATTTACCACATTGACGAACATGAGATTACAAAAGAAATATGAATACCATGGTGGTTCACTATCATTATCATAAAAGGTTATAAAAAGTCCGGCAGCAAAAAAACTTCAAAACTCGAGAAACTAGAAATTTATGATGATGAAGAATATGATGAAATAATAAGACACCTAAAAGGTCTACATTCGAAGTCGTATTGGGAAAGCTAGGGCGCTCTCGAATTAGCCCCGAATTAATTCTAGGATTCCTCTGGAACCCACCCTCATTTCTTTTCTTTCCCCATTTCTGTTTCAGTCTGTTCTTCCTTAGATCCTTGTGTTGTACCATATATATTTTCCTTCAATCTCAAGCCAATATCCTGGGTGTCCTATCACATTGTCCAGAATCTTCCTATTTATCATTGCTAAAAAGCAGGTTAATCCACAATACCAGAAGGTTCTCCAGGAAATGGTATCTGAAAACCAAATACTACATATTTTACCCAAAAAATCCCATAACGGAGAGGGCAAAACCTTAAAATTGATCAAGAGCAATTTCACTTTAGTTATGGAACTTCATCATTTTTATAATTTCGCTGTTTTTTTTTTTTGGGCTGAGAGTGGTTGCATCAAATCACAAAGGATTTTTAGAGCATATAGTACCACATGCATAAAAATAACTAAGAATACATTACCAAGTCACTTCTTTCAAGAACCCGCCACAGTTGCCTCCAGATATCCAAATTTTTTTCAAAGGGAGTTATGATGAGCTTCTCATTTTCCTCTAGTCTGCAAAGACATTAGTTTAAGATATATCCATATCCAGCATAAAGTGGAAGGTAATATGCGTCATGGCAGGTAAACTATGATCAAATTAAATAAATGATCCATAATTTCTATGTTTTTCAAATGAGAGGCATGCAGAAAAATCCAATATTTTTGTTGCAAAACAGATAACTAAGAAACTGAACATTAGAGAAGTTGTGAATCGACAAAAGGCATTAAAACAACTCCTCTTACATAACAAGGTTTTAAAATATAGCTCAACGCAAATTTCCTGCCTGAGGCTTCTCGGAACTTTGCTCACCGGTGTCATTTCTATTTCGGGAAGATAGAATGTTCACAAATCAAACCATTCAGATTGTTACTGTTTTCAGGATAAACTTATTATCTGTAATACATTCATCTAATACGATGATCACACACAACAGAGCTTATGTAGCAATTACAAAAATTTGCAACATCCATGATGAGACCGAAGTCTCACCAGCCCAGCGTGCAGTCTTCACCTTTTTTGGAAAACAATGAAAACAAATCTGTTACGAGGAAAACCAAAAGACTGCCTAGGTAACAGAAAATTACATGTTGTTAGCCTATTTTGAGTTGGAAAATAAGCTCAAAGCGTGCATTATTTGAAAATTATGGAGCAAAGAACGCAGTACCTGGCAAGACCCCTCCGCCATGCCAAGAAAGCATGCCTCTCATTTGTATCAAGTTCATCTGCGGACATTTTTGGTGTCCATGGTGGCCTGCAAATTGTTGGCTATCATCGATTACACACAAAAATAGATAAACAGGGAGCAAGAGATAATAAAAGCAGACGAAATGGAACACTGAGATGATCACATCCACAAACGGGAGAAAAGCATAGATAATAAAGAAATCGACAGGGAAACAACGCTTTCACACCGCATAACGTTTTACCTACGAGGGACTCGGAGACTGCTAGCGTGCAAGGCCTCCTCCACCTCCCGCTCCTTCCTCCTCTCCTCAACCGTCATAAGCACGTCAACTGCTATAGAGTTCCCGTCCCTTCTCCACATTAAAACGATGCAAAGGTTGGAACCGGTAGATTCAAGAGAGGATTGTGGGGAATAAGCGCTAGACAGCAGTGCTTACAGATTGATTGGAACGCTGGGTGGCTTTACAGTACCCTCACGCCCGCTGGGATTGAATTCCTCGCTAGCGGCAGCGAGCTCTACGACGGCATCGATATCTCTAACCTCGGTTATAGACTCGATAGGCGTCTTGTGTCGACCCTGGAGATTCCGCGCGGCAGCGCCCTTCTCCTTAGACTGCTGCACCATCTGGTTGTGGCGCCGCACCAGTGCCCGCCCCAGCCCTCCACTCGATGATCTGTCCTTTCCCATCGCCCCCCAGCTGCTTAAGAGACTCGGTTCTGCAGAGACAGGGCAGCGAAGGCAGGGTAGACGCGAAGAACAACGGGTTGGAGGCACGGCGATGTGGGAGGAAGAGGCGGTAATAGGGGAGAGGCCAGCCGGGGACGGGGGGTTTTGGGCTAGGGGGCGGCCCTAATGCTGAGGTTGAAGTATTGGAGAAAACTGGCCGGGCCGGACTTGTTTTCCAGCGAAGGACGGGTTTCGCACGAAAAAGGCCCAATTTCTTTTGTGTCGGTTGTGGGCTCGAATCCGAGAGATGTAGGCGTGTTCTCTTCGTGCTGTTGTTGTACAAGTAACGAGTAAGAGGAAAGCGCCCAAGGAGAGTCGGTATACCTCCAGCTTTTCCCCCCAAGGGAGGGGGCGGTCAATGCCGTGGAATTAGTTGGGCGGCTGAGGGAGGTCCCCGCGGGTTCCATGCGCCCCCCCCCCCCCTTTCCCTTTCCTCTCCTCCCCAGGAAGCGACGAGGAGACGGAAGGTCAGGCAACTCGTCGAACAGTGGGAGCCCTGTGGTATGAACTAGTATTCCATGCGATCCAGGGAGAGGAAGGATGGAGTGTCTACAAGTGGGGTCGGCTGGATCAGCAAGTTTCGTGCACCTTGGTATTTTCGATGAAAACCTCTGTACAGAAGCTGATAGCTTGTAGCGTTCCCGGAACCTCGCGAACACTTCTGATTCTCATTTTGGTAGATGTTGGAGGGGAACACTGCGTTCCCGTGAGGATGATAGAGGTAGGCGATGACCCATTAAACTGGTGCATTTTCTCAGGACCATGTTGGGGTTGAAAGGCGCTAAGCAAAATATGTTTTGGTTTATTCAACGGCCAGCTCAGAGGATGTTAGTCAGATATAAATAATCTCCTGAACAAAAATTTGGGCGTCAAATCTTCATCGAGCGATGACCATATAACGCTATCGACCCATTCACTCCCTCAAGAACGAAAGCGTTCTGTGAGATCGAGGAGGGACGACACCATTTACAGTGGTGGTGGTGGCGCGTATAGTGTGCAGCAGGAGAGGAGAATCCATTTCTCTTGTGTGGCGGGAGGATTATTGTGCCGCGCGTGTCGAAAAAAATACGACGGTCAACGAGGCCACGTTGCCGGCTCCTATCGCAACGCGTGGCCCGTCCGCAGCCACGGCCAGTGCGATGCAAGTTTGTTCTCGACAGCGACCTCCCAGAGAACGTTGGACTCTGCTGGCGGGATGGATTGGTCGGGTGGAGTTTGGATCAGGGCTCCAATCCGATGGATATCTTTCTCTTCTCTGCTCCATACGCGACTAGCTGAGCTGGACCGACCCATCTCCCTCCCTCCCTTCTCCACGCCAGCCTCCCCTCACCTCTCTCTCTCTCTCTCTCTCTCTCTCCCCCCTCCCATCTCTCTTCTCTGTCTCTCTCAGCTCTCCGATCGCATCGGCTCCATACTTCGTCCCCCGGTGATCTACTAGAGCTGCCCCGCCAACTGATCCGACCTTCCTTCGCTTCCTGTGTATGGGTGTTATGGCCCTGCAGTGTGGGGCGTCCGCATCCACCGCTGCGGCTGCAGCGTTGTCGGCGACGTCTCCAAGCGGACAGGCAAATTGGCAGAGGTTGTATACCGTCCCCCATTCATCCTCCTCCTCCTCCTCCTCCTTGTCCTCCACCCTTTCCTCCTCATCCTCCTCCGGGCCCTGCGGCTTCCTTGGTCTCCCGATTTTTATCCCCAGACGCGCTCTCACCGCCCCGCGATGCTCGCCCGCGTCCGGGGGTACCCGCGCAGTTACCCGGAGCGAGTTGGCCAAAGAGGGGGGCGAAGTAAATGGCCGCAGCGAAAAGGCAGTGAAAGGAAAGACGAAGAGGAAGCAGAGCCAGAAGAAGCAGCAGGCGACGGCCGCGGCGAACGATAGGAAGGAAGACAGAGAGGAAACCGACCAGAGCACGCAGCCGTCGGAGCAGGAGCAGCAGGAGCAGCAGGAGCAGCAGCAACAGGTGGCCGTAGCCGCCGTCTCCCCCGTGGTGTCGATCACTCTAGACGACGTGAATCCAGTGGGTCTAGGCCGGAAGTCTCGGCAGATGTTCGATGAGGTATGGCGCAAGTTCTCTGGGCTGGGCCAGCTCTCGCGGACCTCCACCGCCGTAGCAGATGACAGCCTCCTCGACCCCGCACTCATCCGGGGACCCATGTGCGAGTTCACCATCCCCGAGGCCCAGGACACCACTGTGCTCGTCGTCGGGGCTACCAGCAGGATCGGGCGAATCGTGGTGCGGAAGCTGATGCTCCGGGGTTACAAGGTCAAGGTCAGTGGCGACAAAGGCCCCATTCTTTCTCTGGCTGCAATATTTTTCTCCTCTGACATTGACCCCAACATCACTCGTATCCCCCTCATCTAGTGCGTTATCTACCCCCGAGCTTCGTCCAGCGAGACCAATTGGTGGTCGCTGGACTGGAGTGCTCTTCTTTGTCCGCCGCCCATTTTCTTATGCACAGTTCGATTCAATTAACCACTTCGAGAGTAATTGGTTCAGGCATTGGTGAGAAAAGACGGTCCGGAAGTGACAGAAATGCTTCCGAGATCGGTGATGACGGTGGTCGGTGACGTTGGTGACCCTTTGACACTTAAAGCCGCCATTGAAGGCTGCAACAAAGTCATATATTGTGCCACAGCACGCTCAGCCATTACCGGGGATCTCAACCGGGTTGATTACCAAGGAGTGTGCAATGTTACCAAGGCATTCCAGGTTCGACCAACCTTTCCCTTCTCTTCACCAGGGTGTATTGCGCGGAAAGCGGCCCCACACCCCATCAGCTGATTTTTGTTTCTCAGATGGGAAAAGATTTGCTTAAAATTTCCAGGACTATTACAATGAACTAGCTCAGCTGCGAGCCGGTAGAAGTAGTAAAAGCAAGCTCTTGCTTGCAAAATTCAAGTCCGCAGAGTCACTGGATGGGTGGACAGTAAGGCAGGGAACTTACTTCGAAGATGTTATTGCCTCAAAGTATGATGGAGGAATGGACGCCAAATTTGAGTTTACAGAGAATGGAGATGCTATCTTCTCAGGTATACCTCTATATCTTGGATTCTTTGACCAGTAGAATGAAGGCAACATAAACAAGTGTCATAGTTTCTTCCAGTTGGTGGAAGACTTTTGTAGGTCTCGCCAACGAAATGCGGCTTACAAAACCTTATCTTGACTGAGTTCAACCATTCGAATTACAGAAATAAATAAAAAAATAAATGTATCTGACAAAAAAATTTAAAAGAAAAATACCACTCTGAATTCCATGCTTTCAATCCTTCCATCTGGTTTCTGTCTTTGCGATTCGTCTTTTACTTACCTTGTTTTCCATTCCTGTCCAACTGTCCCAGGGTATGTTTTCACTAGAGGGGGATATGTTGAACTGTCAAAGAGACTCTCTCTTCCACTCGGTTCTACCCTTGACAGGTAAATGACGTTACCTAGAGATTCATTCAGAGACTTTCCCCATAAAAAATTGTTCTTGTGATGATAATGGATTTACATGATGACCTAATTGTTGAAATTTTATGGCTCTCAGATATGATGGACTAGTTTTCTCGGTTGGCGGAAATGGGAGATCTTTTATTATAGTTCTTGAGACAGGCCCATTAGCTGATACGTCTCAAAGCAAACTATACTTTGCTAGAATGAGCACAAAAATTGGCTTCTGTAGGGTGAGAGATCATTTCTAAAAGAAAGTTCTGCGTATTTAGATGACATGGTTAATGACGATTGTAATCAATGCAACCGCTGATTCATTGTAATTACATATGCAGGTAAGAGTACCGTTTTCAGCCTTCCGTCCTGTGAAACCTGATGATCCTCCCCTTGACCCCTTCCTTGTTCATACTTTGACTATTCGTTTTGAGCCGAGGAGACAGGTTTTTTCTTAGCCTTGGCCAAAAATTTACTTGCATATATGAGTAATGTGGTAAATCTATGGAGGTTTAAATATGTGCATCTTCATCCTCAGAGACCCGTTGATAATGGAGGACCCAAGGAAGACCTCAGAAGCTTCAAATTGATAATGGAGTACATAAAGGCCTTACCTGTAAGTTATTTGGTTTTATTTTCTAGAGGCGGCTCATTGCTTTGATTGACTGAAATAATTTTTATTTTATTTTATTTTATTTACGAATTAGACTAAGAATAAAACTGCAGTCTATATTGGACAGAATATATTTGAATCTTTTTTTTTAATTGTTCAATTATATATATCCCCATTGTTTCAATTACTTGTAATTGCTCTCAAAAGAGGGGTGTTAAAAGGCATTGTCATTGCCCTGCTTTTGTCCGAGGTTAGATGTGACATGCTTGTAGGGAGTGGTTTTGTTGTCTGTGATGTCACCACTCCTGTATTTCCATAAATTGCCCATCACTTTAGACGCTGAAGATAGAACAAAGACTACACGTAAATCCAACAAAAATTTCTACAGATGTGGTGCGCTATGTCACAAAGGATATCAGATGGCCAACATAAGCTGTAGAGTTCGGCATGAACAAAGTTGATGGACAGCTGTGAGAGAGAGTGGCGTATGTGATGCACCTCGATAACTAGGCTGTATAAAAAGTTGAGATTATTGTCACAGCAAATGGACCTGGGTAGTTGCATTATTTCTGGATAATGTTGGGGCTCTGTTGCAGCTGTTTTAAGGGTATAAATGTGATATCTATACTCATGATCAGTCAGCTTACTCAGAAACATATTTCTGCGGATGTATCAATTAGATAAATTCGTTAACAGTTCGTTGACAAGTTTTGATACCGATCGCTCATTTCAAATTGTTTTTATTATTATTATGATTTCTTAAAATGTTCTGTAATGACAAGCCAAGAAACTAGTAGACGAAGTAGAACTCTACACTGTAGACCTTACTGGATATTCTCTCACAGATATTAGTGTAACTTCCGATTGTATTATCGTACACAACAAGGCAGGTAGATCTTCGATCTCATACTGTATAAATCTTTCGTGAAATTGACTGTGGCCTTTCTCTTCTAAGCTTTTTGTTTTGTTGTTGAAGTCCAAGAACCCTTATTCCCCAGTCATTCTCAGAGTGATGCTTTTTGCTGTCAGGCTGGCCAAGAAACGGACTTCGTATTAGTTTCGTGCACAGGATTGGGAATTGAATCAAACAGAAGGGAGCAAGTTCTTAAAGCAAAGAAGGTCTGTTATTTATCTGCGATTGAACTGCCTGGATACTCCTACATGTTGCCTTCGATCCGACTTCTCTTGATTACCAATTCTTTTCTATTCTGCTTAAATCTTTTATTAGGCTGGAGAAGACTCGTTGAGAAGGTCAGGCCTTGGATACACTATAGTCCGTCCTGGTCCTTTGCAGGTACAGCTTTCCGACAACTTTTGGTCACTGAAAGTCTTTCGTAGGCTGTCTTAAATTTGGTCGCAAAGGCTTGAAAACAATCTCGAGGGGTTGCAGCTGCCTTGTTATTTTTTTCCCATTCTTTTTTTAGTTGGTCAAGAAGGAAAAAGAAGCACAGTTTGAAAAAGCAACGAATTTTCCATACCTTGCACGAGCTTCTAAAACTGAAACCAGATAATTTTTAAAAATCCACAAATATTTCCGACATTGTACAAGTTATAATCAAACAGAGCGTTGCTATATTTTATTTTATTTTTGTTCATGTTGATCCTTGGTCGGTTTGTCGTTCTCTGTTCTGCATACATCTTCTTCCTTGGAAACACTTTCAGCTATTTTCTCGGTCAGGATCGAAGATATGGGCCGTGAACAGGACAGGGCACACAAGTCTTGGATATCGCCGACGTGGAATATCAATAATAGCTATTAAAATACGAATGTAAATCTTGCTGTCTGACATGATGCGTTTTCATTGGTCCCTCCCTCGCAGCGGAGAAATACAATGGCATTCAGGGGATGTTTTCTCAGCCTCATTTTTATCCTTAAGTAGGGGTCTTTGTGAGTCCTGCGTTGTCACCTGATCTCATTTCTCAGGCTCGGCGTCCTGACCATAAAAGTTGAAATTACAGGAGGAACCCGGCGGCCAGCGTGCACTGATTTTCGATCAAGGGAACAGGATCTCCCAGGTACAACGGGGGGCAGTTTCTTGCTCTGAGGATCTTATCCCGCATTTGCAGTTGCAATCGATAGAACGTTGTACTCATTGTTCGCTCTACCGGCGCAGGGAATCAGCTGTGCTGATGTCGCCGACATCTGCGTCAAGGCTCTTCACGACTCCACTGCTAGAAACAAGAGCTTCGACGTGAGCCCTCTCCCCCGATATCATATTTAATCTGCCCCTGTCGCTCCTAATTAATTAGGGATTCGACTGTTGTTGGATGCGTTCAGGTCTGCTATGAATACGTCGCAGAGCAGGGCAAGGAACTCTACGAACTGGTAATCGAAGTTAAAAGTGTTCTCTTCTTTCCACTCGCACTGCGAGTATGGCCCGTTATTTTGACTGGAAATGCATGCTCCTTCAGGTCGCCCATTTACCGGACAAAGCGAACAATTACCTCACTCCGGCCCTGTCCGTACTGGAGAGGAACACCTGACGAATACATACACCCGCCATGGCTTGTAAGGCGCAAGAGACGAATGGAACTCCTGTGCCATATTACTTCTGGATTTATGTTCGGTCTGTGCAGTCCTATCCGAAGACTCGTTGGACCTGTAAATGACCAAACCTGGGATTGACAGTACACATACGCAGAAAACGTGACGTCCACCTGTGAATGTGAATTATGCATGTCCCGATCCTAAGACATAGATGAGACATAGATGATAAATGGCTACATGCTCCGTCGTTCGCCTTGAACCACACAACGCTACTCAGAAAAGTTTGGAAGAATTCATGGATATTCTCTCTTATTTACTCTGTGATAGAGCTAATCGGCTCATTAGCTGGGTGCTGGTTAGCTGACGTTACGTCTTCACATTGGATGATAGTGTGTACCCTTAAATCAATCACAAAAGGACGAGACCTTCTTCAAAGACTTCAAGAAAGTTGTTGAACTGAAAATTCATTGAATTATTACCCTCTTGATGAGTCAACTCTTTTTTTGGGAAAATTAATGTATTAATATTTTCTAGTGGTTAAACTCCAATATAGTAGTACCTTCCTTATAACTACTCTCGAGTAAGGTTGTTAAACTTAACGAGTTTAGATATCCAGTATAACATTACGCTTGTATTTTTTGTTGGCACATCAGTATACGTTTTGTGCTTGCTCACTATGGTCCTCGGTAGTGAGTGCCCAACAGATTGATGGTAGGCTATTATTACCATGACACTCATGTCGGAGAAGGATGTTACATTTTTTCTTTTATCATTTTGTACTTGTATCTTCTCTCTATTCGTAAGTGAATCAGATTCAGTTCAGTGTAAGTATTACCCAATCACTGGATCCGACCCACTAGGGCTAGACCTGTATAAATACTTGTAACTGAAAAAGCCTTTAAAATATTTTTCTTGTTTGACTTTCTTTCTCTATCCTCGAACCAGAGCAACAACTCTATCATTGATGGTAGCTCTCTCTCAACCAATCAGTGCTCTCAGGAGCTTTGACATGGTATTACATCACCCCAAGTGAACTTGTTCCACTTATAGCCCTTTGGAGATTTATTTTGTGGTTGGCTCGTCTGATCATAAGTGAAATCACTGATTTGCCCTAATATTTACAAGATTTTACTTGTTTGGAATTAGTTTTTCTACATCTCGTGGTACATTTCATTGGTATAGAATACCTTTCTCAACCTCCTGACCTCTCCTCCCTCAAACAACATAATATATATATATATATAAATCTAGAGAAAGAGAATATTTGGCCATGTTACATATATGTTTTCCTCTATTTGGTCCTAGTACTCTGCAATGATATTAACAAATCATCACTTGTTGGTTGAGGATGAGTGTTCCTTCAATATCCAAGGTAACATATATGACTTCCTTAAGAATTTAGAACGATGATGTCCCCCAGTCTACTTTAGAGTTACAAAACATTCTAAGTGAATTAAAATTAACTGACATTAACTTACTTTAATGGAGTGAGCCCATTGAAGTGATTCTCACAATAAAAGAAAAACTAGACCACATCTTTGATCCCATACTTAAGTCAAATGATCTAAGATTCAAACTATGGAAGAAAGAGGATGTTATAATTAAGTCATAGCTCTAGAGCAGTATGATTCCAAAAATCAATGTAAGTTATTTGTTTCTTTCTACTACAAAAAATACTTAGAAAAAATCTAACATAGCTTTTTAAAATGAACTTAACATACCTAACATAACTTTTTTAAATGATTAGGACATATTACAATTTGATGTAAAAGATATATTTCTACTTGGGGACTTGATGAAGAGATTTATACACATTCATGAGGGGGACAATATTAATTCTAATTGAGAAGTACTATGTAGATTAAAGAAGGCTCTATATAGACTTAAACAGTCACCAAGTTGTGGTCTTGGGAGATTCTCATAGGTGCTAAGAAATATTAAGTATAAATTAGTAATGAGAATCATACTCTATTTATTAAACATTCTTCAAAAGGAATTACAATCCTCCTAATTTATGTAGATAACATAATAGTGATAAGAAATGATGAGAAAGAAATGAAACATTTGAGTAAGTCTTTGTTAAAGGAGTTTGATATTAAGATATTAGGAAAACTAAAATATTTCTTTGGCATTAAAGTTGGTCACTCAAAATAAAGGATTTTCATATCTTAACATAAATATATTATTGACCTTCTTAAGAAAACTTAGAAGTTAGTATGTAAACTAATAAGTACTCATAAATCTTAACCATGAACTTGGAGAAGCCAAATATGCCAACATCGTCTAGAAAAGTTGATCGACCTTTTCCACAGTAGACCAAACGTTGCATAACCAGTAAAAATTCTTAGTCAATAACTTAGGGAGGTGCATCTACTAGTTGTAGATAGAGTTTTGTCATATTTAAAAAATACCCTAAGTAAAAAGATTTTGTTTGAGAAAAACAACAACATAGTTTTGAAATTTATATCAATACTTGTTATACAAGTTCTATAATGAATTGAAGATCAACTTCAAGCTATTGTAAATTCCTTAAAGTCAATCTTATCACTTGGAAGAGCAAGAAGCAACAAATGGTGGCTTGATTACATACATAATCTGAATTTAGAACTATGTCACAAGACATATGTCAAGTCTTTGGGTGAAAGGTATCCTAGAAGATTTTAGAATTAAGCTATGTCACAAGACATATGTCAAACTCTATTGGAACAATAAATCAATTTTAAGTATTGTATATAATTTGTTGTAACATGATCAAATCAAGCTATCAAGATTCATCAACACTACATCAAAGAAAAATTAAATAGTAGCAACATTGACACATCATGTCTCCACATATAACCAACTAGTTGATATCCTCACCAAAAGACAAAGTTAAATAATTTTTCAGATATTAACATCAAAGTTAGGACTAGATGACATCCACTCACAAGCTTGAGGGAGAGTGATAGAGAATGAGATTATATAATCTTGTTTTTCTTTTATTACTTTTTAATCATATCATGTCTTTGTTCGTAGTTGAATCAGATTTGATCTTTTAGGGCTAGACCCATATAAATACTTGTAACTAAGAAGGCCTAAAAAGATTTTCCTTTTCGCTCACTTTCTCTCTTCTCAAACGAGATAGATGGCTCTCTCACCGAGGTCAGCTCTCTCTCCAACGATTGGTGCTCCCAATGGCTTCAATACCTCATAATAAAAGAGAACACCATATCTTGTAGATTTAACCTAAATTATTTCAACATGGCGTAGAATTGGGGGCTTACGACTGGGGAAACTTTACCGTCTTGGCATGAGAATTTTTTCAAGTTTAGTGACCATATTAGATTCGTGAATATGCTTTCAGCGTTGACTATTATTGACATAAAGTCCTATGTTAACAAATGACTTATTTTTTAGTTTTTGGCTACTAACCATTCTACAACCAATATAAAGACAACCCAGCTTAACAGGGAATCTATTTTCTAATACAATATATGAAAATAAATATCCTCTAATAAAACAGATGAGCACCCATTTTATAGATAGGTCGATTTAGGAGGATGACATATTCCAACAAGTAGAAAATTCATGGGTCTATGGGAAAATATCAAAGGCAAGCTATTAACAAGTAGATTGACAACAAGTAAAGATGAAAATTTTAAGGCACGTAGCCAATATTTGAATTTAATTCCAATAAAATAATAGCTACGGTTTCGATGTTCTATACTACTCCGTTTCACCGAGAGGTTTTATTATTTATAACCAAATGTCATCGACTTGCCTGAGATATTAAAATACGAAAATAAGATGTGGTAGTCCCGAATTCACCACTTCTTCTCGGGAGAGTACCGGGAACGCATCGCAGGCGCCGGCGCCGGCAATGCTGGCTGGAGCGGGAAAACTCGAAGAGGCATCGTCAGAATCTTCCTCATCGCGGGGGATGATGAGGGTATACATGGGAGGGTTGGGCGATGGAGTGACGGACTCGGACATGCGGAAGTTGTTCTCCCCACTCGGCCGCGTGAACTGCATTGACTTCGTCCGCACCAAAGGCCGTGGCTTTGCTTACATGGAGTTCACGCCAAGCTCCGAGAAATCCCTCGCCAAACTCTTCTCTACCGTCAGTCCTTCCTCTTCATCTCTTGAATTCTTGTATTTCTAATCTACAATTTTCGATCATGCGTTTTCTTTGCCTCTTTCCGCATTTCCCTCTTCCTTTTTTCTGTGGTAATATTGCATTGCGTTTGCTCCGCCTGTATCTGTGGATCTTTTGTAAGGGTCTGTCTGTTCCGGTGCTTTTCTGGACCACTAGGCTTCGTGGGGTGAATGGGGTTCATCTTCTGCCTCTAGTCGAAACTTTAAAGTGGGCGATGCTGACCTTTATGGAGCCCGTTATAACCTAGCTCCATTATCTTTTCGACTATCATGCCTTGTTAGATTTTTGATCATGGAAGGGTGAAAACTAGCGGAAGGTCTTTTGTGCTTCAGCGTTGCATCGAGCATTAAGTCAGTGCGCCATTTTCCTCTATATCCTCCCCCTTTCACAATACGAAGGTCTTTGTGTTTTCGAGTGTGCGCAAATTTTTTGGCGCTTCTTGTAAAAGCTTAGGGGCTAACGATTCGTGGTGTTGACGTACTGCAGTATAATGGGTGTTTGTGGAAGGGAGGGAGACTGAGACTTGAGAAGGCAAAAGAGCATTATCTTGAACGATTGAAGCGAGAGTGGGCTGAGGATGCTGAACCTCCTATCATGCCTGCTGTTATTGGCACCCACATAGATCCGTGCTCTGCGAACAAATCAAATCGTATGACCAACGATAAGGCGCAACTGCAGATTTTTTTCCCCAAGCTAAGAAAGGTAAATTCCAGGAAATCATTGTCTTTAGCGTCACTGGGCAGTTTGACTGATTTGGACTGGCGTGCTACTTTTTTTGTGCTGGTTATGTTCTGAAAGAAACATCCTTGTGTATAGCAGAGTATTTAGTATTTTCTCCTAGTTTTTTTTAAGGTGCATTGATGCTCTGTCTATAGATAAATAACTCAGAAATATGGAGTGTCCAATTCTTTTGAATAAAAAATGTAGGAAGCGCAAGATTACCAGTTTGGTCAGAGAAGGCTTCATAATCCTATTCCATCCGTACAGTGGTGTAGAACATACACAAATCCATTTAAAAGAGAACTCTTCGATACCATCAGTGAAAAGCTTGGATTTCTAACCTTATAATATGTGTCCTTCTGCAGCTTTATGAATCACCAATCCCAGCTGCCTTTCTGCAGTTTTTCATGAACTGGGCTCCTGCAAAAATAATGAAAAGGCATTTGAATGTTTTGTGCTCCTCTCCGACAAGGTTGTCCATGAGACTGCTTGACTTTCGTTGACTGGGAGATGAAGCCCTTTTCCTGGAATCTCCCCACCCTCCTTTCCGAAAACGTGTTTTAATGGCTCCATTTGTTTTTTCTGGTAGGAATGTGAATATGCCGTGAAAACTTTACATTGTTCCCGCATTCAAGACGTCATAAACTACTTTTTCCTCCGTTAATTGCCTCAGACATTTGGTTTTCTTATCTCTTTAATATGCAACATCACTGAAATGCGCGTCGGGTCTATCTGGGGCTCTCTCATCAATTCTTGACGAAGGAAAACAACACGTTCATCTGTAGTCACGTTATTATGTCAAACAGGTTCGTTCAAGCCAAGATCGTTAGCATTTGTTACTGCAGAATTAATCAATTTTAAAATAGAAAGGGATGCTCGATAAGGCATGAGTTCCAGTGTTACAAGTGTTGCCTAATAGGAACAAACGTCTTGGAACCAATCAAAAGAGCGCAAGTTTACTTTAAAGGTTGAGGAATTCCTTTCATCCTTTGGGATGATGGAAGCCCCATATTGATCAAATGTTTGTGGCATATTTTATTATCTTCCTGGCTATTTGTCTTTTCTTCCTTCAATTTTGACGGGCTTCTACATTTCAAATCAAAATTCTGAGCAAACATAAGTGAGGCTTATGGGAGACCCCGCCTGCAATATGACCAAATATAAGATTTATACGGTTTTTAATCAATGCTTAACGTTTGGTGGCATGACTTGCGGTTCTATATTTAACCCGAGTCATTACGGAGCCATTTCATATGGTTCGTTTAGAACTCCTAGATGATTATGTGAGAAGCGAAATTTCTTGTTCAGAGCCTACTTCGTGCAACCACATAACCGCGTTCTATATAAGAATTTTGTTCATAAGAATTTTTCTACTTTCTTGCATACACCAATCTTCTTCAGGATTTTCACATGTGACATCCTTTGGGGGTTGTATGCAAGAGCTCTTTGCTAATGACCGTTCTTCCTTCCTTTTCTTCAAATGAGGCATATCTATGCCAGGATATGTGAATATGCGCTTCCGTTTATTGTCATTGTCACCCGTCTCTCGGTCAAGCCTCTCCACGGTAAACTGCAATTCGTGCAATGCAGGTGAAGGCGTTACCTTTCAAGGGAACGGGCAAGCACAAGTATAGTTTCCAGCGCATCGTGGTACCATCCCTCCCAGTTCATTTCTGTGATTGTGAGGAACACTCTCAGCTCTCTGAAGATCTTGTCCGGAAACGCCTAAACGGTCTTGATGATCGGAAGATCATAGTAAATGAAGAGGAGCTAAATATCATGAACTCTGTGATGAACAAACTTCTTGAAAAGGAGGCAAGCATGAATGTTGCTGAAGGCAGGGGTGTCAGGAGGGAGGATTTAGGCCACCCAGACACTGAAACACCAGCCGATGGCAACAAAGCAGCTCAGGATACAGATGAGGAGGCGGATGCAGAGAACCTTGTGACGAACATAGGGCATGGGAACATTGAGGAAGTGTTAAATCTGATGCAGGTGAAAACGCGGGTACTTTCTTCTTTGTTCTATAAGTGGCAAGCTGAAAAAATAATTTGATATTCAAAGGCAGAAAAGGTTTTCAATTTTGGTCTTTGAACTCGAACTGTCATTTTCTTTTTCTCCAGGAGACCATGCCTGCCAAACGCCAATCTTTTCGCGATGGACTGATTTCCGAGGAGCATGAGAAGGAGAGAAAGCAGAAAGTTGAGCCTGGAACACCTTCCAAGACGACTTCCAGCGGGAGGGATCAGCTTTCCCCCTCAGAGAAAAGCAACCTTTCATCCAGCAAGGTACGACAACAGGAGACGGAACCCCAAGAGAATGACCTCCCAGTGGCTCAATCTCAGGGGTCAAATGCCCCTGAGGAAGATCCAGGCATGAAGTCCAAGACCGATCAGAGCTCAACCATGGGTGAATTGACGACGGGGACATCTTGGATACAGAAGTCCTCGTGGAAGGAGTTGGTCGGGGATGCTGATGGTAGCAGTACGTTCACGATTTCACATGTTCTGCCGGGTACTGTTCCTTTGGGTCCAGGATCAACAAAGTCTGGTGGCGCAGTCAACTCCAGGCCCGACACCACAAGTACCGGCAACACCCAGTCCAACAGTAGCTATCTAAAATCTGTGGAAGCCAGGAAGAGCGTGCCGGCCAAGGAGATGGCAGACCTCCGGCGTCGGGGGAAGTCGAAAAAAGATCGAATGTGTGATGTCGGTGCGAGCAATCTAGATAAAGCATCGCCCGGATGCGGCAGCAATCAGAAGTTAGAAACTGTTCCAGCAGCGGCGGTTGGCATCGGGAAAGTCCACAGCTTTGTGAGGAGTCCTGACTCCGAGAAGGAGTGGGAAAAGGCGAAGGCGGCTTTAAGTGGGTACCTCAAGAGGAGTAGAAATGGCCAGGAAGCTCCCGAAAGTTGCAAATCCCGCAGGACCATTCCTCCTTGAGAGAAGTGCTGCAACCATTCACAGCACTGCGCTTCTCTGCAGCGTCCGTGGTTCCCCTTCCCGGAACAGCGCGCGTCTTCTTATGTTATTTGACCAAAATCTGTCCGACCCTTGTGTTCTTCCATCCGTTGAAGTAGTTTTGCCTGTTGCCCAGGACAGGATCGGATCGTTCTTCCGTCTCTCTTCGATTTTTAATGATGTTTTACTTTCAACAAGATGTATTCGTACTCAGCAGGAAGGCAGCCTGGAGGGCTGCTGCATCCACTTTGGCCTCCCTCTCTGGTGTGTCGAGACTCTTACATCAAGATACATGCGCGCCCACAATCTCTCTCTCTCTCTCTCGCTCGCTCTAGATGTATATATATATGAATCTAGTCCCTGTCCGCCTCTATAATGTCCACATAAATCGGTGACTACGAGAATTAGCATGATTGCATCATATATGCAACTGGATGAGTATAAAAAAGTTTCTAGAATTTTCTATCATGGAGTCTCCGGTAGCCCGAGGAATAGAGCCGCTGGTTCTCCATCTCGCGGTGTCTCCTCGCTGGCCATCAGGCTGTTGGTGTGGTGGACGTTCTCTCCCTCCCAGGGAAACAGAGGACGTCCGCCAGGAGCTTGTACTTCTTTCCACCTAGCCTCGTTCTCTTCGCAAGGTTCCTCCACCGATCTAATGCCCTGCTGCTGCTGCCTCTGTCATTTGCGCCGACGTGCTTGTGCGTCACATTTGTTATCTCCACGGATGCATTGATGATACTGGTATTGCCCGGACCAGAGGTGCAGGCTGGGGGTGGATGTTCCCTTCCCGCGGTCACGCTTGATTCTCTGCTCCTGTCCTTATCAATCGGTCTCTCCGGCGATGCCTGCTTGATCATCTCTGGTGAGGACGAGAACGGAAGGACCCTGCGTGCCCTCTTCCGACCCGATTCCTCATCCTCCCCCAGTCGGTCACTGGAGACCTTCCAGGCGCACCACTCGCAACGCCACCTTCCAGCGTCGTCCATCATCTCCGGGCAATACCTGCCGCAGTACCTGGCATCCAACTGCAGATGAGGGAAGGAGTTGGGGTTTTGATTGCAGAATTGGGGGGAGGATTGCCACGTACGTGTGCTGGAGACGGGAGCAGCCGCGCGCCCGGCAGGGTAGAAGCGCTTCCCGGAAGCCGACGTCCCCACACAAGCTGCAGAAGAAGCTCTTGCCCTCGTCGCCTCCAACAATGGGGGCGGGGGCCTCTTCCATGAATTGCCTTCCGATCTCCTCTTGCCGGAAGAAAGGGGGGTGGAATGAATAGGGAAGAGGGCAAATGGGAAGGCTGGGTATTTTTCCTTTGACGCGGGGAGGGAGGTAGGGGAGTTGTTTGGCGGAGGGAGGTCTCGGTCTTTGACCAAGTCTGGCCCTGCGATGGAGCCGCCGCGAGGTAGGCCCGGTGCTTGGTGTCGGTGAGGGGCGGGTCTTCTCTCTCTCTGGCCCCCGCAGAGGAGGTCAACGATGCAAGCGCCGGGTCGCGCTCGCCAGTCCAACCAACGCGGAGTTCAGCTCCCCCCTCCAATTACTGTCGTTCTTTTGTCGCTGTTGCCGGCACCCAACGGCCAACAGCCAACCGTGGTAGCTCGACGGAGCATGGACCCAGACGGGCTCTCCCCAACAGGATAAGCACGATTGGAGAGAGATATCGTCAGACTCGGAGCTCAGTAATGCCGATAAAATGAATGATATCCTATCCGTACGCAGTTGGCTCCGACGTCTTACTTCGTTATCAGACAGACAGACAAGGCGGCGGCGCATTCATCGCCCCCTTCCTCCGCCGCTTGCAAGGAGAAGATGATCGTTCGCGCTCCCGCGTCCAGGCGTCCTACCCTGCTTCTGCGGAGAAAACTGAGACTTGGGGGGATGTGATCGAAGAAAACGCCGTTTCGAAAAATCATTGTCAATCGTTCTTTTTCCCGGCCGCGCCGTGCTTCTTTTTTATCCAGTCCACGAAATTGTCCTCCTTGGAAATAATTCCATGCAGGACGTACGCGCTCATCAATCTGTTCGTCTCGTCTTCCTCATCCGGGGCGTACAGAGAGCCTCCCTTTCTCTCTCTGAGGGCCGATGCTGTGCGATAGTAACCACACACCACTCCCGAAAGGGAGAGGGGGGACGATCGAGAGAGAGAGAGAGAGAGAGAGGGAGAGAGAAGTACCGAAAGCCATCACCCGTCACCAGGCAAGGCAGGTGGATCAGATCTTATCGAGCAAAATCCAAAAGAGGGGTGAGATGCCCCCCCTCCCCCCCCCCCCTGATGCGTCCTCTGCCGACCATCAATCAACTCACCCGCTTCTTTTCGATGAATTTCCGCGGCGACCCCGACAGCCTGATCCAGATCACATCCGCCCCCCGCCATCCAAGTTTTGCCAGACGAGAACAACCTTGATCATCGTCTAGGATCCACAGTGACCTCTTCACAAAATCCACAAGAACCTGCTCTATAGATAGGCCTCCAGCGGCAGAACGACCGGGTCTCGTTTCTGTTGATCGTTGACCATCCGCATCGACGGAGGAACCACCCGAGCAGAAGAAACGCGGATGGGATTTGATCTAAAGAGGAGAAATGATTGAGCTTCAAGAAATCATCAGAATCCCACCGGGAGGGCTCTGCGCCACGCTGGCGGCAGCACGTCGTGCGGGAGATGATTTACAATGTAGAGAAAGGGACTTTACAGGGCCATGTAGGAAGCAAAGCTACCCGCGTCGTGTGCCTTCTCACGTTCCACGGTGGCAGCTCATCACAAGAACACGAGGTTGCCCGCACGTGCGCTTGCGATCGTTTCCCATGATCTTCAACGGGAGAAATCGTGCTCTTTTCCTCATCTCCCGACTGCCCGATCATGCGTTCGAATCAGTGGCTTCGCTCTCCCAAGAAGGGCGTGGCGGCGTGACCGAGTCCTTGAATTCACCTTGATTCGGTAATGTAAAGTTCAGTGAATGAGCTCGGGGCGGTTCTGCATTGGAGCCTGGCAGCTGCTCAGTGATTTCACTGTGAACGTCCGAGTCGCGGACAATCTGCTGTTCCTCCAGCATCCTCTGCAGATACCTGGCGTTCTCTTCTATCCGTAACTGAAGAGCCCGTTGTACCTGCCGGAAGAAAAAAAGACAAAGACAGTGACGGTTACAGGGGAGCTATCAGGTACCCCATTCGGCACCCCAATGAACACGAATGCTAAAGAATCTCCCCCCCCTCCCCCCCCCTCCGAATGATAGGTTTCCACAATAATGCGTGAAGAATCTGAAATAATCTTCTTGGATTTACACTTCGCCTCATGTTCTGTATTCCCTCAAACGGATCCACGGTCAATAGGTTTGATTCCAAGATGAGCATAAGCCGTATAATTCTCCCAGGAACACCATTTTCATGTGGGGGGACCAGCCATGAACACCCCTCCAGGCAAAAGGCTAAAATAGCATGGCGCATCACCTTCAGAAGCTTCAGTAGAAGTATGCATGAGCTCGCTAAAGGATTATGAAATATGCCTACTGTGTTCAAAACGAACTCAACTTACTTCCAGCTGTTTATGTAACTGCTTTTGGACCTCAATTTGCATTTGAAGTGCCTCCATTACTTGCCTGTTCCTGTAAGGCAGAGTGAGAAAAGTTATGATGGCTCGGCAGCCAGATTGCGGAATAGATCGTGTCCAACTGTGCAGATTTATCTTGAGCGCGAGACAAGAGCTGCCGCTGCCTTACTTCTTGATGCTCGTGTTACTTTCTTTGCTGATTGCAGGTTCTGTCCTTCCCTCAGACAAAGGCGTCCTCCTCTCTTGGGAGACTAAGACTAAAAAGCAAGAGGGCAGACATGTCAGATTTCTCGAGGACGGATTCTCCAAAAAAAAACTATATAAAAACTATTTTGCGGATTTAGGCATCTTAAAGATGATCCAAGATTCACAAAAGGATAGCGAAAATTGAAGCTGCAGACTAGTGGGCTTTAGAAGAAACTGCAGGGCTCCAGTCTGCCGCTCATAACGCTGCATGTTGTACAAGTGCCGATGCGAAGAAAAATTCCCACTCAGATTTCGCAAAAATGCAAACCATATGCGAAACTGTTCGCCTATAATAACTACGGGAGAAAAATTTATCGCTTCTCTCGAATATAAGGAGTCAAACCGGAGAACAAAAATTATATTTTACGGACAGAAAACGGTTACTTTCAATGTCAAAACGCCCAAACGAACGTGAAAGCGGAAATATATCACGAAAAAAATTATATGATATAAGCTGAGCACGTTTTACATGTTCCCAGATGTTTACCAACCTTCTTTTGTCGCTGGAGGATACTTCGCAAGTCGGTACTTCTGCAATTGTCAACGATGTAAATAAGATCACGTCATGGAAAATGAACAAGCTCGAGTTATAAACTAAAACAAATCTGCAGTAATACCTGCAAGTGACTCTTCACATGATATATGGTCAAACCCTCGACGTCCATAAGCTTCAATACACCCTTGGGAGTCGCCTCTGCATGGTTAATATAGAGCACAATGAGAATATGACCTGGGTACGTTTACTAAACTGAAGCCTAAGTCCCTACTTTCAGCTCCATCCAACTTTTTCACAGCTTCCACAAATTGCTCATGTAGTTCGAGCGTCCACCTCAGTCTCTGTTTGTTCGTATGTGTAGACCCTGAAGTTGAGTGCTGCGAAGTCGTCAGAGGATGGTTTGTAGGTCCCTCATGCTGACAGATATTACTGCGTTGCGATAGTCCCAGAACATGGTGATCGAGTCCCTCAGGCTGACTGATATCATTGCATTGCGGCAGCCCCAGAACATGGTGAGCAGGTGCCTCAGGCTGGCAGATTTCATCGGATTTCGATAGCATCTGAGGCTTGTCATATATCTCCTGCAGTGAAACCATCATTTATATCAAACGCAAACGCAACACAATTCAGATATTGATGGCACATCGAAGTTTCTATAAGTAAAACATTTGTCAAAGACTTGTTCAGAATCCAGCCTAGATTTCTCATTGGCAATTCATCTGTTGTTTCTAAAACAAGCCAAAGATTGAGAGGCTGGACATTCTCCACAGCTCATGAACAGATGCTCCACTAAGCTGTTGAGATAGTGCCTTAAAACAAGGGGGAAGGGGTGGCGAAGAGGGAATGCAGTTCCAGAAGTTAAAGGAGAGAAAGAAACTGCGTATTGAATAAAAGTAAAATTATCCTCGAAAAGGCGGAGGAAATGATCGAATGACTAGTGGAATATAATACTTACATCCAAACGCGGACTTTCCTCACTGCCCGTAATTGCCATACCAAGCTCGTCCGACAATATCTGTAATTCTAATCGCTCGTCGAATGTCACACAGTCATTTGCATAATTTTCCTCGTGGAAGCTCCCGTCTGAGACATCTTGAGATAAGTTAACCAACCCCTTTATCAGGGTATCTGGGTCATCACTCCCACTATTCACATTGCAAATGCTGCCATGTAAAATAAGTGGAGAACTTGAGGACTGTGCAGAAGAGGTTGGCTGCTCTATTTTATGGAGGCTTGGGAGGAAAGGTAATACTTTTATCCGTGAATGGGCGGCTTCTGAGATGGGGGAAGATGAAGAAAACTGGCTAGTGCAAAATGTGGACGACCGGGAAAACCTTCCATTTGGAGATTGTGAAACTTGAGAAAAAGATTTATTCGTCTCACAATCAGAGCTGAGCCGTTTGAATGAGTAAGGGAGCATATTCTGTGGTCCAGCTGAATTATGTACTTCCACTTGTAGAGATGTGGATAGACGTCCATGTGCTAAATATGCATCAGCCGAGGTAGAAGAATAGCAGGATAGAGTCCCTTTTTCTGAAGAGCATTTCTCTTCTTGCGGGTTCATGTCATTTTCCCTGGCACGCCAATCCGATCTGCAATGAAAGAATCAACTAATCACCATTTCCACACCGTCCGCACCCTCGACATGTCTACAGCGGGAGAATTAGAAAACTCAAGAAAGTCATAAAAGATGCCCACATAGATATTGGATACCGAAACAGGTCTACTATTTTAAGAGAAGGACAAATTCAACTGGAATAAAGTATGCCATTCTTGACGGAACAATTCGTCAAATAAGAACTCCATTCAGCCTGAAACGTTATAAAACAGAAATTGGATAAGCCTAATATCGGTAACAAGTCTGCAACTATTTCAACAGATGGGACTGAATTTACATTATTTATTCTACAATGGCCATCATAGTATCTCATGAACCTTTTTTTAGGAACAATATGAGCGGACAGAGCATCCACAAATGCCTTGCTATTTCAAGTCTCACCCGAGTAGAGAAGCCCTGGTTTTTAAGCTAGCGCTGTGACAAAATGAACCGTGGAACATGTGCCAGCTAGGACATGTCCCAGGCATGGTGACATTGGTAACCCAATCCATCCCACGGTAAGCTGGTCTGTTGAAACATAAATACGGCAACCTTTGGATTGCATGGGAATATCTATCGCTGCCATCACAAAATTTTAGTGTCCTGCGTAATATTTTCGTATGGGGTCCTCTTGCATCCAATAGTTGGCATTCTGCTCCCCTCAATACTTCATTTCCACAGTCACATGACCTACACTATGAGACCAACAAAAGGTACCCATCAAATCCTTCTCGCCATCATCACTGAACAAAGAACAAGCTAAAATTTTCTCTCACGGGTCAAACGGTCTAGCCGAAATAGTGCGTTGCTTCCTAGTCGCGTCATATTGACAGCCTTGCTGCGCACATGATCTTGCGGCATCAGCGTTTGTTCTTTTCTATAAAGCAGCAAGTATGATATTTGGAACAAAAGGGAACGGAATCACCTGGTTTAAGCAAGGAGAAGGAAGTCGAGGTCAAGCCGAGGGGATGAGAAATGAAGAGAGAACAGGGAAGGAGAACTATTGGTGACAAAGGTCACGCGCGATTCTAGACTGTTTGACATGATTGATATCGGAGCCAAATCGGATCTGATATGATCGAGCTGATCTTCGGCGCCAGTTTAATTAAATACTTTATTTATTGAAACGAAGCTCGAAGGAAAGCCCACAACGTTCGGGAATGCAGGAAACAAGAACGTTGAAGGCATTCCGTTACTCCCCCCTCACTAGTTGTATCTCTGTAAGCAGAAAGTATGATAAAAAGGGGGGGGGGGTATGTCTAGCCTGTTTTGCTTACCTTGGAATGCGAACTGGAAGAAGACGACTCCAACGGAAAGCTAGACGCGGGCTCTCCGTCGACCGTCTATTCTGCGGAGATCCCACTGACGGGCGATGGCCGGGATGGAGAGACTCAGCGGCCGAGCAGAAGCAGCGGACTCGAGGGCCTTTCCCAGCATCATTTCTCTATCGCCGAAGGCACGCATGACGAATGATTGGAGAAGAAGGAAAATCAGAGCAGACGCGGGCCCCGTATCGCGAGGAGCGGGTGGCTTGATCGCGGGATAGAAGAAGATTAGATGCTAGTTTACATGTTCTCGTCGGACTGGGATCAATCTCAATCGTTCACAGTCTTCAGATGTACGTATTATGTTCTTTCATTTTTTCACAATTCGGCTTTTCACGAATTATCGCAAATTACGTCATTCATTAAATCCGTCCCCGTCGTCGGAAAGCAGCTACCCCGAACTCGATGCCTCGCTCAGTTCTTGCCCGTTGAAAGGTCCATCAATCTCGCCTGCAAATGCTGGAAATCTCTATTTAGCCCCTTGCGCAGAGTCGTCGGCGACTTCTTGCGCTCGAGCGCACGCTGTTGGTCTCCTCCGTCGTCGAAGGCCTTTTGCGTAGTCATCGACCAAAAGGGCCCTAAGAGAGAGTGAATTACTTACTTGGACGGAGCTCCACACAGGAAGAACCAACGCTCTCTCTACAAAGGCCCCTCTTTTTTAACTATTATGGTCCAAGAAGTACGGAAGGCTGTCAGCGTGTTTCTATTTTGATGGGCGGGCAGCCGCGCAAAAGAGAGCTCCTAAGATGGGCGTGAATATCCGACTGACTCTACGTGTCCAGCCCAATTGCACAGCCATAACCTTGCCCACAATAATGACGGTGAGCCGCGTGCGTCCCCTTGCGTGAGCTAATGAATGCCAAATAATTGCACCAGCGGAAAAGACGCGCAAGCTATTCGCGGGGGAAAGAAAAAAAATGGCCAGGCGGAGAAGACCTCCGACTGCCGTTTTGGTTTGCAGCAGTTGGAGAAAGGAGCTTATTTTAAGAACTTATTCCACCGACACACACAGGTCGTGTGGACGATCTAAAAGCCGTACTCGATATAATACTACTCCTATCCACGAGTCATCTATCAGCGGGGTCCAGCTCGATTTAATTATTATGAGGAGAAAAATGATGCTCGACACTCCATCTCTCCGCCAACTTTAATTACGCCTCTCCGGTGCTTATTCCTATTACATCATTCTTCGATGGCGACATGGAGCAGCTCCGTCCGTCCGTCCCTCATCCGGCGACGCCCGAAAGGGACCGGCTACTGGTGGCGGCGGTCAGGCGATCCATTTCCCAGAGCTGCGGGTCCGCAGAATGGACGGACGGACACGAGGTGGTCGTCACCGTTTCTTCTGGGCCGATTGAAACGAGTGCCGTGCCAGCTGGGGCTCCTAATAAAAGACTTACTCACCGGGTGGGCCAATGAGACACTGCGCGGCTCAGGAGGCGAAAAACCGTCCGCTAAGTCTGACATGGGTAGATTACATAATACATATATAATAAAGAAAGACACTCTTCGGGGAACACCACACCATAGCTCACTCGCTCGATCATTATCCATCATCCATCCGTCGTAGAACCCGTGAGCATCGATCCTCCTGCTTACTACTGACTACCTCTGAGCAATCTCCTCCTCGAACTTGTGGAGCTTCTCGCGGATCAGAGACAGGAATGACTTCATGTCGGATCGGATCCGGCTCTTGTCCTCGGCCGCTAGCCCCTTCTCGTCGCTGATCCTCACCTCGACCTGCGATACCCACAAAGAGAGAGAGGGAGAGAGAGAGAAGAAAACGTCACCCGGCTGGCTATGGGAAATGAGCTGAGATGGAATGGGATGGGTGACCCGCAGGCTTCTCAGATAAATGCGATACCTGCAGGTCATCGAGCTCCCCAAAGGAGAACTCGGGGACGTCCAAGTGACCCTCGATCATCTTCCTTTCTTCGCCGACGGCCCACTCTCCTGTCTCCATTGAGTTCGAACGAGCCGTCACCACGTGCCCATATCCGATAACGAGCGAGAGAGAGAGAGAGAGAGATGGTGGCATGCCTTTGAACTTCAAGGACAGCTCGTAGGTGTAGCCGACGCGCTTCTTATTTCTCACGGTCACCAGGAAGGCCTGTGCAAGAGGCGCACGGGCCCCAGTGTCAGTCAAGTCAAGGGGGAAAAGGCATGGAAGAACAGCGAAGAAGCATACAATAGTCACCCTCAACACTGGCGACGCAGACTGCCGATGCAGGAGAAAAAGAGAACGAGACTAAAAATTTCCAATCGACTATAACACCTGAGAATCCCCGCCGCCGGAGACCAGAAGATATTGATCAGAGATAACATAAGTGACAAGCAAGAAAAAGCCTGACATATTTTTCATGGCTACCTAGTAAAAACTGACGAAGAAAACAGAAGATTCTGCTCTGAAAAGGGACACCATGGCAGATACGGCGAACAAAGAATCTAATAGACTCTTGGTTTGTAATCGGGACAAAACAATACCCTATCGAATATATTCATGGCGGGGGGACTGGAAAGATCCTTTGAGAACCAACGCAATACATATCCTGAAAAATAAATCTAACAGAGGTAAGGCGAGGGATAGTATACTCACATCACCTACACACTTTGACACTTCACTGACATCAGCTTTTCCATTACAAAACTCCAAGGAACCCAAAGATTTGAGCATCTCCTGAAGTATGGCCGAAGAAGATTAGATGAATCGAACACATTCAAAGCTACCAAGCTACAAAAATCATGTCATACAGACTCTTATCCTATTGCTCGCCCATCCATTGAGGTTCTTCTCCTCCCATGTTCCAGCCTGCAAACATACGCAAACGGTTGTCACTTTTCACAGATGGCACCAAATAAATAACAGCCCATGCAAATGGAAAAGTGGTTTCACATACAGCATCTTAGATGCTTCCATTCGCCAGGGTCTACTGAATCTGACTCAGGGAAACAGAGACAAAACCGAAATGTCGATCGAAATTGCTAAAAATCTAAGACTATCAGTAGATCTCAGAAGATCAGGAAACTGCCACACCTCATCCAATGAGAACTTAGTTTTCATAGTTATATTTTATTGGTATTTTTATCTTTTAAAACTATAGGTGCTGTTACTAGAACTGATTTGTCATGAATTTAATTCAGAAGGCATCTGACTCATTGGGTGAAGAGTTGAACCCATATTTTGCTACTATAAGTCACTACCTGAACAGCTGGCTCAAACATGGTCCCCAAATGTAGTTTGAGATCAAGGAAGGTGACCCCAAGCAAGAGAAGAACTAACTACATATGTGAAATCGGTAAATTATACTTGTGGCAAGTCTAATCCCATCAACATCTCACCTGACGTCTGATATCTCTGACTCAGGCAACCAAGGCTCAGGACACGGGAAAATAAGGCACAGCACATGACACACCCCAGTACCGTTAGCAGCACCGTGTGTGGAAGCATGACAGAGCAGTGCCACGGACCGTAGCCTGGAGCATGCGTGCAAGACCACTTGTCATCACACTGACAAGATGGAGACGAGGCGTGGGAGGCAGGCCGCATGCATGTGGAGGTGATGATGGGCTGGCATTAACCCCGGGACCAGTGCGATTTCAGAATTACTGCATGAATTCCGGGCTGCCATGAAATATGCGACCATTTGCACACGCCAATATGGACATGAAATGTGTACGGCGAATGGCTGCATTCGATATGCACACACCTAGAGTGGATCAGGCATGGACGACACATGCCTAGGGTCCATTATATGCAACTGATGGCACAATATGCGTGGAGGCCGGGCAGTGAATATAAAGAAGAGAAGGCATATCGATTGACAGAACACACCTAGAGTGTGTTCTATCAACAGAAGTCTATCCCGTTGGCCAGTCGATGCCAACAAATCTAGAGAGTAAGATAAAGTTGCCTTGGATCAAGACTCTGGGCCATTGCAGGACTAAGGAGAACACCGATCAAGGCAAGCCGTGAGACAAGATATATTCGAGAGTATTAAAAAAGCTCTGATTATCAAAGTCACGTCGCGGCAATCATCGTGCATTCGAATAACAAACTGACAATGCTTTCCAGGGCATGTAGAAACAGGTGAAGTACGATCTGTACAGTGAGTAATGAAATCTGCGGAAGGAATATCATAGGCCAATAAGCAAGGACACAGAAGGGAATGCAAGCTTGTGGCTTAGAAACTCAATATCATAGGAGACGTCAAAAGGTAAGAAAGATTAGTTGGATCGTGCTGACTCGGTGAGAGGTTCTTGTCAGAGATATCAAGCAATCCCTTCAGATACCAAATCATGGCAACGGTATGGAGGTCCCGCCTTAGCTCGGGATAAGAGTCAGGATTTCCTAGGTGTGAGGAACTCCTCTTCAATGTTTTACCGTGCCACTAGGGTATCGGTTCAGCTAATCCCCGCATTATTTAAAGCGTAACGATCTTCATGGTACGGCGGTATCAAAAATACTGAACAGTCTGGATGGGCATTATTCTCTGAATAGAGAAATAGTCGATGGAAAATAACCACTGACACACCGAACAAATGATAGAGGAAATATGCAGGTAATATGGATGGTTGACCTGATTCCAGACTGATCCGAGCGTGTTGCCAGGTTGCTGCGACTGCTTGGAAAGGTCCTCTGCGGAGAGCTTGCGGGGCACGGGCCGGGGAGCCGCATCGAAGGAGGCCTCCCGCACCCAGTACGTGTAGGACGATTTCTTCTCCGTGACCCCGTCCTCCATACCGAAACCCCCTGAGACAAGGCCGACGCGAGAACAGCGAATCAGAATTGGAGGGTCCGAGCCGATCCGATCCGATCCGATCCCACACAGGTCACGGAGAACGCCCGAGAAGCAGCGATCCCAATCTCTGCCGGAAGAAAACCGTAGACCCCTGAAGCGTGAGGGAACGGGGGCTGGACGCCAGTGGGGGAAGCTTCTGGACGGGAGAGGAAGGCGCGACGAAAAGACCAAGAGAGCCGAATTAACCAGCCAACCTGGTTGGGCCACTATCCCTCTCCTTCTTTAAAAGCGCTTCGCTTCTACATCCCCGCCCCACACCCCCCGGCTCCCCGGGTTCAAAGGAAGAGGTGCCCGGATGCTTCTAGAAGGTTCTATCAATCTCGAAGGAGCCGAGAACGAACCTCACCTTGACACACGACTCCAAGTCAAACACGAAAACGAATAATATGAACATAATGGCGCAATAAACCTCAACCGTCATATGTTCCGGATTTTCGACATTTTTTTTGTACCTTATGAGATTCATAAGTCCGAATTTTGGAGAAAAAGCCTCTAAATTCGAGAAAATAACAGGAAAGCGGAGGATAGGCACATTAATGGGCGAATGCGCGATCTTCTTTTGAACCGACCATGCGTTGCGGAGATATCGCCAAATCATCAAATTTACAGTTGGCAACTTGGACAAGACGCAGAGGACCGCAGAAATAAGTATCTCTTAGGATATAAGTAAGATCCACGCTCCACGTCCTACACAGAAGTCTCTCGGCACAGTGCACAGCTCTGTGTTCCAGAGCGAGCGAGAGAGAGAGAGAGAGAGAGAGAGAGAGAGAGAGAGAGAGAGAGAGAAGACTTTGGCCCCCCCATCGCTCCGGCGGAAGATTCCAGGCTGCTGCTGAAAGGCCGCACGCCTACAAAAGCCAGAGGAGTTCTCTTAGGTTCCAGCATGCATCTTGGGAAAAACAAGCAACACCAATTCGGAGGAGCGCGCATTCTTTTTTAGAATTATAGCGCAATTACAAAGCCGAATCCTAAATGCAGAAAACCCCACTCCTTGCCTGTGAAATACTCGCGACTCGGTGGGGTGTAGCCGAGGAGATATGCCTGTGAAATATTCCCATGCATCTCACCCGCTCGACTGTACTCCCACCGTATTCATGAATTTGGAAAAGAAGGGAGAGGATTTGATGACGGCGGTAGAGGAATCAAATTCATTGGTTACGCAGCGTAACAAAAATCAAAGGAAAAAAAAAACTCTTCAAAAAAGATATCCCCATACATTTTCTTGCAAGCCAATGCATGGGAGTCAGTCAGCTCACCGATTCGGGTGATACCAGCATCGCCAACGGGCAACAGCCTCAATGCCTGCGACGATCGCGATCATCCCTGTGCTCGCGTCTTTCCTCCCTTGGATTCTGAGAACGCCGATATTTGTATCGATCACCGTCAGAGTCATCACCACTTTGATACCTCTCTCTTCTCTGGTCCCTGGAAGCATTAACGTTCCCACGATCGTAATCTTTCTCCGCACCACGGCTGCGCTCATACACCTCCTCCCTACGGCGTTGCGAGTGGCTCGGATTTTCTCCATCACCATCTGCCTTGGAGGGCTCGTATCTCTCCGCTCTTTGGTACTGAGAATGATCACTAACTCTTCTACGTCTAGAAAGATCAGCACCTCGCGAATCTCTGTCAGGATCCACGCTCCCAACCTCCTGTTTACCACCACGCTCTTCCAACTCCAATTTCTCGTCAACCATATTTGATCTCGAGTAATCTCCGTGGGCCCGATCCTCCCTTCTCTTACTCTCATACTCCCTCTGTTCTGAGGTACCTTCACCTCTGGTCTCCTTTTGCTTCCTACCCTCAGATACATCAACAATCACACTCCTCAAATTTGATGGCTTATCAAACCCGTGGTCATCATCGTGTGTTCTCCTCCTTCTTGGCTCTTGGGTTACAAAATCATCGTCATCGAAGTCTCTCTTGGACTCGTACCTTTCGGCTTTTTCTATCCCCCTCATAGCATCCATTGTCCCATCTCTCTGATCGTCGTCATTATTGATACGATCATGCCTTTCAGGACCGTTCTTTCTAATGCTCCCAGAGGTAGTTCTACGCTCCACTAAATCAATCTGATGCTTTTTGACAACACTAGAGGCTTCCTTTCTTGGCCCATCTTCTCTCTTATGCCTTCTGCTATATTTGTCTTCAAATTCACTTCTCCTATCAGAGTCGCTGGAACTTTCGCTGGAAGAGCTATCACTGCCGCTATCTTCAGTTGACGAACTTTTGGTTTTCACAAATTCTGCAACCCTGCTTTTGAAAATTTTCCTGTTTCCACCTGCATCACCATCAAGTTCTTCAATATCCTTGATTGCCCTGCGTCCGTTACGCCCCACTACTAAACTATTTCTTCTTTTCTTCTCATCATCACCATCAGAATGAGACTCTTGAGAATCATGGCGTTCTCCTTTACTCTTTCGACCAATAGTTTTTCTATCGGTTCGTAAATTCATGCTTCTCATTTTTTTATCATTGTCGCTCTCCGAAATATCAGAATCATGTCTTCTTCTGCTTCTCTGCTTCTCCACATGTTTTCCAGGAAGAACTTTATTATTATTCTTTTCGTCATCAGAAACATACTCCTCTGGGTCATGCCCTTGCCTCCTCTTACGCTCCCCTGCATGTTTCCTAGCAAGCATTTCCTTGTTTTTCTTTTCATAATCCGATTCAGAATCCTCCGGGTCATGCATGTGCCTCCTCTTATGCTTCCCATATTGTTTCTCACCCATTGGGTCTCGTTCAGAATCAGAATTGGAGTCATCCCTTTGCCTTTTCCTGCGCTTATCAGATGGTTTTTTACCCCTTGTACCTCGTTCAGAATCTGAATCGGAACCAGCCCTTGCCTTCTTCCTGTGCTTCTCAGATGGCTTTTTACCCCTTGTGCCTCGTTCAGAATCTGAATCGGAACCAGCCCTTGCCCTCTTCCTGTGCTTCTCAGATGGTTTTTTAACCCTTGTGCCTCGTTCAGAATCTGAATCGGAACCAGCCCTTGCCCTCTTCCTGTGCTTCCCAGATGGTTTCGCACCCCTTATGTCTCTCTCAGAGTCTGAATCAGAATCATGTAAGCTCAGCAGTTTGACATGGTTTCTGGTTTCTTTTTTTCTGTTTTTATCATCAGAAGAACCACCAGAATCTAATGAACCGCTATCATATTTCCTTTTGATTTTCTTACTGGTAAGAATGTCAGAATCATCGTCTGAAATATCATCGTCAGAATTTTTCCTATTTCCCTTTTTCATCTTTCTGCCTTTTCCCCTTCTACTATCAGTATCGGAATCACTGTATTCCCTGCTTTTCCCATGTTTCATTTTCTGGTGAGTTGATTTCTTAACGTCATTCTTCTTGGTGCCAACCTCAGCTTCTGTACTCTTTACTTTCTTTCTGATAGGATCTTCTGCCGGTGCCTTTTTCCTTTGATCATTCTCTCTATCTTTACAAGAAAGCCCATCACCATCTCTTGCAAGTTGTTTTCCACTGCCCTTAAAGCCTCTTTCGTATTCGCCTTCTTCATAATCACTGTCTTCCCGCCCTAACTCTTCTGCTTTCTCGTGAGACCTCTGTTGTGGAATATCAGGTTCCGGTTGTTGGTCTCGTGTAAGCTTAAGTGCAGTTCTGAATAACTCGGACTGTTTCTCTTTTCGAAGAGCAACCTGATGGGTCTGCGTGTCTGAAAATCTGAAAAGTCAACACAAAGTGAACATTAGGATTACAAGTTATTCCTAGTGAATAATTTAGTACCTTTTAGCTATCAACAAATGGCACATCATTGGACCTATATTAAACGGGTACAGATGACAACAGAATCAAACAAACTGGAGAAACTGGGGCTGCTCTTCCGGTTTGTTTGATTGATTCTCCAGTTTCTCCAGCAGCTTCTCCAGTTTGTTTGATTCTATTGTCATCTGTACGGCAACGCTAAAAGTGTTCAGCTGGTACGTCCATGTCTTCCCACCCCACCGGCCAGGCTGCCGTCTGCCCGTCCGCCAGTTATGGCGATCATCGCTAACCCTACTTGTTTGTGTGGTGGTGGTGGTGGTGGTGCAGTGCCGCAGGTTCCCCATTTTCTTCCCGCTGCGGACGCCTGTGACGGTGGCGCCGGGGAGCCCCGTGGAGGTCCACTTCTGGAGATGTCACGGCGGTGCCAAGGTATCATCCATTATCGTGATATTTGTTCATCTCGAACGCCCCTCCCAGCCCCTATCTCTCTCTCTCCCGGCTTTGCTGGTGACCTCCCCTCCGCCGTCCTTGGTAGGTGTGGTACGAATGGTGTGTGACATCCCCCAGCGCCTCGCCCATACACAAAAGCGGCGTGCGGTCCTACTGGGTCGGCCTCTGACCGACACAGTAGTTCAGAGACCTGTGGACGAAGAGAACAACTCCTGTTTCTGGCCGGACTTCAACGACGCGAGTGCTATTCCCATCCATTACTTTTGTTCCCTTGCTAACTCATCAGAAGAGTCAAGCGAAGGCGGCTAGTTTAGGAGGAAGATGAAACCTGGGGTTGCTCGGCCACACTTGTCGGAGACTGAACTACCTAACCTTGGCTCGCTCCCTCCGCACAGAATTCTTCTTCTCTTCTCATTCGCAATCGACAGTTATTGTGCTGGTGCTAAGACAGGGAAACAGGATTCATTTTTTCCTTTCAAACGTCTAGACTGAATCATATATCTCATTCCTCAAACCATTTCTTACCCAATTTCCAAACAGGTCTCTTTCTGTGAGAGCTTTTGCACAAGGAGATATGACATTCCGCCTTATTGGCAGTTAGCTGCTTGGCATTCCGCTGACGAGGTATATGACATTGTCCGGTGTATAAAACTGGGTCAGAACTAGAGCAGAGATCGAGATAAGGGCTTAGATCGGTAGAATGCTTTTAGAAGCAGGTATTCTTCAATATTTTACCTTTACTTTCTAACGTGTCCGTGAAGCAATTCACTCGTCTACTACCCAATCGCCACCGTGAGCATTCCCAATTGCAAAAAAAACTTGTTATACTCCCTTCCCAGAGAGATTATAGCAACCTGTGACGATTTCCGCATCTCCTTACTATTTATAGTGCTTCAACGACAAGATTCTATGAGATCATGCAAACGGTAAAAGAGAGTTCTGCAACTTTCTAAAAATATATGTACGACAGTTCTTCCCCTAATTGGTACTGTACCCAATTTTTCATCTCTATCCTTGACGACGAGAAACAAGATAAAGAACATATAATGATTTTCAAGATGAAACACAAAAAATTATGACAAATCCAACCTTTTGCCGTCGGTCGAGTCTCTGCCGCCAGTGGCTGCAGCAGAGGCCTCAGCTTCGTAGGTCTCCTTGGCTTCAGCAAGCCGCTCGGCAATCTCTGACGCAGTGTAACCCTGGTCGACGAGGGTCTCCTCGAGGACGAGCAGGCGGAGTTGGATCCGGCGCTTTCGGTCGTGATCGATTATATCTTTGTTGGCCTTCTTGATGCCGCCACCAATCCCATCCTCGGGTCCCTCCCTGCCGGGGCGGGGGATGCCCGAAGCGACGGCCGTCCCTCCGGGACGGGGCCTGACGAAAAATTTGTTCGTCTGGATATAACCATTGGTACCCGAACCTCTTGGGGTCTGCAGCCCGATCCCGTTGTACATGGCTCACCCGCGTCGCAGAATCCCCTTCTGCACTTCACGGGAATACGGTGGATCGGAAGGAGCGGGGAGATCGGTGGACAACCCACTTGACGGATGGGGAAGCCGTAGGGGGCCGAAACCCTAACACGAGCAAGGAGGAGGAGCAGGCCGCGAGAGAGAGAGATGAGGATAGGAATCAAGTCTTGTTCCGGATATATGGATGAGTACCCCGAGAGGTTCGGCTACGTGGGCCCGAAAACGTTTGGCGCGGGCCGGCCCGCCCCGACAAATAGATGGGGCGGGGGAAGCTCTAGTTGAGTCTGTCGAATGTGGACGCAGGATGGTTGGCTCTTGCAGAGAAGCGCTCGTCTACGTCTTTTTGCCCTCCCTTTTGATCTTCCTCAATTCCTTGAGCATTGATCTACGCATGGGATCCGATGAAGCCTAGTGAGCGTTATGGCCATACGCTGTGTAACCCAAAAGGCCGTCTTAGTTTCTTTAATTGGCAATTCATACTTTCCGTAGGTCGACAACCAGCCATAACTCTAAAGCCTTTTGAGCCAAGGGTACGCTTGGAGGGCCAGGCGTGGGTCACCTGAGGAATGGCGGGGTGGAGCTGGAGAGCCGAAGATAATCTTGCTTCAAGGGCCAAGTCAGCCTATAAGCAGTAGGGCCTTCGACTTGTTTCCTATGAGTCTTCAAAATCTCCTCCTTTCTCCAATCTTCCTCCATGTAATCAAGCAACCCAGATCATCCTCTTGATAATCTTTGAAAGATGGACATTTAAACTAGGTAATATTTTTTTTTCCAAAGTTTTGAGTTAGTGAGACTGGCATGTGGCTTGAGGTTGTGTGTGCATTAAGCCTGGTACTATACATGTAGTAATGGAAATGATTGGCACACTCAATGAACACCAAATTCCTGTAGTGGAGCTCAGAAAATCACGGGCACTTTTTTCTTCTGTGTCAACTTCCCATCGGTCGCCAATGGTCCTGTTATTTCTAGTGTTATTCCTCCAGGAGTTGATCACGGAAGAAAAAATGTTGGCTAGAAGCCTTTTACCTTTCTCGCGGCCGTAGTCTTTAGTGAGTACCCTTCTGGGCATGAAGTAGTGTGATGAATTAGTGGAGGGTCTAGTAATGAGCCTCGCTCTGGACCAACTTTTTGTCTTCTCTGATCCTTGATTTCTCATGCGACCAAGACGGCACTTCCAGGATTCTTTTTATAACAGAGGGTTAAGGGTACTGAAATTCTTTTGCAGGCTGGTGGGAGTAGATTTCTTCAGTGCCTCTGTAACTGGCCTTTCCCATGTAGCATTCACGATTCCCAACACCCCCCCCCAAGCCAGCTCATCATCACCTGGAGGGGGAAATTCCTCAGCGCCTTTCATGTTCACTAATCTAACATGCCGGGGAAATAAAGGCTTGTGTATATTCCTAGGAGGGATGGGTGAGGAGAGACGATCCACCCATGGATGCTAAACAGATCTTTGCGGCAGCAGCGATCTTCGTTAGGCCCTGCCTCTCCGCAGGGACTTCGCCGCAGTCCACGGCAGCGACGGCAACACTGCGGCGGGGCCAACGTCCACCTCGACGCCTGCTGCAGAGGTGTTGTCACTGCGCTCCTGCCATGCCCGATGGGGATGGATAAACGCCCACGGTGGACAACAGGGGCAGCCTCTTCATCGGCAGTGGGTCACCGCGGGTACTTTCCAGCAGGGGCAGAGAATATCATCCGGCCACGCCCATAGCCTTCTCTCTCAACCAGTTGACCGCGAGCAGCCCCGTGGCGTACGGCGCTAGCGCGACTAACGGCCCTGTAGAAACCTGAGCAGTCATGGCTCCCTCCTCGGTATGTGGACAGAGATGCCGAAAATATCCAGAACGGCAGAATGACGAATAGCTCGAAAGGACTCGGCACCAGCACAATAACTGTCGATTGCGAATGAGAAGAGAAGAAGAATTCTGTGCGGAGGAAGCGAGCCAAGGTTAGGTAGTTCAGTCTCCGACAAGTGTGGCCGAGCAACCCCAGGTTTCATCTTCCTCCTAAACTAGCCGCCTTCGCTTGACTCTTCTGGTGAGTTAGCAAGGAAACAAAAGTAATGGATGGGAATAGCACTCGCGTCGTCGAAGTCCGGCCAGAAACAGGAGTTGTTCTCTCCGTCCACAGGTCTCTGAATTACTGGGTCGGTCAGAGGCCGACCCAGTAGGACCGCCCGCCGCTGTTGTGTATGGGCGAGGCACTGGGGGATGTCACACACCATTCGTACCACACCTGCCAAGGACGGGCGGAGGGGAGGTCACCAGCAAAGCCGGGAGAGAGAGAGAGAGAGAGGGGGAGAGAGAGAGAGAGGCTGGGAGGGGCGTTCGAGATGAACAAATATCACGATAATGGATGATACCTTGGCACCGCCGTGACATCTCCAGAAGTGGACCTCCACGGGGCTCCCCGGCGCCACCGTCACAGGCGTCCGCAGCGGGAAGAAGATGGGGAACCTGTGGCACCGCATCACCACCATCACACAAACCAGTAGGGTTAGAGATGATCGCCACAGCCGGCGGACGGGCAGACGGCAGCCTGGCCGGCGGGGTGGGAAGATATGGACGTACCAGCTGAACATGTTCGGCGTCGCCGTGTTGGGTTCGATGCCGAGATGGACGTCCTTGTACAGAGTGGCGTCGAAGTAGCCGGCGAATCCTGGAGCACCCCGAATGAGAAGAACATAAGACCCAGTTCTCCAATCCATTTACGAACAACACGCGCCTAATCATCTCCGTTTCCACACGATGATGATGATGATAACAATGACGATGCGGGAAGGAGGATTTGAACACCGGACAAGACGCGAATGAAGAATGTTACAGATGATAGGCACCATGGCTGAGATGTGAGGCGGTGGGCGGGTAACATACCATGCACCATGGCGGAGCCAGTCTCTGGAGGTATCTCAAAACACAACTTCTTGTACCTGTCGTTGCTCTCGCAGGAGTAATTCGGATGAGCAAAAGTGAATACCTGAGAAGGAGCCAGATATGACGAATAAGAAAGATGACACAGGCTGTAATGAGATACAATCAATCACGCGGGGGCGATTCTTTTGATGGCCATTTATCAGGAGGGAAGACCCGTCTTATTTATGAGCGCTCTAGAATGGCACGGAGAGGAAAGAGAAGTCTCACAGCTTGTGTAGGGGCAAGTCTTGCCACTCTATGTAGCTTGACGACGTATGCTGTTTCAAAATGTGCAAGGTCCTTATGTGACTTCACCTGTTTTCAGTTCCCAACGTGGACAAATCAAAACAAACGCATCATCAGAGGTGCGATTAACCAGCTGTAAGAGTAAATCCACTTTGAAGATCAGGGATGCTCACATCATTGTACAGCTTCGAAGTTGACACTGGTTGCACAAAGCTTGTATAGCTGGAGAAACCATTGGCCACGTAAGGATCGCCGTCAAACCGAAAAACACATCCACAGAAGAATATTCAGTAAAACCGAAAACAGCTGGTAATGTAAAAGGGCATACGATGATGGAATCGAAATGCCATCCTCCTTCAAAAATCTTTGAGCCCCATCAAGGCACTCTGGGGAAAGCTCGTTATCACCAAAAGAGCCCAGTAACTCGCTCACCTAACCACGAAACGAGAAATCATCGTATATCCGTAAATAAACTACAAACAACACTAGACAACAAAATAAGCATCAAACTTCACAGACGATTTACCAGAATATCAGCTTTCTCAGGGGCCTCCCAACAACGCATATCACAAGAAACTACAGTAACAAGCTTCTCCCAGCCCTCAAGCTTGATTAAACTCTACAAAAAGTAGAAAGGATGAATCACGATTTCATATGTCTAGCGAAGAATGCTCCTCATATATGGGTCCAACGGACCAATAACAGTGACGGAAAATTGGAAAAAGGAAGTGGACTTTCTTGCACGGGATGCAATGCTTAGGAGTCGCAAGACACGGGGATGTAATGTTCATACCATTAGATCACGTACTCTAAATCTTGCTTTCTGGAATAGAAGGTTAGGACATGTTATTATTAATGCTATAGCTATATTTAAAAAATTAAATATTGCTCACACCTTACCATTTATATCTCATCAGGCTGATTGTAATGGATGCATTAGAGGCAAATAAATCCATTGGAATTTAAAATTGAAGAATTTTTTTTCTACGACCAGAACCTTAGATACAATTCATATTGATTTTTCAGAGTCAATCCACGTTAGAGTCAAATGTTGAGTTTAAATGGAAAGAGCTCGCACAAATAAAACTCCTAAACTATTTTTCAAAAAAAAATTCATTACTAAAATCCGTAAAAATGATGTATTGGATTTGATCTATTTTTTTTGTTGAATTCCACACAGAAACAGTCAGGGAATTCATTACGGTACTCTTCTGGGCACATACACTAAATTATAGTGATATCTTTTCTATCCACGTTATTGTACATTCAGAAAATTTGCTAAGAAACACCAGCCGAGCCTTGTTTAGAAGCTCCGGTTAAACACCAATACTGGACATGAATTGTGAAGGAGTGAACTGTTCAAACAAATCATTCGTTTATACCTCAAAGCCTTGGGGAGAATTCCATGAAGAAAAAAAGTATGGTGGAAGATTCATCAGAAATTTGTTTCCTTTCCAAACCATTTCAGTGCTAAACTTATCAGTTGACTCTGTCTTGGTTAATTATACGTGCACAGTTAACATTCAATAATTTAGCTTTCCATCCAAGTTAAGTAGTGATTACTATGTGTACTTGTATCTTACATCAAGATTAGAACATGGGTATTTCCTTCGAACTTTCAACTTTTCTGCAATTTTTTTAATTTCTATTGATCGGTGTCTCCAATATGTCATCCTCAAATAACCTCAGATCGAGGTAACGCCTATTTATTGTTTCGTCACTTCAATAAAAACGAGTAAAAGGCGAGCATAAGCAAAACATGCTCCAAAAGGAGTATAGCAATCATCCAGCATTTTTTTTTACTTCACCTTCAGTCTTACAGGAAATATGGAATGGACGAGGCCAAAGTTCCAAAAACACAACTTATAATTTGTTCACAGAACTTTTAAATTTAAATGGGATGAACTAGAAGAAATTAAAAGGAGGAGATTCTCACATGCAATGTCACAACAGCATTTGGATTTTTCTCAACAGCATATACTTTTAATTTGCGGCCCGTCTCCTCAGCTGCCTGAAATTAGTCACACAGGAAATTAGAGATGGAAAACACCAAATATCAAAATGATTCTGCATCGTCCTTTTGTTTAAGAGCTCGCTGAAATAAGGTATTTATATTTCGAATTGTATTTTAATGTTGGAAAGAGCAAAGGAAGGATATTTTCTTGAATCAAGTTCATAGTAACAACAAACTTTTTCTTTATTGTGCATGTATGTACGCACCTATGTATATGTGTGAATGCGTGCATTAGCCGAATTACTGGCAAAGCATTCTTAATCTTGAAAGTACAGGCTAAATAGTGAATCCAAGTGTGGATAAAGAGAAGAAAAACAAACTAATATATATAGTAAAATAATTACACAAACAGTCGGAAGCCTCTACCAACGTCTCTTAACATCAATAACACCAAGACAGAATCAATCATCCAAGAACTGGCCATGAAGATCCTCATATGATAACAAGAACAGATGATATTAGAGAGTATATAGGTGGTGTTCAATCTTACCGTGCATCCTTCAAAATTATACACACTGAACACCATAGGCAACCATATAAACGTCAGAGTATAGACTTCACCAGACAGACCATCACACTTTTTCCAGGGTAACAGGCAAATCAATTGACAACAACAAAGTACTCGCGTGATAAAATTAAAGGCCAATAAACCAACACCCAAATAGTCCACACTGAAGGCGCCATCATAGGCTGAGATGGAACAAGAAACAAGCGAAAACCTGCAATGATGCCCTCACTAGAGGCCCGCGTCCAGCTCCAACAACCATTAGTACCTAATCGAAAATTGGAAACGAAAAGTCAACTGATAATTGAAAAAGGAAAAAAACCCAAGTCGTTAACACATCACAGGTCAATGTCTCTGTAAACAGTTTTTTGTCGCTACCAATATTTCACCAATAAAACTTGAAGAGAGGTGTGAGGCTGCCTACAACTGTTGTTGTTGAAGCATTTTCATCTGGGATCCTATCAACCAAAGCTTTACACACAGCCCTTTGGTACTGCAAAGTTTATATATGTTCAGTTAAACGCGTGCATTGATAACATAATAATAATAAAAAGGAATACAGTGGTAGCACCCTATCCAATCTTCAAGTTGAGAACTATAGATCCATATAAATAAGGGCAACTCTCAACAAGATAAAAATAGCATTCAATGACATGAAAAGCTTAATTGAATGTCTATCAAAATTAAATGCCTCAATCATCATTTTTTTTTAGCATCTGACAAGCACAACAACCTTATGAGTTTTTCATATTAACCATGATCAAATTAGCATTCTATGCATACACAGACGAAAGTATCAGACACATTCCAAATTCAAGTCACACTTCACTGTGTGCATCAAGACCTGTGATTACATGCACAAGTCCAAAATATCATAGTACTTAGACATTAGATGCGATGTAAAATAGTGAAAATCCAAATCGTCTAAAATACCCATGGTCTCCACAATTTAAAGAACACGGAAGAACTGTAAAATATTGGGCATTTTTCTTTTATTGCACAACAACCAAGTTTTTAAAAATGTTTGGTGGTGGGTCAGTGTTACAGATGAGTTTTCTATTGATGGATTGGAACTTCTCCCAACTAAAGCCGGCAGAATCCAAAATAAAATTTCAAGACACAAGCAGATAAAAGGAATGCCAACATCATGATCATGAAGACCGTGACGTTGACTTTCTTATGGCAAAAATATAAACTTTGTAAAAAAAATTAATTCAGGGCAGATAAAACCTGGGTATACTTCACTGTGTCTTTCTCAAAAGTCTCATAGGTTTGGGCCTCCAAGTTATCCATCAAAGGCTGCATCAAAGTAACAATTACCAATATGAGTGTTATAAGCACGAGAATAATGATAACAGCAGAGAAACAAAAGCAAAATAAATAATTCCAAGAAAATTAAACATGTTTACCTGCAACGGGGACTGAAGAAAATCCCTGTAGCCATGCTGGGATAAAAATAGGAAGAAGTTAAAATAAAACAAAGACGATAATCCAACAGCTCAATATGACAGCCAGGCAAAAACAACACACTCAAAGTAGAGTTACCTCAATACGATCCTGTTCAGGAAGTGGATCCATTCTCTGGTATAGATATGCAACATAATCAAGGTAAGGCCGCAACTGATGCCTAGGAATGGCTAAACAACAAAAGAATCAAGACAAACCAAGTCAGATGAAATCACTCACAAATGGAATGGCATAAAAACGAAAGCCTAAATCACAACCTTTAAGGCAACCAATCCAAAGATTCAATCCGGGAAACATCTAGGATGGATTGGGCATAAAATCAAAGCATAGACCAGGACCTCAAAATCCTTGAAAAGCTAGTTCAAATTTCACAAAACATAACGCAGTTTTAATCCTTGTCCATGCTTGAAAATCCATACCAGCAATGGAACCATTATTATCAGCCTCTTTGGTTTGTGGCAGACTACCAGGAGAAATATTATGTTTTGAAGTTCCAGAAAGTATTATCTGAAAAAGAAGGGATGAGTCATTCTCAAACAATCATTTGAAACAAGACTTGGTAACAACCTTTTTTTTCTACTAAAACTGCCAAATTTAGAAGATCAACAGAATTAACAAAGACTATTTGATGTAAGAACTCGAAAATAAGGAAGAAAAATAAGAATTACCTGCACAGAATGATCAAAAAATCCAGCCACTAACTTTTGATGCCTCTTAGATAGACACGGATATCCACGTGCATTTGTTAGAAATGACTACCAATGCAAAAACGTCAAATCAAATTCATGATGCGAAATAATCGAAGTAAAAGTCCAAAAGCAGTGACAAATACCTACCTTAGTGTGAAGGAAGGCAGCTCTAACGGGCTCACCAAACCATCGTCCCAGAGAGCTGATAGACGGTAGTGACGGCCTGAAAAATAAGAATTGGTCTTCAATTGCAAATAGTATGGACCAGATATCGCACTAGGAAAAAATGTTCATTAAGGAAATAAGAAGCAAAAAGTCAGACTTTATTGACTTACAATATATCAAGCGCTACTGACAACTGAGAGTGATGCTCACAAAGTAGACGAAATGAATTCCACCACTCCCAAGAGTCAAACATTTCTGGATTCTACAGAGGGGAGCAAAGACTCCAGGAACAGGTGATTAGTTACTTCATTAGAAACTTAAGCAAAAAAGCATAGCAGGAGAGATTATGTTTTGTATTATTTCATTGGAAATGGGACTATCAGGTTTATTGATTAAGATATTATTTTTGGATAATATATCATTAATTACGCAATGACAAAGCCTATGAGACTATAACGAGATGCATTTTGGATATTTAACGAAGTGTTCAGGTAAACTCACTATGCTGTCTTTCATGTCATCCTCCATCACCTCAGACTTTTCCAATGGCACCCTAAGCCAGAGCTTTACATGAAAGGAACAGTAAGAGACCAGTAATTACAAGAGCCACAAAAGTAATAGCAATTTGGTCACCGCGCACCTGCATATTGCTGAGCCCCTGAAGGATCTGATTCACACATCTAGCATAATTACCGCAAGAGGCACTTTTTGGAAAAGGGAGGACACATGCCTGAAATTTTTTGAAATTGAATTTCAACATAAAACCAATAATAGAAATACAACAATGACAGGAGGGCCAAATGCATCCCGAACAGGCATCTTTGTTGGGAGGGTGTCCTAAGTACAGAATCACAAACCGTTCCACTCTGCCCACACAAATGCATATCCATTATTGGAGACAAGTAAATCTCACTGTCAATAGGAAACACCCCCAAACAGTTAACACTTAGTTTCTCTGATTATATCTCGCCGTCCTGATTCTTGTCCATCAGCCCTCATTTCCCTCCACCTCTTTCACTATAAAAAGAAAAAGTCAAGAGAAAGCTTTGTCGATATAGTTCACTCCTCAAGATCAGTCTCAATAACTACCATTTGGGTTTTAATAGGCGTTGCAAAATTCTCCAGTAGCTGCAACTGTACTAACCGTACTCTTAACAATTGTTGAGGATCATCAAACAACACGATATATGTTCCCATCTTATCTTATGGCATATGGCATATTAGTTACCCCCCCATGTGTAGATCACCTTTTCAATGACTGTACAAAAATTACTCTACATGTTATAGGCTCGCATCCAAAATAAAATAAAAGCAACAAGAACTGAGTCATTATCACATGATAAAGTCGAAAATAAGAAACTTCATCCAATGAGGTTGAACACTACCTGTAAGGAGAGATGGCATGCCCAGGCAATTTCTTGCTTCAACGTGATTTCAGAGTCTATCCGCAGCTTATCATTTACTGAATCTAAGTCAATCCATGAGCTGATTTTCCCTGCATGTTAAATCATGTTAGAAACAGTACCACTGGAAGACAATGACTGGGTAACGAAAAAGCTTAACCATCCATCCCTTGGATGGTTAGCCAGTGTAACCGGAAGATACATACTTGAGGAATTGCCAGCGAGTGATGGTTCATGATGGAGAACTTTCATATAAAATAGAGAAAATAAAAATAGGAGATGAAAATGACACTGACATAAAAAACCAGTCAATAGAACCTGTTATAATTACTTAGTAAAACGCTTACACTGGTCTGGGTCTAAAAAATTCGGGTATAGGTGGTTCCGTAATGAGCAAAAGAATGTCAACAAAAAAATTAATATTTTAATATTTTAGCACTCCAGATGATTTTTTATGTCAATGCACATTTTAATATTTTAGCACATGCGAATTTTTTTTATGATCACCATGCAATTTGAAACCTTTAATGCCATAATATAATATTAAAATTTTTCGACATGATCTCTCGGGTTTTAAATGAAGAGATTTCAGTTCAAAAAGTTAAACCAACAAAAAATACTGACTACAGAAAAGGCAGTCTTTTTAATGCCCTATTATTACCGTCAAATAGCACATATTTTTAAGAAATTTAACTTTCATATTCTATTTCACTTGTATCCGCTTGAATGCATCAGGCACATGAATGATAATCTTAAGATACCATTTTCAGAAAAAGTGTGACGATTTTAAGATGACATGTCAAGCAAGTTTGATAGTTAAACGCAATTACACACCAACAACATGACTACTCCACTGGGAGGGTGTAATGACCAAGTCTGATGCCGCAAATGGAAGAACTGCACTTCCATTGTTGTCTTTTTTCACCAAACTAGGTCTATATTCCGGATCTAGCTGCATGAAAAAGAACAAAACCCATACACATTGTGAATCGCTGATCTGTTTAGGGAAATTTATAAATAAAACTCAAAACTAAACATGAAAAATGAAGCTTCAAAACTGTTCCATACATGTCTTTGAAAAAACTGAAATCAGTATGAGACATGGTCAATACTTGTTCTGGTTCAGTCTGCGGATCAACTATAGGCATTGAAGTTCCTAATATAATTTTCTGAGGGAAACTAAAGAAGAAAAAGCTATGAGGCCATTTTCGAATTATTTAAAGCTTATCAACAGATTTTGAGACAGATATAGTTTTCAAACTGAAACGGTCAAAATTACCAAGAAGGCTAAAGCTGACAAGTTTTAGTTTTTTATCCTCCGGATACTCATTTGTGACACCAGGTAGTTGCTATAACACGAATACCCCCTTTTGCAAGACACTGGATGTAGCAGTCTAAATGTAAACCACCATCAAAGACACTCTTGTAACTTGATCCTTTATATGTACAGGTGTCACTCAGATGTGAGGGCCGACACTTAAAGAAACCACAATTAAATTCCATTGGGAACACTGGATCACTGAAATGCTGTACTAGCAGTCCGATAGATAAGCCTATTGAACATTCACGCCAAGGATATCCATGTAGAAAATGAATACTTTCCAGGTGGCCAAGTGGACACCAACTGAATTAATAAGGCCTTTTTTTTTCAATGAGCCTGGGGCCCCGTAAACCTTGGAGAAGCATTGAACCAACGATCTACTACCCGCCATCAAAAGCCCAGGCAGGTGGGAAAAACTACCCATTTTCAATGCGGCATCAAGGCCAGGCACGCTATAAATTTATGGCGATTTGATAAAATGTTACATACTTAAAATATAAAAATAGGCTTCACATGGAAATTTTTCCAACCACAGAAAGAATTGAGTCCACATGAACTATCTCGGTACCGGATTTTACAAAGTAAGAAAATAAAAAATAGTAGATTTATGCAAGTCGTAATTTATGCTTATGTCAAGTCTAAACAACCAGAAGACAGTTAGTGTTTTGTCATTTCATGAATCATAACAGAAATTGGATGCGCGATAATACATTTCCAAACTAGAAGAAAACCGGAGAGCATCACTCAATGGTTTCTTGCCACTTTCAGGAACTCGCCGGGATAAGAGGTCGAGAATCTCCGTAGCATCTTCGCAATAAATGTCTGAGTAACTTCTTTCTCCGGTTAGGCAACTAGAGGACGGGGTTGCAACAAGGTTAAAGAGCGAAGTACCTCCGATCAACAAAAAGCCAATCCGACACATGCCGGCAACTAATGGGTCAAAAAGTATAATGAAGCTTTCTGCAATCAAGGACATAGAGTGGAGTGAATACCCACCAGAGTAGCAACGACGAAGTCGAACCCGCTGGACAGGTTGTGAGACAGAACCTGAGGCATGTCATCGTCAAAGTCGGTCTCAACGCCACAGTACCTTGAGTCGCTCTTATCACCAACCCTCTGCCCGAGAGGCATCTCTTCAAATTGAGATGAACAAATAATCGGTTCTTCTTCCTGTGTAATTCCTTCCCCGGCGAAGGTCCTATGGAGAAGGCGCCGAGAAAAACGGGTGAAGAGCAACTGACCAGAAATGGATAGTACACAGGCGAAATGCGACGATTGACGTCGAGAAACAGCGTTGGAAAAATGACGGGGGATCAGGAGAGCAGCGACCCAAGCGGAAGCTTGTATGGACAGTTTGCTAGGGTTTAGGGGTATAGGAAGGTCTAATGATTTTAGAATTTACGTAGAGCCCCAGAAAACATGAACAATATGGAAATAGACCCTACTAGTAGATTTACTTTCTCCTCCCAGTAGGCCCCGACAGCCAGCAGCCTTCTGCAACCACCCCCTCTTCTCTCCACAGCAACAGCGACCACCGTCTGGATATCGTTGGCTCTCTCTCTCTCTCTCGAATTTATCGAAACCACCTGCGCACTTGTATGCCTCCACTTACGCTGCCACAGAAGCGTGCGAATTGAGCGAGGCGAGAGGCCGGGCTAAAGAGAAGAGAGATGGGACTGATCGACGGCGGGGGCCCATTACTCCCAACCATCGTCGTTCGGTTGATCAGCATACTAATAATCGATCCCTTCGATGCACTCACTTGAGAGGAAGAGGAGGCGTCAGCCCACCGCAGAAGAGCTTCAACCGGAGCATGTCACTAATTCTCGGCGCTACGCACTACGCAGAAGCTTCAACCGCCCCTACAACAACAGTCGGCATTTCGCCCAGTTTTACAAGGAGACAAACCTGGGAGTTTTCCTCATCCCCAGCTCTCTCTCTCTCTCTCTCTCTCTCTCTCTCTCTCTCTCTCTCTCTCTCTATGAGGACGGCGGCTCCGACGACGCACAAGTTCTGCCTGCCGGGGTACGCGGTCAGTCGTCGCTTGGAGCATGAGGCAGCGAGCGACGGCGGTCAGTTGATCTTCGCCTTTGGGCGCCTCGGCCGCAGCACGAACCAGAGAATGGCGGCCACCACCGCGAACGCTGGGATGGTCGTCATGTCCACCTCCACATCAACCTTCCTCTCTCGCGTGCAGTGGATCGGGTGCAGCAAGGCGATGGCGGTGTGCACCGATTCATTGAAGCTGCGCCAGCGGGTTGGTACACAGACGGATCAGATTCCACAGCGCAGGGGAACGGCATTCCGAGTTTAGTAGGTCTTCCAACAAACTCAGAGCAATATAATGTTCGATGCGAGGGGATTGATTCACGGGACAGATGATCGGATGAAGTCGCGAGGGGGAGGAAAACAAAAAAAAAAGGGATGTTCTTGTTAAAAAGAAGTGAACTTTGATCAGAAGTAGGGAAAATGGGCGAGACAGTTCAAGAACAATGTCTCGTCAACCGACACCAGGTACTTGAGAGAGCCTAAGCAGTGAGCTGCTGTCAGTTTTTTTTTTTGCGGAATTGTGGAACGAACGAGGTCAAGTATTCATAGAAAATGACGGGTGGGGAATGAAGCACAGCGGTTACTGAATCATACAAAGAAAATGCAATTAGGGTTGAATATAACCTCTTCGACGCGTCCTCGAGGATATGCAAAAGCCTCAACGCATTATCGAACTCCAGTTCCCCAGAAATAGTTGAAATCTGCAGGCCACCAAAAAAAAAAACTATGAAAAAGAAAGATCGACTGAAAAAGACAGCTAAATCGAACTAGAAAACGAGTGTGCCCTTACTCTTCTCCATAGACCCACAACTGAATTGTACTTCTCAACTAGAACTCGCTGCTGGGGTTGGAATACCTTGAAGCCTTTCTCAGCTGATTTCTGTTAAGTACTAGCAAGGTTCCTGAGTTTCGTAACTCATGGTAGTCTTTTTTTTTTTCTTCCCCCTCACCAAAACATCAATGTGAGATGTCCGTGGCTCCTTGTCCAAGAAATAGAAATTCTGACCAGCATTCACATGCCAGAGAAAAAAATGCTCCTCGGTTGCCATAATAATTATATAATATTATGGCATGAAAAATGCAAATACTGCAAATGGGTAGTCTCCGAAGCAGCATTGTGCAGCATGCTAACTAGAAAATGGCACACTAAAAATGAAAAAGAGAAGATAAAAACAAGTGCCAAAGAATTGGTAAAACACGGACATGATGCATGAACAAAGTCAATAGCTATAAATGAGCCGGTGTACTCACACCATAAAATTGCAGAAATATGTTTTTTTAGGAAAGACATTTCTCGACAGACAATACCTTTGAGATCCTAATCGCAACCTGTGTAGCTAGTCCTAAAAGAAATACAGTGAACAAGTCGGTTTCATGGTGCTGAATGCCCCAAACAGAACAATTTATGTGCAGTGCACTTGCTCAGATCAACAAGAAGGATACTTGTACGCTCCATCAGAAGAAGATGAATTGCTTCGTTGACCACTTGTATAGATTCCTCAAGAGAGGTGATGATATAGCTACGAGAAATGGTGTCAGACTGGAAACGTGAAATCTGCCACCCGTGAGAGGTAATAGAGAGAGGACTACAGCCAACAGACCACATCCAATCCTGTGCAATTACAGAAATTTAAAATAATAAGTTTGAAAGTTCAAGATTAAAGAAGAAAAGATGAGAAACAACATAAAATAAACAGCAATTATAACATAGAATACAACTTTTAGATGAGCTGGTTCGATGTTTGGAAACAAATCGCATGGTTACCAAAAGAAAAAAAAAACGAACGGTCAGTTTGGCATCCAAACCTATAAAATAAAGATATTATGAACTGAGAAAAAAAGAAATGAATATCCAAGATGCAATTCACCTGCTATTACATTGATAATTCCTGCATCCGGGAATTGCCCAAGGCCGTATTCAGCATATTCAACAAGTAAAAACTTTTCTTTGATAATGTCAAAAGGCTCAGAACCTTTCTCTAGTTACCACCACAGCCAGGAAAGCCCGAACCGGGGATATCATGTTACAATGAAAAAAAATGAGGGCATCCTCAGTGGATAAGGGTATTGGTATTGGAGAAAGTAATTCTCTGGGAACACTGACCAGAATACTAAAATCCAGGCCAACTTCTGAAAAATAAAATGTTGGGTTTGCCAGGTAGCTCCTAGGAAAAAGTTTTTGCCTGGATTCTTTCAAACTCGTCAAACTCAAAATAGATCAAGGCACAAGTCATCAATTTTTTAACTCTCAAAATCCTTTAAAAGCATGTTGCTTCTGATCCAAGATCATGATGTTCTCTGAAGAACATCCAAATCAGAAATATCAAAGACTGATTTGTCTAGTGACTAGTATGAGAGTCATTTATCTAGTCCCAAGGACCTTGGATACTGAATACCAAGGGCCTACCAAGTACTCTTAGTACCTCGACAGCTTCTGATTGGGATCGCCACTTTACTACGAGGTCCATGATGCAATATTTTAAAAAATCCTATTTGACGGCATCAAATCTTCCAAACTCTGGAAATGGTAGAAGTTTCCAAAAACTTGTCTCTCCTTTATGAAAAGAACCCTTCCCTAGATAGATCCCTTGCATGGGCCATCATTGGTCAACCCTGAAAGAATCGAGAATGTATTTTCTATACCATTTCGATTTTATCACACGTCTAGAAAATTTTATAGGTCCCAACTACCACAAATAATGGTTTACTCAGTCGTTCAAATTTCCTCAGTTTGTCTATAGATCATGTACAGTCAACCAATATAGCATTTTGACCCACGTAGAAGAGGTGAGGATCAAAATGGCATTCAAAATACTCTTTTAATCATTACTGACACAATTCTCAATTGTAGGGCATCAAAAGGATAGCCCAGTTTTATCCTGACAACCAACAAGATTTCACCATAAACAATGATTTTAGAACGGTCCCAGTTAAAAAATGAAGAAAACGGCTATATATGGCTAGCTGTATCGCCAACTTCCTGCTAGGGTTCTCCATGTCTGATCGGCTGTTCCACAACAAGCCAGTCAGAACAGCGAGAGTAGCCACCTGAATCAGAGTGGACAGAAGATGAGACCATCGTTAATAACAGTGACGTCAAAGGGACTTAAATGGGTAGCGATAAAGAACTTCACTGATGCTGCCTTTGGCAACCATTACTTGACTGACTCTTCTCGTTGCAGCTGTCCATAGTGGGCAGAATCTGGATTATGGGACCCTCTCCACTATCCTAACTTGCCTACACAGGCAGAATACAGCACCTCGCCCAACTACGACTACTCTCTGAACGGGGAAGAAGCTTCATCCCTACTGCTCAACCATCAACATGCCCAAAACATATTTCCAAGAGGCTGAGCTGACGTTCTGCCCAAAACATTTATATTCTAGATGGATTTTGGCCATTTCTTTCGTTTATTTTCTCTTATTTTTATTAAATGTGGGAAAAAATTAAGGATGGTTTCTCAACGTAAGAATCTGAAACTCCAACTTTTTGTAAACCAAATTTCTACACGAATGTCCGAAGAAGTTGCTACTGCTTGCTAGCCTAAAGAATCTTTTCAATTCCTCTATTCTTCATTACGATTAATCTCACCTTTGATTAGATACTTACAAGAATCTGATTCCCTTTTGTTTTAAAGAGCAGAAATTGCATGTTGGAACGCTTCGAACTTTAGTGGCTCATACATCGAAAGAAACCACAACTAAATTTTCTTTCCATTTAATAGTAGCTGGCAATCACAACCACACCGCAATAGACAAGAACCTAGAGCCATATTTCTATTGATATTGTCCTCATCTTACTTTCCTTTTCGTAATCTTAAGATTTGGAATCTGATTAAAGGAAAATGAAGCATTCACTTTCGGGTCAATTCACATGCTCCTCGTCTGTATGGATAGTTCTGTATGATAGTCTTCAGGAAGTGAAACTACTGCCCAGAATGGACACAAAGATACCTTTGTTAAAAATTAAAGAGGAATCGACCTTAGGAATGGCCTAGCTATGTCCTCAGGGATGACTTTTTCCCATCAAGGAAGATTTCGTAAAAGGTATGATGCCCGTGTACAGAGAAGAAATATTGAATGATAGGATGATTTGTGTATAAATGGAATGATAAGAAGCACCATTTATTAACTAAATTAATATCGATAAGAAGCAGAAGAAAAATATTTATTCCACAAAGGAAACCCGCTTCGTTTATCATCACGAAAATGGAATATTATTTCTAGAACTCTCTAAGCAATCAAGAAAATAAATTCATTTTACATATTATATGAAACTTCATCCTAGACAAGAGAAAGATCCACAACAAACTCATTGGCATACCTCAACTGCAGTTTCATGGGCAGGGCTATAGACCAAGTGAGGAGGTAGCAGGCCAGCGATATGTTCTGCTGTGGCAGCAATAGCAGCTTTTATGGGCATCCTTAAAAAAAAATCGAGTATTCAGTACTGCTACCCGCAAATCAAGAACAGGAAAAGCCACACCGAACAAACATAACCTTAAAAGACTAAAGAAGAGTGCGTGCATCATTTATGTCTTAACCTTAAGTCCAACAAAAGTGACCGATTATTGCATTGCAAATGGCTTTCCCATGATGGCGACTCAGATTGGACAACAATGATCATGTCAGAAAGCCCCTTTGCCTGATAATGTTTGTCCACAAATAGTGGATCACTATGTATGAACCAAAAGATTGGGACTTCAAGGGTAGAACGGCTACTTGAATGCTTTCCTGAATAAAGCCATACTAGCATGTAAGCATAAATATACGGAATAATCTGTGAGTCAACAGATACTTGAGATGACCTGCATCTTCGATCTCAAATTACCTTTAAGCAACCCATGATCACTCGATCTCTGCAACTGATGCTGGAGAATAGAAGAATCAAGATATGAACGAACAGTTGACCTGTATGTTCCATTAACAAGCAAAAGTGGGACAGCAGCTGCCCGACGTGCCACTGAAAATGCCATAGCCAAAGGATAATTCTCTGAAAGACTCAACCTAAAAAGAATCAAAACATGTCATTATCAAATCAAATGGCATTTGATAAAACATCGAAGTAAAATTTTCTCAAATGTAATTTTTTTCTGGATTAATTTCATTATTTCTTCCTATAGAAGAATAAACTTCTTGAAGGGATTAATATTCAAAGCAGAGCCTTTGAACATTTCTTAACTCATAAATCTTTTAAGAAATATGCATTACACAGATATCTGTAGCTGTCGAATATAAATAAATGTAGTAATGTCTAGAAAATTGCTAGACGTGATCACTGAAAATAATTTATTGATTTATGAAAATAATAAATTCCTAGACACGATCAAAAAATAAAAGATAATAAAACCAAGAGCATAGAGTTTTGCGACTAACAATACTTCTTGAGATAGCAAGTGAAAACATACAAATTTGTGCCAAATAACACCTCTTGAGAGGGCCACAGCAAAGATGAAAGCCCTTCCTTAAGAGCCACGAGATTCACAGGTAACTGCTTAATATTTTTCTTCTGAAACAACAACGCAAGTCAAAAAGATTGCAATACAGGAATACCTATACAGGACGTAGAATAATAATTTACCTCTTGAGTAATGAAATACAGTTGGAATGATATCTTCTTGTAGTAATGATAAGCCCCATCAGCGGTAGAGGGGGCAATTACGTGGCTCATTGAACCCCTCAAGGTTGCCCCAAGATGAGCTAGAAATGAATCACGTGCAACAGTGTAGTTCTGGTGATCCTATACGCATGCAATAAAACAAGGATCAGAGGAACCGAGATTCAAGCGATAATTGTCAGATAAGAATGAAGCATCGCAAAGAGAAACATATTAGACCACAAGCATAGGATAACATCCACACACACTAGTGTGCCACACATTTACATGATAAAAGTTCTTGAATTGAAAATAAACTTGAGTACCTCATATGTATCACTGAATAAATTCCAATTCTCCATTCTTCTTAAGGCATCCATGGCCTTTTTCTTTTGGCTCTCATCATGCTCTTCACCATCGTATGACTGTAGCTCACTTTTCAAGTCCCGCATCCTCTCATCAAGTTCTGAACCATTAACATGTAAAGGACATAATGTACCAAATTGATCTATTCACATTTTTGCTGGTTCACAGATACAAATGGTTACCCCAAAACAATGATTACTTTTTTTAAACCAAAAAAATCGTCTCTTTCTTTTTGAACGCCAAGGTTATAATTACACAAAAAAAAATCACTGTTACATATCAAACTTGCTTATTTTCATCTACTCCACTCATTTCTTTGACAGGATGTCCACAAGAATACAGCTAGGCATCTTTCGACCTTTGAGTAAACAGTGAAAAGATAAATTACTGCTTTCGAATTTATTTTTCGAATAGTGGAAAGTATCACGTATTCACTTGGATAAAGAAAAGAAGAAAAAGGCTTTTGAAGAATGCATTCGATTGGCTTTGAACACCCAAATAGAATTACCTTCGCAGAGAGCGAGTTTCACCTTTCTTCCCTTGCAGTGTTTGAAAGCAAAAAACTCATAAATGTCAATCTCAGCGAGGAGTATGTCAATGGCTTGATGATCCTGTCACATGAGAATAATATCAATCCCAGGAGTACACACAGTACATTAAAAAATAGTCGAATCATTTTGTTAGAGAAGAAGAGAAACTAACCAGTAAAAATACACCCAACCAAGATGTAAATATTAGAAAAGGTTGAGGACATGTTACACCAAGGCAGAGGATGCCACAGGCATGGTTTCTAGGCCAAGACAGATCTAGCACTGTTACAGTGTGTTCTGTCAAAGTTTTCTGTCCTTGGCAATGTCGACAAACATCCACTTTGGTCAAAACTCTCCTGTTTATAGCTGCTTCATGATAGTAGTTGTTGTTTAATTGGATTTGCATGATTAATACGCTACCAAGTCAGGATGTAGCTACTCTTATTATGAATATGTCAGAATGTTGTACTCCAAGTAAGATTAATAACTTACGAGTTTGATTTTTTAAATAATTATAAATCATAGTGTATTTAAACATCCATGTGGAGTTTCGAAGAGCTAAAAAGTGAACCATTTTAACGACTATCATTGAAGAAACTTTTTAAGGTTAGGTCTGTAAGTTTAGAATTAAAGATTGAGCGATCTAGCTACAGCGTTTGAAAAGAGAACCGTTTGCCAATCTTTGTGCTCTATCCTTAAATCAAAAGGAATATTCTATTTTTCTAACGGTCATAAAAAATAAGTCTACGCAATAAACAATATTCAAGCCTGCATCTCAAAAATGATTCATGCTATAAAAAGATCATATTTTACCGGTGATTTAAGCTTGTCTTTACGGTCATATATTGTTACCAGCTATTTCAAGAACGAAGTTACAGAGAGAATGAAAAAAATCAAACAAGAAACAAAATTAGGCAACTTAAGCGAACCTTCCTTCATTGTGTTTTCACTGGTGGAATCTCAAAGGTAGAGTAGAAATGCTAACCGGGACGAAAAGCACGGCCAAATAACAGTGATAAAAAAGAGCATGTATTACTTGTTCAAAAAGAAATCAGAGAAAAGGGCAAGAGCTGGTTCACGAAGAAGTCAACAATATTGATAAGATTTGAAGCTGATCATTAGTCATATGATTCTGGATAACTCAGGGAATTAGCACTTTCCTTGAAATGAGGTTTAACACGCTTAGGGAAAGAGCAAAACGCATATATTAGTACCTAACCAAAGGAAAAAAACATTACGACAGTATCTACAGAAGGAATTCTATCGTACATCACCAAATACAGAGAATCTTTCACGAATAGCTTCTTGCAACTGATCTTCCGCTTCCTCTTCGGTTGCTTCTGAGGAATGTCGAGAAAAAAATTTAAATAAATCTCTCGAGAAAAGGTAGAAATAGGTAAGCCATGATAAAGTAGTGGAAATATCTGCAACTTGTCGAGCCCTTGTGATATATTCTACTATTATGACATTATGCACAGAGCCACTAAAGAACAGTTGCAAACAAGGAAACATATCTTGGAAGAATCATGAACCGTTAAGAATTTTGTATTGCTCCTGAAATTAATCGTTCTTTCATTGTGGATAGCTTATAGATACCAAAAGAGCAATGTATAGATGATATGTACTTGTATTTAGGCCGTGGGACTAGATGCATAACACAGGATTTGGGCAGTAAATATGGTATTTACGAGGCATACTATCACAAAATACCCTCGAATCTTGGATACACATAGATATCACTTGACCTATAGCAAACTTGACCAAGTGGCTGGAACCCAACTATTAGGGGTATGCAACCATCTGCCACACTGGAACTATTATACATGCACTCGAGCCGAACTCATATGAGAATTAGCTAAAAGGTTCAAGTAATCATAAGGCACAACCTGACAACTGTCCCTTACAATTTTTTCCAATCCCCCTTCATTTTCCCTGGATAATGAGGTTGATGTCTAACATGCGAGGTAACTATCTGTAAGTCTATATGAACAAGGTAACATTATGACAATTGAATCCCGCTCCAACCATTAACTAATCCATGATATTCCTGTTCCACGTCACAACTCATGAATGTGTAAGAATAAGTGACTCTCAATCCCCCATGTAGCTCCTTGGAGAAATTTTAATTCAATACTCTGAAAATAAGTGGAACATTGATCCAAACATAGAATTAGATGAACTTAACGGAAGATATTAGATGGCACTCACTGTACCACATTAATTTCAAAGAAAATTCTTAGTACCAGAAACTGCGCCAATTGTTTTTCCAACATTGGGTAAGCTGAACTCTGTTCGAACACCTTCTCCAACAACAGCTGGACCCCAAGAAAATGATCCCAGAGTCAAATCAGCAAATGCCCATCTGATACAAAATTATGTCAATAGTATTCCTCAAGGTAGAGATCATTAACATCCTTCTTTCAATACGCAGAAGAAAGTGAGAAGTGAACCTGTCTCTTCCAACCCACGTATCCGTGAGACATTCCGCATGAAGGCCAGCCATGTCCACAGATTTTAGCTCTTTTTCAAATAGAAGCCTCGTATCATCCTTCACTCCGTGCCGTATCTAGGGAGAAAAAGCTCGGAAGGTACAAGTAAACCCTCTATTTTGTTTTCCAACGCGTCCAAACATTGAAATATTGAAAGAAATTTCTTACGACGGATAACAAAAATAACAAACCTGAGATGCTTTGCAATAAATGATTTCAGCAGCATCTTTGTTTTGTAGAAACGTTTCCACATTATTCAAGGCATTTTGCATATTGCTAGACCAGTTTTCCTGACCAAAAGAAAATAAAAAATGAAAGGTAAGAAAAAAAAATTGAAAAAAACCCTGGCACTGGCTAATGATCAATGCTGCTCTCTGTTTAAATAATTGCATTTAAAACTTATGAACGATGGTCACATAGAGTCAGCGCACAGGCAAAATGGGCCACAGGAGTCAGTAGAAACGAAAAAGTGTTACCATTTTAGCAGAAAGGATTTAAAACATACCGGCCAATAAAATTAGTCAGCCTATCATTTTGAATGATTTATAACATAACAAATGGTACGTCACCATCTGAATGAACTGTCTAAATATAAACTGATGAAATAATTTTTAAATATCAAGTCAGATAAATAATGATTTTAAAAAGCCGTTGAACTTAAAATATTTGAATAGAATGGAAAAAGTAGCTTCACTGTATCAATTCCTTCAGCCGCTGTCCATGCAAATTTGGACATAGGGTGATTCACATACAAAGGCTTCTGGCTCTTGACTTTGTTGAACTCTGCAAAGATAAGAAGTTTTGGTAGAATGCCTGAAAAGTTAGTATCTAAACACTAAATGCAAAGATTATTTGTATAAATTTGGCCATAGTTGGCCGTTAAAATAGTATTCTGTTTCTTTGGCCAGAAAACTGGTGACTGGCCGGAAGATAGTTGTATCTACTAAGAAACCAATTGAACATTCTAAAATAAACAAGGCAAGAACAAGAACAAGAACTCACCGAGAAGACCTTGAATTGAACTATCTGATTTTGCAATCTTCTCTTGCAAAGTTTTGTTCTGTAAGAGAATCCAAGATCTGAACAGTATCAGAAAGTAACATTGAAAACAGCACAGACGAAAAGTGCACAGTCAAAATATTAATATATGCAGGAAATAAGAACTTCAATCGAGGAATACTGCATTAAGTCCTCGAAAGGAGCACCCATCTCATCACCTACCTAGCTTAACAAAGGATAAAAATTAATTGTGTAATTAAACATGGAAACCAGAACCTAAAGGCAAGATTTGATCCTGTTTGCTCTGGGTTTTATGCAAAATGGAGTCGAGCTAAGAATCAAGTCACTCCTAATATCTACTTCTTTAGACTGATCAATCATTCAAAAACATATCCGTTCATGTGCAATAAACTTCTAAAGCACCCTGCAGAAATATTAGTTCCCCCATCTGGCCCAGTATGCTGGACAAGAAACTTCATTTGTAGCCCTAATAGATTGGCTCTCCAGACGATCGATAATATTTACATACTAGGTCGATCAATTTCCAGTTAACTTATTATCTCCTACTGAATGAAAACTTGAGCCTTCAAATCTTCTAATCTGTTATAAAAAAATTGATTCATTAAGTCCAATGTCGCAATCCATCACTTCAAAGACAAAGAGAGGCTACATCTTTAGGTGGGTAATAGCTGCTTGACAGATCCACTGAAGTAAAGAGTTTCGTTCAATCCAATGTATCAATCTCAGCTGCTCTGTCCCGTTGAAAAACCAGATCTGTGACCCTCTGAAATTACCAACGGTAACTTCATAGATTGAGTTTTTGGAACGTTCATCTCAAACATTATTTTGCATAATCTGCAGACTGTAGATGCGAGAAATGAAAAAAAGGTTGTTTCTATGAACCTTGTCATCATCCAATCATGTCTACACGAACAGCTATAAGATCAGCAAGCAGAGAAGCTCTTCTTTTTACAAAATATCACAAACGTATAAAAGAAAATATAAATCCTCAACGGCCTCTCATAAAATTATATCATTGCGGCCATTAAGTTATTCTTGACAACTCGTCGAAAATGTCATTAAAACCAGAGAAAATATGAGCCCCAGGAGATCTGTTGGCATCTCATTGCCCTATTCTACCAAGATGGCAGAATAAGCAATTTACCTGCTTCTTCATTGATCTGGGGCAAGATGATGGCTTCTAGGATATAGACCTCTACCGATCTAATGTTTATTCACTATATTCTGCCTATCATCTATACCGTCATCGGTTCTCAAACTCCTCTCACGAAAAACAACGACCATAGTTACTGGAACCCATGAGAGGGTTTTTGAACATAAGATAATTGTTATGGGAACTTTAACAACAACATAGCTTCTCAGTATGTTGAAGACTGGAAAACGAAAGTTTCAAGACTTGTTGAAGCTAAGAACTCCCACTTCCACCAATCTCAAGCGAGGTTTCATTTTTCCACATGCATACCCCATGCATTGTGACACTCGGCAGCAGTCCGTGTACCACAGATTATGATCCAGCTATTACCATATAGAAATCAGAATCTTTGGCGGGCCTCCTGTCAAAAATTCTCATATATGTAGCAGAGTAAAGCCGAAAAAGAAATCCATCACCGATACATGTAAATTTTCCTTCCCAAACATAGACCTTGTCTTGTTTTTGTTTAGTTCAGCATACTCAAACTAAATTATCAAAAAATTTCTTGGTCCAAAAATTAATCTAAGACTAGGTTTTAACCCAGAGCATGATAAGGATTCCATGAAAATATCCAAGCTGAGGATGATAGTTTTTGTGCGGTAGGCCCACTGATTGAGAAAATAGAATTGTAATTAAGTGAACATTCCAGAATCTTAGTTACTAGTACATGCACACTTCCGTGATTTAGCTGTAACAAAAAGACAACCTACCAAAAACGAAATAAAAACTAGGTTTTATTTCTTTGCAAAAGAAAAGGGGTTTGTAACACAGATGCGGATATTTCCCAGGTGAAAGTTTGACCTTCACTAGAGCAGGTTCTAAATGTAAAGCAAACTAGCATATCCAGTTCATATTGTTTGAAATGAAAAAACAGATCTGATTAGGCATACCTTCCTAATAAAATTTATTTCCGACTCTGACAAGCCCCTCCTACAGGAAAGGAAACGGGTGCTTCATGTTCTAGCATTAAAGCTAATAGAAAAACAGAATATGAAAACTAAAAACGAATAACTGTAAACTTTTCACACGTAAACAAGCAGAAAACCACGTGACCTGAAGACGTGAGACAGACTATTTCGACAATTTGATTCCTGTTAATTTGTACAAACATGTAAACAAGTCTCCGCGAAGTGTCAAACAGGTAATAGACACATGTATGATCTGCATTATCGCAGAGACTTATTTTCATTATCACCATCTTCACTGTGAAGGCTTGACCATCTTATTGGATAATATGGTGCTGAATCTAAATGATCTCTCTGGTTTAACTTTTTATAGTTGTTCTCTCAATAGATGAGAGTCACTCACTTGTAAAGCATTCTGAAACTCCCCACGAGGGTTCACATCTCATGATAATCCCTCAAATATTTCACTTCCGTTAATTAAGTCAATTTAAACAAAATTTTCAATATCAGCAACTTGTCTTAAGGAAAAATCCTTCGATGGAACTGACCTATAGCCATAATTAACTTTTTTGGCATCATGTCTTGGATTTAAGATGAAAATATTATATGCATCCACAAGCTGAAGATAATCAACCAGACTTGAGAATAGATGATACATCATATCAATGTCCACTTGCCAAAGAACGCTTTCATCATCCCTGTAAATGAACAAACTTGATCAGAATGTGGAATTCAACAGCAATAAATTCATAATACACCAATTTTCAAAATTAAAAATCCAAAAAGAATAAACACATATTCCATTCTATCCAGAATTCATATGATTACCTGGCATCTGTGATGTCATCCCTACGGGAAAAAACCTTTATGGCATGCTCAAAAATAGATGTCACCTTTTGTCCCATGTTTATGGCATGGACAGAAAAACTGCATTTAACACAGGGATACAGAGTCACGGAATGCAGAATGATTATATGTAGCTCAAAACATCTTTGATTCAGGAAAGGAAAAAGATAATTGTGTCAGAGGGCGTTAAAAGAATGAGCACTTAAGCAGATGGTAACATAGATAAAGGGTAATCAAGGTAGTTTCATTTCGGTAGAAGATACTTGCGCCAAAAATGTCATTTATTTGCCGTTGAAGGAAACTTCCTCATAAGTCTAGGTGTTATGCAGGGAATTGAAGAGGTCCCACCTTGGCTTTCACCTAATCATCATAAATGCACAAGCAACTATGATCTTGAAACCAGGGAACCACCAGTAGCCATCCAGAGATATTTAATAGATGCATTCCACACATTGCCATTCTTCTCTTTGATTTTTTTCTGCTACCGTAGATTTTTTGTTTGTTTGTCAATGGCACCACAGGAGCAAACAGATTTTTAGGTACCATAGTTGCCCTAGAGAGGATAAACATTCATATTTCTTCAAGAGTGTGGGAGCAGGTTTAGACATTTTTGTGAGGATTCTTCAATCATGGGGGATTTGGATCCTAGTCTAGTCAACATCGTCTTAGTAAAGACTCTGGCAATTTCATACAGAGCTTTTTTCTTTAAGAGATAGTTAAACATGTACATGTTTATGTTGCTCAACTAAAATAATTAATACACATGGCCCACTTTTTGGCAGAATAATGTAATGACACCACGTAGGTTCATAACAGAATTACGTGCTAGATTTTAAAAAATTACTGTAGGAATAAACATTGGTTTTGGCAACATTTTACAACGATTTGGAATTTTGAAACAAGAAGTTCCCCTCAACATCTAATGGTTAAGGTTACAACCTAGGTTTTAGGCAACAAACGGGATGTTAGCAACAGATTACCAGCCAATCATTATTTAGAGTTTAGGGTTGGCAGTGCAAAATCCGTTGGATTCGTCATCCAAGTCCAAGATGAATGATATAAGCAGTGTAGTGATTGCTCTTGTTACTGGAAATTAATGAAAAAGAGCTAAATGAACATTAAAAAAACGACAAGGCTGAGTAATCACTTGTAATTTATATGGCTGACAAGTGGAAGATGGTGACGTTGGACTTTATCGAAACTGATCTTGTAAAACGGGTTAAGAACCTCTCCGATTGGTGGAATTCGAGTATGTTCAAATACGTGATCAATTTTTGTAAACCATCGTTCCAGCTCCTCAGGACCTAAGTTGAACCCTAGAAAAAAATTAACGAGAAAAACATGTCACTGTTCCAGAAAGAAAGATCAGATAAGGAAACTATAATAAGACAAGATATTTACCATGATTCCCTTGTCCATCGAATCCTAAGAAAATGAAGTTCACATGAACAGGGATGTACAAAGAAACGACCTCTGACAGCTCCAAATAATTTGCGATATTCCCTATTACACAATAAGAAGCATTAGTATAACCACAAATTTTCTGTAAAGAGTTTTTTAAAACAAAAGTAGTTTTTAAGGGAAAATATAAAATTGATTACATGTTGATAAGTTCCATGCGAAAGCCAATTATCTCTTGATAACACGAAGAACAAAGACCACATTTCCAACAGTATCAATTGCAGGAATATCCGACTCCATAGAAGACACTTTATTTGAGAAATGTCTCTTTAGCTCGATGTTTGGCAATAGTTGAGAAGGTATAGTGACCTGAGTACCATTTGCTTTCTTTTGTCTTTATCATATCCCCACTATCCCTCCTTATGCGTCTATCTTTTAAGTTATGTTTGAATCTATGCCGTTTGCTAAATATGGCAAACGATGGATTCCAGATTGTAATTTTAGTGAAAACTCAAAAAAGATCAAATTTTCAAAAAGGCCAAGAATGAGATGACGGAACTAACATATATGTGAGGTACAAGACTACATTGAAGCGTTTTATGACAGTTTTACCATAGTGTAAAAACTTCTGGAAACAATTATAAAGTACAGATATCTTGGCAAAGCAACCCACTCTTCTGAGGAGCTGAAAACTCAAAAAGAAAACGTATGGCAGGGATGGTCATCTCTTCATTCCATTTAAAATATAGACATAATGATAAGAGTACAGGACGAAACAAAGGGTAATAGAGCTAACGTACAACAACTGCACTAGTGTTGCTGGGAACACTGGAAACCAAGGATTGTAAAATGACAATGAGCAAAATGGTAGTTTTCATTACCTGCCTTTGTGTAGTTGTATGCGCCCATTTTAGCAGGATCAGATAATACCGAACTTTCCAAGTCATCGAAATCTGGAAATAATTCATTTCAGCAACAATTTGACCCAGGATAAATTGTTAGCGACTATGAAGATAAATGCCGGACATTTCTTGGAACAACAACGCTACAGATCTCCATAGACGCACAGAGATAGGGAGGGAGAGGTCATCGAAGTGCATTCTTCGACTATGCAATGGCAAAAACGCGCAGAAAAGGAGAAAAACATGTGCAACATGACGGAAATTACCAACGTCCAGCCTAGACAGGAAAACTATGAAAAGATAACTAAGAGCCCGGCTCACCTCCGTGAATCACCTTCTCGCTCCAGAACTTGCTCTTCGACTTGAGATTGAACAGCGAGAACACCGATGACTTCCCCCCCTTGCGGTTCGTGAAAGGAGCTCCGTCACAGCCGGCGGCCAACAGCTGCAGACAGGAGAAAACAAGCCGAAGAGATGACTGTGGCAGAACGGAAACTACCTCAAAATCCACGACAGAGCGGTGCAAATTCAGACCAGAACGATCCTGAACGATCCGACAGAGAGATAGGCCAGCGAAGTGAATACACATCGAGAGCAATATGAAAAAGCAGTATCGAGGAGACAAGGATCTCGATCGCCAGCTCACCAGGAAGATCACCGAGAAACCGGCGGTAAAGAGAAAAGGGGAAGGCTGCGCCCGGTGCGACGTCGCACGGGGTGGAGAAGGTTTGCGCCAAGCGGAGAGGAAATTCGCCATCTCTTCCCCTCGTGATCCACCGGAGATGGAATCTCCTCCTCCCATTCGGTTGCTAGCCCTGAAACTGCCGCCGCCCTCTCCTCCGATCCACGACGGCGGAATATTTCCCGACCCTCGGCGGCGGCGGCGGCGGCAGAAGGACAAGTAACTCGCACTGACTACCGCTGGGGAAGCCCGACCGGGCCGATCTGGGACGGCCGGGGCAGACATGGGTCAGCCTGGCCCGACCTGGGCCCGCTCGCGTGTGACGGGGGGCACTCCTTGGGCATACGCGTGACATAACAAAAACTCTCGGCCTTAAATTAAATTTATGTGAACATAAATAAAAGTTTCAGCTTTAACGCTCATGTTTCGGAAATGCAAAGGCAAGTCACTGGAAATGAAGGTCCCCTATATTAAAAATTGCGAAGAACATTGAGACACCGGGAACGTCCATGACTCGGATGGGCGAGTTAGAAACCCCGAGCGAGCAACCAGAGGACGAGTTCTCCTTCCTCTACTCGCCGCCAGTCGCCGGCCGGCGGAGCGAGAGGTCGCCGATGGCGGAGATGAGCTCTCCCAGATTCAGATCGTCCACCACTGCTGCGTCCGCCTCCTGCAGGCTCTCCTGCTCCATATTGTCGGTGTCCGGAAGGTGTTGATCGCCGCCCGGATCTGCCGCCGCCGGCGAGACGTCCGCGGAGCTCTGCTCCAGCGCATTCTTTAGCATGGAGCTCAGCTCATCTTCCTCCTCTTCCTCCTCCGCCGCCTCGCCTGGAATCCTAAGGTCCCAGACCTTGAAGATATCTTTAGCCAGGTCCACTTCCGCCCCCTCCTCCCCGCCGAGGGAGACGGAGAATTCGTCGCCGTCGTCGTCTCCATAGTCCACCGGTTGCTCGGGGAACTCGCTGCCAATAACCACCGCCTCGACACTCAGGCGTGCACCGCTTTCTCCCCCAATCTCCTCGATCCCTGCGGCGGTGTTCGAAGAAGAAGCCACCGCACCACCGAGGCCGCCGGGGAACGGGTGGTCGGAGAGAGTGCCTGCATAATCGGGGGCGGCCGCGGCGATTGATGATATCAATTCGCCTCCCGAAGCATCGATTCCCGTCGATCCCTGATAATCGACGTCGGAGGACTTGTCCACACTCTGGTTCTGGTCGTCCGGAACAGTGGGAGCCGCCCCGGAGAGGGAAGCGAGCGCGGTGATGAACGCCTCCGTGAGGACGGCCCACCTGTCGTCCGACAAGTTCTTCAGTTCATCATCCTCGGCGCCAGCGCGATCATCCTTGGCCAGACAGGAATCCGCCCACGCGGCCGCATCCTCAGGAGAGAGCTCGTCCTCGTCCTTCCCGTCGGCACCGCCTCCAGCCGCTACCACCATCGTCCTCGTCCTCGTCCTCGTCCCTCCCGTCGTCCCCTGCCAGACCAGAGAGGCATACATACTGCGGCGATCGAGCGAAAGCGAACCGAATAGACCAGAGAACGACGAGGGGAGACGCGTCGGCGCCAGGTAATTTAGGCAACCAGGTGATGTTCTGCAGAAGCACGAGTTGGATGGGACGGAACCCTAGAGGATGAAAATGACGAAAGACGGGCCTCCTCCCCCAACGGCGCGCAAAATCAAGGTTCATTCTACGTTGAAGATCATGCCGGTGGTGGGGCGAAGGGAGGGGGCGGACGTCAACAGGTAGAGGGGGACATACCTGCGATGAGCGCGATCGAAGAGGAGACTAAAGGACTCTGTGAGATTCTTCTTCCCGCCTGGGAGAGGGGATTTGTGCTGGACGGACGACGGCAACAAGGAAGAATACACCCCGGAGGGGGAGGGGGCAAAAGAAGAGGCTGCGAAGAAGGATTGTGTTCAAAATGGGATTCCGTTGCCGGGACTTGAACCCGGGTCTCTCGGGTGAGAGCCGAGTATCCTAACCAACTAGACTACAACGGATTTGCTTATTTAAGCCTCTTCGATAAGTTCTCAGCAATGTACGCTCTCAGCCTCGGCGGTAAAGAAAAAGAACCCGATCCCCGTTCGTTGTCCTAATTCCCAGCCATTCGCTTCTTCTCTCAACGCTCAGTGCCACGTTTGTTGCGCAATGGATGATTTCTCAGAAGGATTCTATATCATCAGAATCTCTGTCCGATCCAGCTGGACCAGAACACCAGACCACACCTTCGCTGTGTTGCGTGTAGCATCACCAGGCGCGGCAGGCATACGCAGGAAGAAAGTGCGCATGTTTTACTCAAATAAGCACACCGCGAGGACGGCAGGGAGGCGGCGGAGCTGTGTCCTCCAGTCAGCAGCGATGGCGGTGCCCCCGCCTGCCCCGAGACAGCCGGGCCGGTCCCTCCTGGCTCGACGAGGCATCCCCCTCCTGCCTCATGAGCTTCTTCAATATGCAGGCCACCGCGAGCTGGGTGCCGAGCGTGGAGTGCCCTCGCGACAGACAGACGATCCCTCCGACGAGCAGAAGCCCTTTCGCTATCCACGTCTTGGAAGGCTTCCTCGAGAGGAGTTTGAGGTTCTCGCCCGGATCGTCCCCACCCGTCTGCTTCACGAGGACGGCGCCGCCGCTCGAGCTCTCGTAAGCTCCGGGTGTAACCGTCTCAGTGTCGCCCTCCAAACTAAGCGGCACCTAGAAAGAACAACCAAGACGATCGACCTCAGTTTAGAACAACACTCGACGCAGATGTTTCTATCCGGCATGAAAATGGTAATAGTAGTGATAACGGGAGAGAAGAAGAAGCTCCTTGGCGCCAGTTTCCATCATTCGCTTTTGAAACCAGCGAGTAGGGAGGAGGGCAGCCGTCGCTACCTGAACGAGCATGGGCAAGGGTGGTCGCATGCGAAGAGAGTAATCGCGCAGAGCGCTGTTCATCTTGCAAATGTAGCTCCATATTCCCTTGGCAAAAGCTATTCTGGCCAGCTCCACGTTGAGACCGGCGTCTTCTTGGTGCACCATTTTGATCTCGCACGCATCTGTGCCTGCGACTGCGCAGAAATACGATCGTCTCAAATCAAGGTCAGAAGAAAACATCAAAAACTTGGATTGGTGGATCTCATTCCGCGGACGACGCCGGGCGGCAGAGAGCCAACCCAACGGCCGATCAACTCCACCACTCTCTAATCAGTGTGGATGATGCTTCAGGTGACATTCCTCGGATGGAACATTCGATCCGAGATTTTCTTTGCACCCATCGTCCGATTTGGTTCCTGACTAAAACGGAAAATGGCAAAAAGGGAAAGACCTCGGACGAGCAGCAGAGTGGTTCCTTGCCTTTTCTAATACGCCAGCCAGACCTGAAGAATCCAACTCGCACAAGCTTCTTCTGTCGGGGAGTCGAAGGGTGCTCACAATCCTGAACCCACAAGATGCGGAAAATCACAAGACGTTGAAACCATTGCAGAGGAACAAGATGCAGGATTATCGAGAACTAGCAAACCATAGAATCATGCGGCTCAATTAAACACATGAACTACGTCCTGGCCCAACACTGACCACAGGCTGGAAACTGGCAAAGCAGCAATTGTTTCGAGGACATAATAGGCGGCCTTCGTCTCCGATAATGAGTTGCATGCCGATCCTCACTGAGTAGTGATCACAAGTTGGAAACTGGAAGATTAATGGCGCTTTGTACTTTCCCACAGAACAACAGTGTACCCTCATCCTATCTTTCATCTCGCAGCATGGCATACTATGAGCACCGAGAATAAACCTTCAGCCCAGGTTTAACTAATAACGACAATGTACGACCTGCATGCTCTTGAGATTTTGATGCATAGGATGTGTGGGAAAAGAAGAGGAAAGGGGAAGCTCTGAACCCGTTCCTCATTTACGTCAAGCTGAGTCTTCCGAGTGAGACTCTGAGAACTCATCCAAACACCGGACTACTAGTTGACCCACCCTCCATCTCAGTCTGCATCCCGGCCACTGATTCTGACCAAGGCCCAGGACAGGAAATGCCCACGAACCAGCAGCCGCAGACATCCCCAACACCACAAAGGCAAGTAATATCAAAGAGTCGCATGCAGCCGCAAGAAGAAAAGCACGCGAGAATCGCTGATGAATTGTACGCAAAGAGAATGTTCTTGTGAAAAGTCTCACCTTGATGAAGCAATAAAAGGTGCCGTCACTCCCCCCCCACACCCGCCAGGCCAGCACATACTCCCGAAGGCTCAGAAGAGGGAACTTCTTTATCGTTCGCCCAACTTCGGTCCCGCTGGCTTCATCGACCTCCAGCTGCTGGTGGTCGACCAAGGTTTTATCCCACGCTTTCCTGTACTCATTATCCATGTAGAAATCTCTCAACATCTCGGTAGAGCAATTCTCAAATACCGTAGCGCTCAGGTACTTCAAGGGGCCCTCCTGCAGGAAAGCAGCTACTGATGTCACAGGGAAGAACTAACAAAGCGGAGTCGTCGAAGTAACCAATCAAGAAGCCACGCGTTCCGTGGCTTGGTGCCATACGGGAACGGGGGAATACGAGGACCATTCTTACATGGTTCAGATCTGCAAGGGAACCGACAACAGTGGTGGAAGTATAATGAGAAGAGTGGACACCAAATCAGCAGAGGGCATACCTTCGGCCTGCAACATTTTGCCATGTAAGAAAACTGGTCGCTCTTTCTGTCTATGACATCTTCCCATCTTTCTCCAGCGTTCAAATTGCCTTCGAGATTGTATATCAGCTGTCTCAAATCTTCGTCGGATATGATCTTCGAGATCCTGCCAAAGAGATCAGTGCACCCATGTGATTAATGACACGCTGGAGAAGAGCCACATAGGAATCTAACAGCAGAGAAGAGGGCAGATCCGAAAGTCCTAGAATGAAATCCCGCACCCACTGCGCCCTGATGAAAGGGTTAGACTTGTGCGCAGAGATGGCGCCCTCAATTGGTATCTCCTCTGCGGGCTATCCCAAATATGGATACGGTTGAAGCCTGAACTGCTCTAATATTGAAGATGCCATGGGGGGGGGGGGTTCGAATATCCAAGGAAAGGAGGAAATTATCTAGCGGCGTTCTTTCGAATGCTATTCCGCCGCCCCATCGGGATACGGCCGATTCAGATGCAGGCCCGTCCCTTCTGCTCTAAGAATCCCAGAAGCGATGTGAGAACTGTGGTAATTTAGAAATCCAAGAACGTCACCAAGCGGAAACTTCGGCATGCGTGGAGAGCCGTTTACGCACACGAGCGGGCAAAGGATGAGCAGGAGGGAAATGAAAAAAACCAAAACCAACAGGGTAAGATTATCACGGGCGTGCGAATCGGAGCTAACCCTGACGAGGAAGCTCCATCCAGCGCACGGGCCGGCCACGCATCAGGAGAGGCCAGGGGGACGGTAAGCCTCTGCCGCCGGCGGGTCAAGAGGTTCCTCAGCCCCTGCCATAGTAAGACGAGGAGGAAGACGACGGCCGCCACCCAACCGCCGCCGGGGGGCCCCCACGAGGACCCCCTGGGAGGAATGGCCGCGAACTCAGTAGGGAGGGCAGTGGCGGCGAGAGGATCTTCCCCAGCCATGTCTACAAGCCACGGAGGGGGGAAGACAGCAGATATACAGAGAGATCTGCAGGACGACACGACAGAAACCAAGGAGAGAGATTTGCGTGCATCGACCCCTCTCCGTTCACAGCTCCCTACACCCTCCTCTCTCTCTCCCTCTCTTTCCCTCTCTTCCCCTTCATACGTATAGCTAGCGTTGTATGAATATATGTTCGCTCGACAGAAAGGGAGGCGTGGGCAGCGGTGGATATGGATCGGGCCGTCTGACTCTGAGAGCCGAGTGGTCCCCGCTTCCATTCGTTCTCGACACACAATTTTCCTTCCATTTTTTATTTTTCCTGTTTTTTCCGGCGCCTTCCCCTCCTCCAAGGAATCAGACGATGTACGCCTCACCTCTCCCTCTCCCTCTCTCTCTCTCTCTCTCTCCCCCTCTGAGTCAGAGTGGCTGGACGAATTATTTTTTCTATTATTTTCCGGAATATGATAAGATGACGAGGTTGGCTCCCTAGTTGGGCCCCACCCCGCTCAGGCAGACCCAGGGAGGCCCATTAAGCCGCCGGCTTAATGGGCCCGTGGAGACCCATGCAGTGAGTGAGTGAGAGAGAGAGAGAGAGAGAGAGAGAGAGAGAGAGAGACGTGATGGGTGGATAGAATCGGTCAATCTGTGCCGGCTTCAGCTCTGTCACCTCGTTGACCGGCATACCAGCGGCGATTTCCCCACCGCAGGGAGCTCTCCTTGTTCTGTCTCTCTCCCCTCATCACCGGGGAAACCCGCACCAGGATCAGGGGAACATCTCCTCCTCCTCCTCTTCCTCGTGTTTGCTTTCTCTTCTGTGCTCTCTAGTCCTCGCAGGTGCCGGCGGCGCCGGAGAGAAAGAGGACGGCACGGCGGCGGCGCTTTCTGTGCTCCGCGGAGGCATCTTCCGGTCGTCGTCCATGTGTGGGAGCGCCTGTTCTCCTTTGTGCTGCTGCGATCCTGGCAGGAGGGGCGGACTGCCTCAGTAGCAGTCGGAGAAGTTGCTCCTCGTCCGTGGTGGAGCGAGGAAAGGAAAATTAGGGCTCGATCCAAATTCCCCCCCTACTGTTCAGTAGGATTTGTGTGAATTTGGGGATTCAGTTCTGATCTCCGCCCTCGAGGAAGATGGTGGAAGCACCTAAATTCATCGGATTCATGGCTGGCGGCGTCCGGAACGACCACGACGCGACGAAGGGCATCTTCGATCTGGAGTTCTACGAGGCACTCGGGGAGGGATCCAACATGTCCATCCACAGCATGTGGAACCTTCAAACCGGCATGGGATGCGGTACCGTCGTCATGCCAGCGGATAACAGTAGCGTCGGGTCCAACAGCTCCCAGCGTACGCCTATGCTCTATTACCCAGGGACCCACCCTGTTCCCGTCGACTCCTCCGCAGGGCACAGCGTCCTCCGCCAGGGTGGTAGAGCATCCCACAACCTTGATGACGACGCCCTGGCTCGGGCCTTCCTGGACGAACGGTACCCCGCAGAGGGTTTGGAGAACTACGACGAGTGGACCATCGATCTGAGGAAGCTGAACATGGGCATGCCCTTTGCGCAGGGGGCCTTTGGGAAGCTCTACAAGGGCACGTACAGCGGGGAAGAAGTGGCAGTCAAGCTCCTGGAGCGGACCGTGGATGACCCCGGGAAGGCGCACCTGATGGAGCAGCAGTTTGCCCAGGAAGTGAGGATGCTCGCCACGCTACAGCACCCGAATGTGGTCCGCTTCATAGGGGCGTGCAGGAAGCCGATGGTATGGTGCATCGTCACAGAGTTCGCCAGAGGCGGCTCGGTCAGGCAGTTCTTGGGGAGACGAGATAACCGGTCTGTTCCGCTGAAGATGGCTGTGAAGCAGGCTCTGGATATTGCTCGGGGTATGACCTACGTGCATAGCCTGGGATTCATCCACCGGGACCTCAAGTCAGACAACCTCCTCATATCCTCGGATAAGTCGATCAAGATCGCTGATTTTGGAATGGCCCGCATCGAAGTGCAGTCAGAGTGGATGACGCCAGGGACTGGAACTTATCGTTGGATGGCACCGTAAGTTAAATTCTCCCACCTCCTCCTCCCCTCCCTCTCCCCCTCCCTCGGCGTTTTAATGGACGAATGGATGGGTGTCCTCCCAGATCCACCACCGACATTAGCTAGAAATCTTGGATAGTCTTTCTGCCTCATATGTTAATTAGCCTGGACTATTCTCAACTAATAAACATTAACAAAAAAAAAAAAAAAAAAAAAAAAACGGATGTCCATCGGCCGGCAACCTTATCCAGATTTGTGGGAAAAGGCTTCTTTCTTGATGATGGCCACAGTTATACGCCAAATCCTACGTGGTTTCGATTTTGTGAGGCGACCGTCAAGGTGAATCCCATATTTTTCTATTGTAAAAGCTTTCATCATTTCGTGCTCTTCAGATAACATTAGATCGCTCCGCCTGTTTCTCTCGCAGCAAAGTGGTTTCAATGATCTTTGGCTTTAGATCATGGTCATAATCAAGTATGCCTGGAATTATTTTTTATTTTTTATGTTTTGCTGCTATCATACGCCTTTCACATTTCAATCTCTTGCTTCTGCACTGGGGTTTATCTTTTCTGAACCCTCGGTCTTGCTGGTATTTATGAGCGATAAATGGTTTGTCAAGTTTCCCTAGGAGTGTTGTACTCCTGAATTCTCGCAAAATCTCTCTCTCTATATATATATATAGATGTCTGTATGTAGGTTGGCTACTATTCTGTGTGACGGAGAAATAATACTCCTTCCGTGGCTGAACCGTTTGAACTTGATGGCAGAGAGATGATCCAGCACAGACCCTACACGCAGAAGGTGGACGTTTATAGCTTCGGCATCGTCCTGTGGGAGCTCATCACCAGCATGCTCCCTTTCCAGAACATGGCGCCCGTGCAGGCGGCCTTCGCCGTCGTCTACTTGGGGATCCGACCGGCCATCCCCCAGGAATGCCCGCCGGTGCTGGCGGAGATCATGTCCCGCTGCTGGGACGTTGACCCGGATGTCCGCCCGCATTTCACCGAGATCGTGGAGATGCTCGAGAAGGCGGAGGCAGAGCTGCTGACAGCGGTGCGGCGAGCGCGGTTCAGATTCTGCATGTCCCAACCCATGACGACGGACTGACTGACTGAACCATTCACTCACTGGAGAGTTGGAGACCACCATCACCACCACCATCACCGCACCGCTACCACCAAATGAGCAGTAGGAGGAAGAAAGACGACGAAGATTTTTAAAGAAGAAGCGCCCCTTCCCCACCCTAGTTACTTTAGTGTACATTAAAATGAAAGAGGTGAGAAAGCTGGAGAATGCCAGTGAGTGATGCTACTTGTTGTGTGTAGATAGAGAAAGAGGGAGAGGCAGAACCGCCGGGTGTTCTTAATTGCCAGGCTGAGAAGCTTCTTCTGCCGCCTGTACGATGATCCCCGCCCGTGTTGTTATTATGCTCTTATGCTGATTGCTGCTGTTTTCATTTCTACGGCAACTGGGTTTTCTCTTTCGCAGCCACAGCCACAGTCGCGGGGATACCCCGCCCGTGTTGTTACTATGCCCGTAGGCCGCTTACTGCTATTTTCATTTCTACGGCAACTGGGTTTCCTCCTCGGCCACAGCCACAATCGCTGGACCGCCTGTTGCGTCTGCTTGTCGTGCAGGGAGACCCCCCCCCCCCGGCCGCCGAGATATCTACTTGCAGGAGACTCAGAGATAAAGAAGAAGCGCCATTTCACCGTGGGGGGCGCCGCCGGGGAGCCCAGGGCGGCAGCCCAGGGCGGCAGCCCAGTTCATGCCGAGCTTACGTCATTTGCAAGACAGTCAAAAACACGCGCACAACCCCAACCCAAGCCAGGCGGGTTACATATTTATATCCCCAAGCATCCAGTGTTACTCTACTTCAAGAGCTGCTACGTACGAGACAGGGTTAATTAAACACGCGCCCCAAGCAACAACGATGCATGCATAAGACCCGACTGCTGGCTGCTGTGGCGGGAGCAGGAGAGTCACACCCGCTTAGACGAGCGACGGGTACTGCTTCGCCTGCAGCCGAACCCTTCTTCTGTACTCCACCGCGTCCTGCAGAGAACCGAGGAAAAGGAGGGAGTGAGAAGAAGGGAGGGAGAAGGAGGGCCCAGGTCAGTGGGTTGGGGGGGGGCGGGGGGGGGCGTACCTGGATAAAGAGCTGGTATCCATCCGTCTGGGCGGGATCGGCCGGATTTGGCTGGTCCAGCAGGTCTTGTATGCCCACCAGAATCTGCTTCACGGTGATCGCGGGCCTCCACCCCTGAAAAATGGCCGGCCCTTTATTAGCGCTGGCCTCGCCAGGGCTCTTTCGCCACCACCACCAACACCACCGAGTCCTTTCCAATCTCTAAATCTTACAATAAAGAGAGAAAGAGAGAGGGAGGGAGGGGGGGGGACTCACGCTGTCTTCGTTCAGGATGGAGAGGCAGACCGTTCCAGAAGGATAGACGTTAGGATGGAAAAAGCCCTGCGGGAACTTGCACTTGGGGGGTTTGCTGGGGTAGTCCTCGCTGAAGTGGAGAGTGAGCGGATAGGAACCGCCATCCCAGTCAGTCTGCTAGAAAGGAAGGTCCAAACCATGAGAGCTCATTCCTGACGACGCTCGCTGAAGAAAGCGAATTCACAGTGGACAAAACATATCCAGCGAAGCGAAACACACACTAAGACAAAGAGAAGCTCTCACTCTCCCACCCTCCCTCCCTCAGAGACTTTGACCTTTCACCCTAGAATCTTCCTCTCCTTTCCACAAGGGGGGTGCACGAACATTCGGTCCCAGAAAGTTTAGACATAATCTAAATCCGGATGAGCGACCCGTGAGATGACATTTCGCACCGAAGCTGGTGAAGCACCCCAGACTCGCCAGTTCAGAAGAATCAACTCCACACAGAGAACAGGCCGGCGCGTGCTCTCCTCCATTACACCACTGCACGGCAGCACAGCCTCGTATGGAGGGAGACCCATCAAGCCTAAGCTTTCCTGTGATCAATCTCGGGTCGTGCGTCGCCAAAACCACCGCCGTGATGTGCCTAGATACTGCGGGTATGAACAGAAAGTACGCAGAAGGTGAAGGGCGAAGAGAAGGCAGCAAGAATCGAGGTTGTGCAAGCTCCTGCTGCTGCTGCAGCCCTCCATTGCGCCGCCGATCCTCCTTTTTCACAGAGGACAGGGGGTTTTCGGCTTTCTTGATTCAAAGCCGGTGACGAGCGATCTCAACTCCACAACGATCAGGCTGAGCCTGAACCTGGGGTCTTCCGGGGCGATTGGATTTGATCAGATGATCCATAATTGCAAGAAAGAAAAAAAAAAATGGTGGGGGGGCTAGCCTCTCGTCTACCTGGGTTCCCTCATTGACAGCCAGGGATCGAGCCTCATGAGCACCAAACATAAAGCAAGAAATCAATGTGGAGGAAATCCGAAGAGAGGGTGGCCGTTATATGGTTTCAGACGACAACCTACGCCCCTCCTACGAGAGATCATCAACACTCGGACGGAAATTCTATACCAACACAACGGCCACCGTGATTCAGCCACACGCGAGATCGGTTGCTAACTCCGTTCTCGCCCAACTGCAGAGATGAAGCAGAGGGCACACGCACAGGAAAAAAGAAAAAGAGAAGGAAAGTACATCGAGGCCCAGACCAGAGGAAGGGCGAGAGCCGGTCGAAGGGCAATCCCTTTCGACTGCATGAAAAACCAATGGCGGAACCGTCGGGGGAGGGGGAGAGGGTTCGTCAAAGAACGTTACCCCTTGTTTGCCGGGGATGGAGCAGTGCCAGGCCATCAGGTTCACAGAGCCGTCAGACAGAGTCTCCGGCTTCGCGACGAAACCCTAGTCATCACCGACAACGAGAGAGAGAGAGAGAGAGAGAGGAAACGAAGCAGAACAATGAGTTTAGCCACTGTATTTATCGGGAGAAGGGGAAGAAAGAAGAGAGCAGCAGCAGCAGTTGTAGCAGAAGACGGAAGAAAGGAACAAAGAAGAGAAGAAGAAGATGATGATGAAGAAGGAGGAGAAGGAGAAGGAGCGGACATGGGGATGGTTCTTCCGCCAGGCCTTGCGCTCCTCAGCGAGACGTCCCCGCGCGATCCCTCCCGACATGGTCGCTCCTCCTCCGGCAGCAAGGTCCCTCCTCTATCTGGAAAACCCAACCCTCTTCTTCGACCCTCCTCCCCGCCGTCGTGCGAATAATTAATATTCCTCCTCGCGTCCTGTTCCCGTCCTGCCGCAGCGGCCACCACCGAGGGTCGTCGGCGACCTTAAAACAAATTTTCATTCCAAGCCAGCAATCAAAAAGCGTCGTTTCATTCGGTCGGCCGTGTAAGGTGGGGGGGGGGAGGCAGCCGCGCTGCGTTGCGCTCGCTGACCAGAAAAGCCGGCCATCGGACGGTCCTATGAGCCGCGTGGAAACTACGCTTTGTGCGGGTCCCGCTGGTGCAAGGTGGGAATACTACGCACCATGAGAGAAAATGGTGGATGCGACCGAAAGGAGTAGACCCGGAAGCGAAACGAGGGGTGTAGTAGTATGACTAGTCACGAAGCCCTTGGACGATCCGGACACCCACCCCCGCAAGAGGCATGAACCGACACATTCCCAGCCCTCGCGGAGCCGCGACGGACTGTTTCTTATTTTATCCGAGACCTTTTGCGTCCGGATAAGGGTTGACTTTCGTGGCGCGCAGGGTCCATGCGTGTAATCGCAGAAGACCGCCCATAGGTGAGGTAGTCGACAATAATGACGATTTAACAATTTATCCGGTGTAACGTCGTCGGACAGAGCGTAAAGCACGGTTGGTTGCACACGCGGCCGCGGAGGTGCCCACAATGTTGGCGTCTTAGTTAAAAACCTATAGCGAGAGAGAGAGAGAGAGAGAGAGTGGATCATGCAAAAGGCAAGTCATGTCCCTGCTGATGGTCACGGGCTTGTTCCCGTTGTTCTCGAGGATTATATGACGGAACGCGCTGCTGCAGACGTCCTCTATGGCCGCTCCACTTGTCTTGCAGCCATTAGTCCATGATCTTCCTCGGGTCCACGGGCCCGGTCATCTTGGCCACACCGCGAAAGTGCCCAGTGGCTGTTTGCATTGTCTTCAGTAAAATAAAACTAAAAAAAAACAAAACAAACCAAAACTGGAGCACAAGTAAGCATCTGCGTACTACCTCCGGAGAATTACTGAGAAAAATAAGAGCACGAGGCGCTCGGATTCTTTCGCCTTTGCCTCGCGATGAGCCAAATCCAACTTCCGATGGGCGTTATCTTCCGAGCAGGAACTGATCACGGAAAAAAATGCATGCTCCTACTCCGTGAGAAAGTCGGGCTTATTATACTCAAGAGTCGCCCGAAGCAGCAGCAAGTCCTTTCACACCGACGAAGGAATTCGGATCTGCGGGCAATTGTTCCGGCCTTGTGGCCCCTGGATCTCGGCTCTGCTCACTGAGCGAGTCGGTAGAGCCATTGCCGTCGTTGATAGAACCTCTCTGCTTGTTGCCCTGTCCTCGCCATGCACCTCTGCAGGTTGCATATCACCCCCTACTACTTGTTCCCATCATGGGAGTTAACCGATGATCCAAAACCTCAGGGTCTTTGCCGCCGAGAAACCTGGGCATGGCTACACCAAATTAAGTTCGGCAACAAGAAATTATTTCAATGCAAACATAATAGAAGCCCCATGTATATATTAATGTCGGGACAAACTTATTAATGTCAGTTTGCCTTAATTAATCACTGGACTCCCTTACAGGCACCACCTTAACAGTGTTCTTCAATTCACAACGATTGAAATATTTTGGATCCGTTTACCTGGGCTTCAGGAGTCATGAGTTTATTCGTATGTCACACAGAAACAGTGTGGTTATCTAATAGGAACGCCAATCAAAGATTCATTCTAAGCAAATTGTAAGACACTTGATCATAAAAAGAAAATCTTTGCAAGGGTTCTGGTTACTGTAACTCATGACCTATGATGCCACAATAAAACCATTAGTTAAGCCACACCATTAGTTAAACCACTCTAGGAGAGATCTAGGAAGCAGGGACATCTCAAAAGATGATCTCAAGCTGATGCTGGATCCACGGTGTTCATGATTGGATCAGGCCGCCTGATTGGCGTGAGAGGAATAGACTTCAAACTTGTTTCTGTAACAAGTACATGACATCCTAAAATGTTTCTCGTGGAAATCGGTTTCTCGATATGTTTAATGACTGCAGGTAAAGATGATGTGTTGAAACTCGGGTGAGAAATAATGACCAACTTGCGACTTTGAATTTCGACATCAAGGAATCCAAATGTAGTAATCTTCCTTGGACACAGAAAAAATTAGTTAAAAAGCAATACCATCCAAGAAGGAAAAGGAGATTGAGCACATCCAAATGCCCCATTTCTCCCGGCTGATCGTGGGGAATCTCCAGGCGGAAACGGTGTCAACGTTCTCCGCCCATTAGGGGATTGCAAGAAATCAGGCCTAAATTCACTGGGGACAAATCCGTCAAAACCGCAGGGGGCTACTAAACTATTTGGATATCTATTTATCCAGAGGAAACAAGGAAAAGAGTAGTCAGTTTTGGCCCAAAACAAATACAACTGGAATTCAGATCAGAAATGAAAAGCAGCTTGTTGTTCAGGGCCAAAATACTTTGTCCAGTCAACTTGTGACGTTGTTGTAGTTGAATTCAAACATGAAACCGCGTAATGGGGGGAGCATGTCGGGTTATCCCCATTAGAAGAGGGCAACGATGGGATGACTGGAGAATAAGGCCCATATGGCATCTTAGGACTGTATCCATAACCACAATAGAACAGAGATGTACCCTTCACGTCACAAAAAAATTCATTTAAAGGAAAAAAAAAGAATTATGAATGCATACGTGGATTCCTCCTTTCTATCTTCTTCTTATTTTGTGATGCCATTTCCAATATTTCTCCATTAGAAAACTGAGGATATTCATCCCACTCCATGGGAGGATTCTCGAAACCTTAAGAAGCTCATTATTTTAGAAAAATATACGTGACAAATAAAATAAATCAACCAGAATAAATAAAAAAATTACCCGCACATTATTCATCATTTTTCATACAAGGAAAATATTTTCTGTATTGTATGACAATAACGATTTACAACATTTAAATATTTCCATGCATGGAAAGCATGAGAGAGCAGTGGATATACCAATAAGGTTCATTTTCTTCACAAAATATCACATAACGGAGTGTCATATGGAAAAGGAACCATCGGCAATAGCATCGGTCAACTTTATTTATGTGGGAAAAAATATAGATAAAAAACTGCTATTACTTGTACTAGCAACCATATGTTTCCTACAAATGAGGAGAATATATATTTTTCTGGGAAAGAGCACCGTGATGAGCACCTGTAACTATATATCTCGGAAGAACTGCTGTGTCTCCAGGTGTGCAAATAGAAGTTGCATCAAATGGAATGCTTCCGGATCCTACTTCATCTTCAGCACAAGGAATCTGAAAATTACTCATTAAATTACCCTGGAATTCATTAAAATATTGAGCAAAGGAACGAAAGAACAATGTAAGAACTTCGCACCAGTTTTTTCACAGAGCTAGTAGATTTTCCCTTGCTAATACCTGCTGACTCAACAGATTCTGCAGAAACATAAATATTACAAGTTTAATGAGCATTGCAATTATTATTTTCGTTGATTGCAGAAAGTAAGAAAATTCTTTTTAAATGACCATGGGTCCGGAATTCGAATCCAATAACCAAAATTCTTGTAGGATAGACACCTCAACAAGATATTAGGAAATGACAAGAAAAAACAATGATCCACAGTAATCCCAGTAAGATATTTTGAAATGACATAGAAGATATCCCAGTTATCTGGAGTTGAGCATTTAAAGGATGTCCTTAAGCTATTGTTCAGATAACCGGATATAAACAACATGCCTTAGAAAACGATAAAGTCCGGGGAGCATCTAAATCTCCCACAAGTTTATCTGCTTAAAGGGTTCAATATACAATATCTTCTTAGTTGACGGTTTTCCCAGAATCATGTAGAAACTCATTGCCATATTGGTAGTCATTGGTTCCAAATATGTCACCTATTATTGAAAATGGTCTTTCTCATTTGGTAAATCGCTTTCTTATTTCGCTACCAAGGTCTTCTTTGAGGTGAATTATATACAATTCAAATGAAGTACTCCGCAGGAAATTGTACTCATCGTATAATAGTGAATATTATGCTATCCACAAATTTTGCACTTAAAATTCCACTAACCACCTTCTTTTTGTCACTAGTTACGAGCTTTGGCAAAATTAGTCCAATAAGTAAAATTGCGGAAATAAAGATAAGAATATGATAAACGAGGTTCATGTTTGAAGACGAGAATATGATAAAAGAGGTTTAAGATTGTGATAACCATAGCAACGGATGGTATGGAATCAACTCAATGGAATACGGTTATGCGTCTACCATCAGCTGGAAGGAGAAACTGGCCGTAACAGCTGTTGCTGTAACTGGAACCCACTGCTGGTAAACAGACCAAATTTCAGGTTAAATGAACAGAATTGGGAACAAAACTCTGTTGGCCAATGAACTAACAGTATTGAAGCTGAGTACAGCATAGATCCAGATCCATATCTCTAAAAATGTTCTGAAAGATAAACATGTTTCTCCATAACTGTTATTTCTGATTGTGAAATCGATTCCGGCATTTAGACAAAAGTTTCATAGTTTACTCTGATAATTTCTCCTAAATCTGATACAAACTCTTATTGGAATATGAATTGTAAGGTTGTCCTAGAGCTTGTTGAATACAAAATTAAAGGCACCTCCATCTGACTGCAATCCCAAGATTTCTAAAGCATTATTTGAACTTGCGGGAAAAGAGATTGAATCTGCACAAAGTGTCCCTCTCCTTGATTATGTTTACACTGAAAGGAATCTTTCTCCTCAGCATCGACTGGACACAGTTTCCAGCTTGACCGACCTAGGTTCAATTGTCGGAGCGTAGACTCTAGAAGTGACAGAACTTGGACTTGCCCAGTTTCCCTTATCGGTGGACACGACGCTATCCGGACTCCGCCGTTCCGCCGTCGCCGTCGGATCCGGCAGCCACCTACGTTCTCCTCCGTGGGTGTCCTAGTCGCTTCGGTTTCATAGGTGACCTCGCGGGAGCTAGGATGCGCAACAGGCACGACATGATTGGATATTCTGAAGTACTGTTCTAGAGGAGAAGCACGACAAAGGTCGCACGGCGCGCCTCCCCAGAGCCCGCTTCCTCTCACTCTCTTGCTCCGAGTATTCATTGCTGAATCAGCAGTCAGCCAACGACATGTTGCCTCCTAATGAAAGCCGTTATCCCTCTCTCTCTCCTAGGTATCTTCTGGATACCCGGTTTCTGGACGCCACGTTTTTTCTTCGCTCTATTTTTTCTATTTTGTTCTTGTACATATATCCAGAATATTACACCGTCTTTCATGCACCAAGACCGAAGGCATTAAAATTATACCCTGACCTTTTTCTTCAACCTCTCAACCATCTTATTTATTCAGGTACCCTATCTACAGTTACTGCAAAAGTAGCCCATTATTTTCCGTAAAAAGAGCATTAAATGAGGGACTTTATTAGACGAAAAAAAATGCTCTCACCGGGCATAACGTCCGCGTGTATTATGAGTAGAATTTTTTCATGAGAAAAATCTTCTTCTGCTTCGGTCGTCAAAGAAATAGCTCTCCAAATACGAACGACACTTTATTTGCATATGAGAGGGAGGGACGTTTCTAATATCGCGGATGCAGGGATATAATCTTAATTAAAAGAATATTTGGGGTCCCATTGGAAAACGGAAATATAAGACAACCCGGTGGGCACGCCGATCCCCATCGCTAAAACCCTAACCACACACGGATAGCTGTCCCTCTTCCTCTGGTGTAGGGCGGGGTTACCTGGCTCAAAGCCCCGTCGATTCTTCTTCCCGGTGGGGTCATCTCCTTAGGGATCGCCGGATTTCGTACCCTATTTCCAGCGGAGTGGCAGACACGGCTACGCTCGCCTGCCATGTCTCAGGTGTCCCCTCGATCTTCCCTGGTCTGATCTTCCGATGTTCCTTCGCTTCCGAGATTCCGTGTCTTCCTTCTTTACTCAAAATGTAGCTATCTTCTAGGACCTGAAGTTCCTCGCGTTTCCCACCGCGTCCTCCTTGTTTGAGGTTGCTGATCCATACCCCTGATTTCATCTCGATGCTGGCCTTAGACAGGCCGATATGTTCTTATTCTTTCTGATGCTGTGTTTTCTTCGTCCTGGAATTCATTTGTATTTGTTTACCGTTGGAGATGGCTACGTTTCCGGCTTAGACTGTAACGTATCGCTCACGTTGATGCTCGTTTTAAATTTGAGACCCTAGCGATCGCGCTATTTTTTTCTGGCGGAATAGTAAAATCTAACCTCCCTAAATGTTTCTGTGCAGGTGGACAGTCGAAACTCTTCTGCTGCGGGCAAACGTGCGCGAACCGATGGTGGATATCCACTTCTCTTCTTGCTTTATTTTCCTTCCCCAGGTTTCCCACCTTAATTCTGGATCTTAATTCGTGGGTTATCAATTTCCCTCTCATTCTTTGTATTACAGGAGGACGCCGTGAAGATGATTGGACGTGTCCCAGCTGTGGGAATGTTAATTTCTCGTTTAGAACAACTTGCAATATGCGTAATTGCACCCAATCTCGACCCGCGGATCATAATGTTGTAAGTTCGAGTCAGAGTGTGCTTCCAATCTCTCAGTGAACATCCTTAGATATTTGGGGTGAAGGAGTTACGCGGTTCAGTTGCAGTTTTTCCTAATATTTTAATGGTGCAACCGCACTTGCAATTATCTCCACTGAATCTCTACATCCGTCATAAATTCTTTCTATTCATGTTGCTTATGTGATATAGATGCCCTATCTTTCTTTTCACAAATGTTTGTCCCATCCTTCCTCTTTAACAGTTGTTTGTCTATTCTATTTAGAAACTGTGGCCGTAGAAGTGTTACGCTCTTCATTTAGTTTCTCCGTTTCCTCTTCTTGCTGACCCCTTTCCAATTTTTTGTTTCAAGAAACCTGGTGCCAAACCAATGCAACCCACTCCGCCTTACACGTCGGCTGGTTACATGGGCTCTGTAGCTCCTTCAATGTATCTAGGAGCTCCGCCTTATGCTCCACTTCTCAACGGATCAGCAATGCCTCCATATGATCTCCCCTTCTCTGGTGGCTCTGGATACCATTATGATTATGGTAGTCGCCTTTCTATGGGGAGTCCATATGGGGCGCTACACATGTCTGGGCCGCCACCTTATTCCGCTGGAGCCATGATGGGGGCAGGTAGTTGTATAAGAATATTTTAGTTTAACACGTTATGTACACCGGATGAATAATTGTCATTTAATATTGAGGAATGTGTTGTCAGTTGGATTTTATTTTGTGGTTTATGCTTTATTTTTAATCTGAGTATTAATCTGATCGAAGTCGATTCCCATGTTTGTCAAAACATTGTTGCAATAGCATCATTCTCTTTGTACCGCTACTCACAGTACTTACATGGCTGTATTGTAGGTGGAATGTATGGTATGGCGCCTCTGATGGATCGTTATGGCATGGGCATGCATATGGGTCCTGGTGCCATGGTATGTCACAGCTTTATTTATTGTTTTCTTTGATTTTTTAGAATCAATATTGGTCGATCATATCTTCCACGTGCTTACATATATCAAATAGCCGCTTTCTAATTGTTCGAATCAACCTGTTTATTAGACCTTGCACTAAATCATTGAAGTGTTGCTATTGCAGGTACCCAGGCTGGGAATGTATCCCGATGAGAGCTCCCACAAGAGAAATTCAGGTTAAATCCTTTTCTTTTCTTGGTTCTCCCCATTTAGGACGACTTAGCTTACACCTGTTATATTTACAGGACGTGAGAGTGATTGGACTTGTCCGAATTGTGGGAACAATAATTTTTCTTTTCGGACTGTCTGCAACATGAGAAAATGCAACACACCCAGACCTGGAACTCAGGTTCATGTAGTTGTCCGCCTGATTTTGAACTTTTACGCTTTAAGTTGCATTATTTACAGTTTTAAGTTTCCTGTTCGCTTCTCATAATTTATCCTGATCTTTTCCTCTATGTCATTGTTAATTCACGAGCTTATGTGCATCCATGTGGCAGTTCGATGAACACGTCCAGAATGTTATTCAACCTGTTTTTCAAGATTTTAGTTGGCATGTTCTGTTTCCAGCTATCACTTGGCTTCAATTTCCTACCAGTTCTTGGGACGGTCTGAAGATCCAGATTGATGTGACTGTGAAGTGTTTCTTAAGTAGTATCTACCAGTTTATATTCGTGCCTTTCCGCTCCGAGTTATTCTCTAGTGTATCCACTGGAACTCTTAGGATTCTGACTTTCTGTCCTTCAGACTCTGCTTAGCTACTTTACTTTTAATTTATTTATTACTCTTGTGTACGTCTGGGAGATGTCGGACGTGCCTCCTCCCTGCATTTTTTTTATAATAAATTTACTCTTTATTTTTTTAAAAAACTGATAATGATTTTATTGATTCTTCAATTGGTTGCAGCCCTCTAAGCTTGAGAATTCAAAATCTTCCAGTAAGTATATGTGTTGTAGAGATTGTACACACTTTTTTGGTTCGTTTAATTAAATTTACACGGACATTGCAGAGCCAAAAATGCCTGAGGGTAGTTGGAAATGCGAAAAATGCAACAACATAAACTATCCATTCAGGACGAAATGTAACCGACAGAACTGTGGAGCAGAACGACCAGCAGAAGCCAACGATTCTGCGGAGGTAGTGTCCGAGGATGATGACAAGGTTTGTTGTTTTTTGCTCATACTTTCGGAACATCTGTTGTTTTTCCTTTACTGGATGTGCTGGGAACAGATACCAGAGTATCATAAACTTCATATTTTAAGCAAAATTTCCTGCAATGGTGTACGCTTGAGATCACGTTTTATATCTTGTTTTCTTCCCTAAGTTTTTGCACGCATTGATTCTTAATTCTGCTACTGTTCCAGTGAGTACTGTAACCCTTTTGAGGTCAAGACGGTCAAAAGTAGTCGTCAGCTCGCACACATGTGGATGTTTGAAAGGTCAGTCGTGTCGTGTTTGTCACTGAAGTTGTTGGGTTACTCTACCTCATCGAACCCGTGTCATGTCATTGTATTAGCAGAAACATCTTCATCATTTCAGTTGGGATTTGGTGGTATATCAGTCTTTGCATAAGTCACTGTTAGATTCTGATTGTATGCACAGGTTGGTTATCATGATCTCTGGCATAGAAGTTTGTGACTTTAAAATATTATGTCAGAGGATCGGTACTTATGACCTCAAGTTAGTCGACTGGTGTTTGATTTGTAGATGCAACCTTTGGGAGACTGTCATATATATGAGGTTTCAATTTACAGTTTCTTTGACTAGATTTTTGTTGTGTTCACGGCACTGTATTCACGAGTCGTCTTCAATGCCTTTAAATGTATCAGGCATGATATCGTTGAATCTTCCGGTGTATATTGCATTTCCTAGTCACTCCAATCCCTAAAATATTTTGATTTATTTCATGATCAGGTCTCTATTATAGCCTTATTTTTTTCAAAATCCTAATCTGTCTTCTTCCTTTTTTTTTAATAAATAGAGTTTGGTAACTCTGAGTTTTCTCAAGTCTGTCATGGTGACTGTGCGTCGCAGATGGGGTTCTGGTTTTGTTTTGCTCGATCATTTGAGTTTGTTAACGCCATGAAGATTTTTCTGTCTTGAATCCAAATGTGGGATATAGCAATTAAGCAATTTGCTAAGTTATATCTACTGAGCACATGAAGGTCTTTGCTTGGACCTCGGGTGGAGATAACAAGTATATCAAAGGTCATTGCTGCCGTTGCTGATCCTTTTGCAATGTTAACACTAATATTCTACTCCAAACTGCGGAAGAGATGTTTTCATTTAGAAATGGCGTGGGACAGGTTATATAGTTCAGCTTATCATTTTGAATATCTAAAATTTTATAATCGAGCTCAAAGATATTCAGAAGCATTTTCATTTCATGGAAGTTGTGGGTGGAGTTTTGCTCCACAACCATTGGTCGTATTTGGAGGAGGCAGTGGCGTCAGTCTACTTGGTAGGACAGGATGTTTCACCCCAATGGTGGGAGAGTTGTTTTATTTGAGGTTCCTGTCAAGAATACCCCGATGTTATTTATCTTTATGGAGAATCGTGCCTGCAATTGCCTGTCTGTTGGAGTGAACACAAGTTATATTTTTCCGGACGCGGTGGTGGATGAAGGTTCTGATGATGATCCGGCATTAAGTGGAGTGGAGTGGAGTCATTGGATCTCAGTTGGGAATTGCAGGGCGGAGTGGCTGTGGATATTCTGTGCAGAAGGCGGAGAAGAAGATGAAGTAGAAATAGATGTGATATTGCTGGAGAAAAAGAAGTGTATCTGACATGATGTAGCACACACAGTAGAATCTTTGTGATGTGGCAGAGAAGCCGAAGTAGATGTAAGATAGCCGGAGAAACAAGGGTATGAGGCATAATGTAGCAAGCACCGCAAGTAGTATCTTTCTGATGTAGCGGAGGATCCAACTGGCAAGAAACGTAGAGATGGCTGGTGCAGAGTTTTGCCAGGTGGTGGATTTTATCCGAGGGACGCGGTGTTAAGCATCGAAGAGAAGCATTGGACAAGGAAGAAATCTGTGAGTGAGAAATTCAGCCGCTAGAAACCCTCCCTGCTCCACGTGCAGAAGGATTCTAGCGAATGGAAGAAGTGGTGAAGTCGCGGAGACGGAGAAGATAGAGGTAGAAGGAAGGATACTTCATGGTCGGGTCAGACGAGCATTTCCAAGCAGATGGAGGTTCCTGGCGGCGGCTGATCCCTCAGGTGGGGTGTGAGAGCCAGAACTCTCTGTATCATTATGTTTGTCGGCTGCTTTGTTGGGCTGTCGCATGCTCTCCTCAAGCAGCCACTCGGGCTCGGTTGAGAGCCGTGTTCTGTGCCCACCTCTTTGTCGTTGGAAATCCTGCTGGGTCGTCCCAGGAGAAGTCTCGTGGATCGCTCAATCTGTCGCTTCAGCCACTTGTCGTGGAATGTGTACGGACTCCAGACCAGAGTCTCATCCTCTCTCTCTCTCTCTCTCTCTCCTGTTTCTTTTACGGTATGGCTTGGGAGGGAACTAGCAGTCTGGGATTTAGCGGATTGCGTTGTTGCCTACGCTGCAGGAAGAAGCGACGAGCAGAGATAGGATCATATGATAGCGAGGGGCACAACGGGTCCGTTAACTCACATATGCTCTGCAACCTGGTCATCTCGGCATACTTATGTTCTGGGAGTCGATATTTTACTCTCCTGTTCAAAATTAATCGCGGCGACTTCGCCTTTGCCTTGTGTTGTATGTTTCACGTTATTCCAAGAGGACCGTGATACTCAATAGTCCCGTACCATGAAAGTCGGATACCCATGCCCCGCGAGCATTCAGGCATTTGAGGTTTCGTTTAGTCGCTCAGGCCAACAGAAACATGCGAGGTGAACAGAATGTCATCCACGGAAATAGTAGGATTCAGAAGACCATAATAGGTCAACGCCTGGTTTACACACCCCATCGTCATCACGGCCCACGTCGTTCATCATCCGACACCTGCGGCTGCGGAGGGATGTGCCGGTCAATGCTGCGGGGGCGGGCCCTAGTCATCCACCCTCACCTTGTGCGCGCAGCAGCCCCTCTTCTTCTTCTTCTCCTCCTCCGCACCGCCGCCGTCACCCGGAGGCGGCCCCCGGCGATCGAGGAACTCGCGGTTCTCCTTCCAGATCTCGCCGTTCTCGTAGACCTCCTTCTTCCAGATGGGCACCGATGCCTTCACCTCGTCGATGAGGAATTCGCACGCCGCCAGCGCCTCCGCCCGGTGAACGGAGGACGCCGCCACGAACACACTCGCCTCCGCCACCGCCACCCTGCCGAGGCGGTGCGCCACCGCCAGTCGCTCCACCGCCCAGCGGGATCTCGCCGCCGCGCAGATCTGGCGGAGCTGCCGGAGGGCCATAGGGACGTACGCCTCGTACCGGAGCTCCACCACTCGGCGGCCCTCGAAGGTGTCCCTCGTCGTGCCCTCGAAAGTGGCGATCGCCCCGCAGGAAGGGTCGCGCACGAAGGAGACGTACCTGCCCACGTCCAGCTCGCCGGAGGACGCCTCTACGATCTCCACCAGTGTCTTCTCCTCCACCGCGTCCGCCGCCGCCGTCGCTGCCATCGTGGGAGAGGAGAGCACAGGGGCACCGTCAGCTGGGGATACCTCACCGCGAATCTTCTTGTTTTTTATATAAAAGTTGGACCAAAGTGTCCTCGGAGATGATGCCGATCATTTCTCAAGTTCCCGAAAATCTGAGTAATATGGAGAAATCATCACCTGTCCACTCGCCACCCTTTCTCTCTCCTCCGGGTGGACCGAGCCCGAGAGAAATGGGGCTCGGCCCGGGCGTGACTTTTATAGTTTTAATTTCCAATTCTCTCTCTCTCTATCTATCTATCTATCTAGCTAGCTATGTTCTCATCTCTTTCATGGGTTGTGTTCGGGAAATGAAGACCCGAAAAGCATATTTATCTTTTTTCTTTTTTTATTACCCCGAATTAACGCAGAGATGGACATGCTCTATATTTCCTATCGCTGCGCCAGATAAAAATCATCTCCGTCACGCCATCCCTACCGCGCCGACCTTCGATATGTCTCGGCATGCCTGAATGTTTTCCTTCGTTTATCTGGGTAGAGCCAGGTCCAACATGACCAGACCCTGTAATGAAAAAAAATAAAACTAGACTGTTCTTGAAGAGCATTTGGTTCGAAGCAATTTGACGATCGTCCATGGCGTAGCCTCGCTCAACATATAGACATCTGAATGAGCCCTTACAGAGTCAGTCAGGAGGAGAGCGCGACCCAGCTCTCAGGATTAGGTTTCCAAAACACACGGCGAACGAACACACGAGAGAATCAGTGCATCTGGCCTATGAAAAAAAATAGCAAAAATGGAGTCTCGTCCTGCAAGTCGATTCCGTTTCCACCGTCGGCTCCCTTTGGAACATGAGATAGAGTCAGCTCTTAACAGCTGGTGCGCAGGGAGGGGCAGTTCGAAGCAACGGAGGTCTCGCACAACTCGATCCCATCCTAGAGAGGAGTTTATGGGTCGTATCTGATACGTCGCTGGAGTCGTCCTCCGAGGGTGGCGGCCTTTACAGATCGATGTCCATGGCTCTGCCCCGTGGTGCCAGCCTGTTCAGATCGATGTCCATGGCTCTGCCCCATGGTGCCGGCTGTGGGCACGGCGGCGCTGTTCGGTCCTTTCCAGTGTTTGCGCTTGTGGCCACCGAGGGCCTGCCCTGAAGGGAAGACACTGCCGCAGATATTGCATTTGTGCACGCAGTGCCCCACCGAGGTCTCCTCGTCGTTGCTGCCGCCCCCCGAACCGCCTACCTTCCGACGCTTGCCCCTGCAGCAACTCGCCTCGATCTCGCCGGTAACACCCTGCTGGCAGTGATTTCCCTTTCCTCCTCCGTCGTCACCATTCAGCTCCGGCCGATCAGTTGTCGTCATCTTCATCCTCTCCTCCCACTTGGCGGGGCAGCCTCAAAACTATGGCCTCCTGCCGCCGCAGTGGACGATGCTGTGAAGCCGGACCTGAAATGCTGCAGGGTGGAGGCCGCGTCTTCCATGCGGCTCTAGTCCCTGCGGCATGGATTTCCTTTTCTTCCTACACCCCCACCATTCAGCTCCTCCAGACCGGTTCGCTGCATCTTCGTCCTCTTCTTCCTGTATGGCCGGGGCGCCACGGAGCTCTGGCCTCCCGGCGCCGTGATGACAGAACGGAGAATGGCGGTCGCTTCACCTGCGGAGCCCACGCCATTCTCCTTACTTGCCTCCATGCCCCTGGTGTCTCCGCTTGTGCCACCATTCTCCGCCGCCGGGTCACCGACCGGAGCAGCTTGCGGCCCGCGGGGGGGAGGGCGGCGCTCTGGGTTTCCTGTCCGGATGGGATCTCAGGTGCCCGAACATCGCCTCCTTTGAGCGGAAGGTCCTCCCGCACACGGACAGGGAATCACTTGGTTCTTGCTTCCACCGGTCCCCTGGGGGCGCCCTTCTCTCCGGATACCCCTCTGCCGGTGAAACTGTTCATCAAGTTCGCATTGTTCCTCTCTTCTGAACGCTGCTGCTCCTCGGATAATCCTGGAGGATCCCCCTTGTCCTCCATTGCATACAGATAGCGACAAGGAGGGAGTGACGGAATGATACCCAACGCCAATGAATTATACAGAGAGAGCAGCTCGAAAAGCCAGAAGCAGCGGCCGGAGGAGGACGAGAATTGCGGTGGGTGGGGGGGGGGGGATGTGTTGGATTCAGGCCGTAAAATGGAAGCCTGGCGGATCTCAAGAAAGAAAACCATGAAGAAGAGGAAGAAGTAGAGGAAGGAGAAGAGACCCCCATGGGATGGGATCCGAAGCCCTCCTCGCAGTCTGTAGACGAGTTAAGTGGAGACGGTGCCGATCGCAGACGAGAACCGGCTACTTATGCTGATGAAGACGAGCCTCCGGGCGGGCGCGAGAAAACCAGAAAACGTAATTCCGCGGGAAATGAAAGCCCGTTTGAATTGAGGACGTTAGAGATACGAGATTAGAGGGTGGGGGCCGTTGCGTCCCGGGACCGAGTAGAGAGGGATAGTAAGAGAGCGTGTGTGTGTGTGTGTGTGTGTGTGTGTGTGAGAGAGAGAGAGAGAGAGAGAGAGAGAGAGAGAGAGAGAGAGAGAGAGAGAGAGAGAGAGAGAGAGAGGGAGAGAGAGGGAGAGAGAGAGTGAGTGAGTGTGTGTAAGAGAGAGAGAGAGAGGGAGAAAGAGAGAGCAAAGAACGACCTGAGAGCTTTCTTTTGATGAAATTTAGGTACTCTCTATTGGATTAGAACTCTTCAGTAGAATTATTAGGAAAGTTTGCCAAAATTTTGTACATAACTATATTTACTGGATGGAAATCTTCAGCAGATATCCTTTATTTTGATGATAGCATGAAAAAAGTTTGTGCAGAACCATTTGCCCACTTAATCAAGTGACCAGTATGTTAATGCCACCTCTGAAAATTACACCATTCCTCAATTGATACTATACATGAATACTCTTAACGAAGTTGCATTATAGGGAGCTTTCAAAGAACAAGTGAAAACTACAAATGTACAACTGTTGTTACTGTGACCTATGTGCTTAGAAATTATAGAGCTATTTTATGTCGGTTTTGGTTCGTGTGATTTCTGGTACTAAGTACATCACATGTCTCATGGATGCATCATGTATGCTTCTTTGATTCTTGGAATGAGTAATCATAAATCTACTACTGAAATTAATCATGTGAATGGCAATTGTTCGTCAAAGATAATTGGACATGACAGTTTGGGATCATGAGTTGTGGAGAAAGGCACCCAAGTCTTGCACTACGATTCTTTGCATCCTACCAATGAACTATCACATGATACAAGTCCACTAAAAAAATTATGACCATGTATTGAATTTATAGCATAAATAAGGCTTCAAACTATTATATTTAGAACATCACCTAAATTATTCTCTACCCTTAATATATCACTTTTTTTGTTGATTAAAATTGTGCATTTTTGTTATTTCAAACCTCGTTTTGAGCTCGCTTTATACTCATGTTCCAATGATATTAATGTGGTGGTAGATTATTTTGGAACGTTTACGGGCTGAAAGTTCTATATGATCATCCATAAAAAGAAACTTAAAAGTTAATATATTCTTGGTATTCATGATCCATGATCCATGAAGCCACAAGGGCAAGGGGATAGTGTTAATATGGATATATATTATATTTGTCCTGGTCTCAGCTATGCAAAAAGGTAGTAAGTTTCTACTTTATCTCATCTATACATAAGCAAGAAAATTTTGTGAGTGAGAATCTAGTTACTCATACAATGATTCATCTGCTTCTATTTTACAAATTGATTCAAATAATACACATTAAGTTGAGGGCCTCAATTTATCTATACTTTATGAGACTATACTTTATGTTATTGTTAGTTCCTACTATGTTCGAATTTTTTTCTATTACTATTGTTTACTTGCACTTTGTAAATAGTGTTATGTTTTGCTGTGTTGCTAAAGTGTTATGTGATTGAGTTATTGTGGATATGATTGTTCCTTTCTGTGAGCAATATTGAGGTTTTTGGTGGAAAACTTTTGATGAGGAGATGATTAATTCTCTAAGGATTCTCCAAGCTACTAAATGAGCCTTCCAAATAATATTTCATTGTACTTGTAATACTTTGACAAGAGAGAGATAAATGTTTACGTACATTTAAGGTCATGAATCCTTTTATGATAGTTGTGTTAGTAAGTTGACTTAGGTCCTTGAGTATAGATATTTTGATTAAACTCTGTATTTGGATTCTTTTTCATAAATCTTTCTATGTGCATGTGCAAAGAATGCACTCTATTGTTTCAGCTTTAAGTAAGGCTAGCATGTGGCATAAGGCTTCATGTATTGTTTGCAAAGGAGCTAAAACATTATGTTGAGGAAAATTGGTCACAATCGCTTGTTGTCTTCCATTCACTTCTATAATCTTCTATGCTTATGAAAGATACAAGTTGATAAGTAAAGGATTCTTTCAATAAAAAAATTCTCACTTTGGAGAGTTACTTTATGTTCTTAAAAAATTATAACATACTTGTTTGCACATGCAAATTTTCTTCAAATCTTGTAGTCACTTCTTAGACTAGATAAACTTAGAGACTTAGTGGTTGCAGATTTGTGTGGCAAGTGATTAAGTGGTGGCTTAGCAAGGATCACAACTGCATCCATGACCTATCCTTCAGATTTTTTTTAAGTTGCACTTGCAGCCTAGGTTAGCCCAAGATTTTCTTTGTGATGTTATCAAGAAAATTAGATGTAAATATTTGGTGTACTGTTAAATAGTTTACATATTACATATTGGTGATTGTTTTAGATGGTTGCATCATGTTTTATTCAAACCTTACGACTACATTCTATAGATAAAGAAGAAACAAAGGGTCATGTATGTAACGTTGTTGTGTCATTTCACTACTTTCTAAAATTTTCCTCTAACATACATAGGTCATCTTCCTTTTAAGTGGTTGAGGAAGAACTACTAAATTTTAATCTTCACATCCCAATTTCATGGTTGTTGTTATTTCTTGTCGTATGGAACCTTATCCATTATGCTTTTTTATGGTTTAACAATCATAATATTTTAGTCATGTTGATATCTCATCTACTATGTAGGCAGTCTCAATCAATCTAGAAAATACTTCAATTGACTACTTTATAAAAACGGAATACTTCTACTCTCTAATTCTTTTTTTTTTTGCCCTTCTATTTCCTATTCAACTAGTTTTTAGAATGTCCCTATTTCAACATAGGTATTTTTAACCCATTCAAACCTCTACACTTAGAATCTCTACTTTGAATGGAGATTAAAGACATCTATGCATGCCTCTTCAAGCATATATTATAATGTTTCTAAAAATTTAATAGTTGTGTTATTATTTAAAGAATATAGAGAAGAGGCATGTAATTATTTGAATTTTTACTCAAAAATAAAATTAATGAATTAAATTGATCACATTGATAAAACTATCTTTATCAAATATTATAACTTAGCTTCATTGAAAATAACATTAATCTTGCTTGTATTTGATCTAAAATCTACTTTGGTAGCATGAGATTTACATACTAAGATTAGTTACTAGTTTTAACTTTACATGTGCAAGTAGTGTGTTACATTTGAAAGTGATATTTTCAAACTCATATGACCTAAGACGTTATTTGGAATCTTTGGGTAGTTTCAATGACAAAGGTTTAGTAACTTATGTAGAAGATGTTGGAATATTAGAATTATTACTTTGGAAGTCTGCTATGTCCTCATCTTTATAGATATGTTTACTTTCATATGACTACACATTTAGTTACACCTTGTTAATAATCAATTGATGCAATGGAGGTCTCCTTGTAGGAATAAGGACCACTACCACATGAGTGATTGTTGATTTTTTAAAAATTATAATTTTTTATATCCATCATGGTTGTGTCTTTGTAGCATTTATTAGCTTATTCAAATGTATAGGGAATCAAAGATGCAGATGTCTTTTCCATGCATTTTCTCTAAAGAGTCTAAACATGTCATCATGTCCTTTAACTTGCCAAATGAATCAATTGATGTGTATGAAGTGTAGTCTCATTCTTATTTCAGTATAGATTTGGTGTTCTCCAGAAAATGTGATGCGGCTCATTTGAAATTATCTTTCATTTTCGTTTTGCCTTGTTGGTGTTTTTTGCAAATGACTCCCAAGTTTCTAGATTATGATCTGATATGGAGTACCACCTTCTCTTAATTTTCTTCTATAAAGTACTTATGGATATGTGTTGTGGATGACCAATGATTATTTCCCTCTCCTCAAGTCTAGATGATTGTATCACAAAGTCATCCACATTGATATCTTACCATTCATAACTTATAATGTAAATCTTTATAATGTGACTAGGGAATATGATGTGACTTAATTTCTCTATGAGTTAATTATGACATTATAATAATTGATAATGGAAGATTTTCAAATACATTAAATATGTTATTCTTATGACAAGTATAGATTTCTTCTTTGTATGTTAAATATGACTAGACTATTGGTCTCTTCTCTATTTGTGAAGTATCTTCTTCTTTTGACAAACTTCTAGTGATTTCTCATTATGTTAAATATGACATTCTTAGACCCTTATTGTACTCTATATATTTAAATATAATATTATTACGACAAACTATTAGTTTTTTCTCTACAATTTAATAATGTCATTCTCATGTCCAAATTTCCTACTTAGATAACTATCATCATATCTTGAAAAAAGTTATGTCTTCAATCTCACTTCAAGCACTCTACCTAATTGAACAACACACCCCGTACTTGAGCACTCTACCTATTTCGGTCCTATGGCCTGGACACTTCATTATCCACTAAAGAAATATTTTTTATATGACACAAGGAAGAACAATAATATTATTTTGGTGACAAACGAGATGAACACTTACTCTAGTATTTCTTTGTGTTTCCTATTATATTGAATCTCTACAAGAAGAGAGATTAACTTTCACTAGTTGAATATCATCAATTGATTGTAGATCTTACAATATAGTAGATCCAACTACATGATTACATATTGTTGAGCACTAGAATGATTCAATTGTGTGATTATTTATGATGTAATATGCATAATTAACATGTAAATATAGAAGAACATCAAAGTGTGTGATATGTTGATCGGATCTACTCTGTATGTGAATTCAAGTGAAACTATATACCATTACCTTAGTTTACTATGTTTGTGTGATATGATTTATAAGTTGAACCTTTTTGTGAATGTGTAGATTTTTTTTTTTCTTAAATGTCATTGTGGAAAACCAATGTGATTTAGAACTAACATTCTTTGGATACCATTATTTCCCATATCTAGATTTGCATGTGACTTTTTTGGCTCAAAATTTTTAAACTAATACATTACACACACACACACACACTACGATTTATATTAGATGAGGGGGTTAGAGGACTATATAAGGGCCATGGAGCAATGTTGTTGGTGTACTAGAATTTTTCCTCCCACTACCCATTTCTCTTGTTTCTTTGAGCTTCATCAACTATTCTTGCTACACGTGATGTTGGTCTTAGTGTAGTCGTTGGCTTCCTTGTCTATGAGAAACTAAGACCTATTGAGGTGTCCCTTCTCAACTCTCTTTTTTTATTTCAGCTGAAATTTATCCTTTATGTAATGATAGTATAAGTTTTTAGATAATAGAATTTTTAGAGCTGAAGTTTTGTTAGTCATTTTAAACGGGCACTTGGGGGGCATGTGACATAACTCCTCACCTCATGAATGACTATATTAACCCCCAAATAATAGAATATAGTATTTTGATGTCATAGTGAGTGTGTGTGAGAGAGAGTAGATCTTTTGAGATTTTGATTAGAGTAAGATCTTGGGTCAATCATTTTCAGTATTTCTTCAACTTTATGGTGGATAATTTATTTTGAGTAAGTGTCTAGAGTGCTTGGAGTTATTTCTTCAATAATTCTAGGCATGTGGAGAATACTTCCCCATTTGAAGTTTGATATTTTCTTGAGAAACACAAGATTTGATTTACAAGGATCACACCAGCAATGAAGAGGTTGATGTGTCCCTAACAAATGTATGGAGGTGATGTTCCAAACAATAAATGGGTTGCTGTATTTTGAGACATAATTTCTTAATAATTTTTCACTAAGAATGGCAGCTAAATTTGTGAAGAATTGGGATGAAAACTAATATTCATGTTTGTGTTTCACCTGATGTAAATGGATGAAAATTTTCACCAATCTTTCATGAAATTAAATGGGAACATTGTATGTGGAGTCTAGCTTCCCTTCACATATGATGAGGCTTCCTTTTCATTTCAAGTGATCTTTTAACCAAACTATATTCATCACATTACAAACTGAGTTATTGAGGTGTTCACAAGCCTCTATGGGAAGTTCTTACTCTCAACAACACATAGTAAGGAGAACTACCTAAAAATATTTATTACCAAAAATTAGTAGGATTAATTAGGCAATAATTTATGTGTCCTAGTCATTGACACTACAACATGGGTTAGCATACTAGAACATCAGTTTAATGATCATTGGATAAACTGATATTCTAAAAGAAGGCCATTCTTTACATGGACACTATGAAAACTCTTAGCAAAGTTGCATTAGAAAGAGCTTTCAAAGAAGAAGTGAAAACCACCAATGTACAACTGATGATACTATGAACTTCATGATTAGAAATTAGAGAGCTATTATGTGCCAATTTTGGTTCATACGATTTTTGGAATTAAGCACATTACAAGTTTGCATGGCTGCATTGAGTATGTATCTTTGATGCTTGGAAAGGGTAATCATAAAAATCCACTACTGAAATTAATCATGGGAATGACATTTTTTCATTGATGATAACTGGGCATGGGTGTTTGGGGTCACTAGTTGCGGAGACAAGCACCCAAGTCTTGTATTACTGTTGTGTGCATCCTGCCAGTGAAATGTCACATGCTGCTAACCAGCTCTTGGGACCAAGTGAGGGCAATGAGGGCCACTGAAAATAAAATTTGAAATTTTATTTATATTATATTTATAATGTAAATGAGGCTTCAAAACAAATTAGATTTAGATAGTTACCCATCCTGCTCTCGAAACTAATTGTATCGCTTTTGTCACTGATTAAAATCGTGCTTTTCAATTGCTTCAGTCCTTTTTTTGAACTCTCTTTGACACATGCTCTAGTGATCCTAATGTGGTGGAAGAGATTTTTGAAACTTCTACAGTTTGAAAATTCTATATGATCATCTATAAAAAGAAATATAAAATTAGGATATGCCTAGTATTCATGATCCATAAACCACAATGGGATTGTGTCGATATGCTTGTGTATTTTATTTGTCCCAGTTGCAGTTGTGAGATAAGGCAGTAAGTTTTTGCTTTATCTCACCTGCACATGAACGAGAGAATCTTGTAGCGCATATCTAATGACTTGTACAGTGAGGCATATGCATCTGTTTTAAAAATTGATTCATAGAACATTGATTAAGTTTAGGATCTCAATTAAAATATAATTTCGGACCCTATAATTTTTATCGTCGGTTGCTGGTATGTCTGCTCAATTGAGTGTAAGTACTGTTTGCTTGTGCTTCCCTGTTTTGCTATGAACATTCGTCCTCCTTTTCATTTCAAGTAGTCTTTTAGCCAAACTCTATTCATCACGTCACGAATTGATAATCCTTAGATCACTTCTGATTTATGTTCTTGATTTGTTCGCAAGCCTCTGCGGGAAGTTCGATCGAGACAGTGCCGGTTTTCTGATTTCTGTAGTTTTTCTGATGGAAATTACAGCTGATTACGCGGCAAGAATAAAAAAAATATCTTTTTGGAGAATCCAGCTAAGGTCTCCCTCCCCGCAGCCCTAATCTATGTTTGGTCACGGATCACCGATGTCTGCACCACGAACCACGGCGAAACAAGAAACGTGGATCTGCCAGAAGAAAACGACACCTGTCGGGTTTTCGGGGCACTGCCGCAAAGACAGGAGATCCCCCTGTACAGAGTACGTAGGTCACGGGCTGTGCCCTCGTTCATAAACCACCGGCACCTCGCTCTTGATTCTTCTGCCCTTCCCTCCCCTCGTTCTACTCCCGCTCTGGCGGCGGACCACTGAATCTATCTCACTCTTGCTTTTGTCCAGGCATTTGTTCTGCTCCGCGCAGGCGCCGCCGGCTGCATCCATAGGAGCCTCATACAGAGTGACGGCTCCGCGGCCGCCGTCGAGAAGTGGATACTCCATGTTCTCCGGCAATGCACTGAGCAATTCGAGGGTCTGCACTACCTGCTGCATGGTGGGTCTGTGCTTGGGGTTCTGGCTAAGGCACCCGTAGGCCAGTCTCGCCACCATCTGGATGGTTCCGGTGGCGTACTGCCCTTCCATCCTCGGGTCTACGATCTTCATCAGCTTCCTGTTGTGCACCAGCAGCGGGCGAGCCCACTCGGCGAGGCTTTGCTCTCGGCTCGGCCGGCTCCTGTCCAGGGTCCTCCTCCCGGTCATCATCTCAAGCAGGACGACTCCATAGCCATAGACATCGCTTCGCGCGGTGAGGCGACCTATGAGAAGACAAAGGAAGAAGAAAAAAAGAAAGGAACCACCCGCGTCAGCCAGCCAGCCAGCTATGAAGGTGTCCTCCTCCCACAGGTGAAGGCAGCCAGCCTTCTTACCGGTCATGACGTACTCCGGCGCAGCGTACCCGTGCGTGCCCATCACTCGTGTGGATACGTGCGTCTCGTCCCCGGTGGGGCCTTCCTTTGCGAGCCCAAAGTCCGAGAGCTTCGCGTTGTACTCCTGAGGATCGTCAAGCAGAGATAGCATCAGCCTCCTCTCCCTCCCAGGTACACTCCTCTCTCTCTCTCTCTCTCTCTCGGAACTCGCCCTCCTTCAATTCTAAGGTTTTATTTTCCCTTTATAGAATGGCAGAGCGGGCATATACCGCGTCCAGTAAGATGTTGGAGGTCTTGAAGTCCCGGTAGATGATGGGCCTCTCGGCCCCGTGAAGGAAAGCGAGCCCCTTCGCCGCGCCCAGCGCGATCTTCAGCCTGGTCGACCACGACATGGGCAGACACACACCTGGAAGTCAACGGGTCAGATGATGATGATGATGGATCTCTGGCCAGTCGTGAAAACAAACAGTCGGAAGAGATGCTTCTGAGCCAGCATACGTCGGAAGAGATGCTTCTCCAAGCTCCCACAGGCCATGAACTCGTAGACCAGCAGCCGGTGGTCGTCCTCGCAGCAGTACCCAATGAGTTTAACGAGATTGGGGTGGCTGAGCTGCCCCAGATGGTTGACTTCGGCCTGCGAGAACCAAAAGGAAAAGTAAAGCCCCAATTCTCAGAAAAGGTGCAGTTTCTTCATTGGGGACCCATTTCTTCTTCTTCTTTTGGCATGCACGACCCTTACCGGCGGCGCCAGATGGATGTGCAGGAGAGAAGAAAAGAAATTACCAGCCACTCGTCGTCTCCTTGGCATCCCTCCGGATTGAGCTCCTTGACGGCGACCTGGGTCAACGGGAATCCCTGCCTGACGCTCTCGTCGATTACCCCCTTGTAGACGACTCCGAATCCGCCGGCTCCGAGGATCTTGTCCGGTCTGAAGTTCTTGGTGGCGGCCGCCATTTCGCCGTAGGTGAAGACGCAGAGGTCGCCCTTGGCGGCGTTCTGCCGGAACTCCTCCATGCTCGTGGATCTGGACCTCCTCGAGCTCCCGGAGTTCCTGCGCTCGGAGGAGACTCGCCGCTGCTTGACCGGAGCCGCCGCCGGAGGATCAACCCTGAGCTCGCCCGCAACCCATTGTAGCTTGACCAAGGCTTCTGCTGCCTGGGGGTTCCGGAGCTTGAATGCCGAGGGAGCTGCCGGAATACTGCCTCTCTTAGACCATCGATTGATCGATCGATCCTCTTGTGATTGGGATTAAACAAGGGGGATTGAATGGGTTTGATTGCTGCAGGGTGATCGGGGGTGTTCAGAGTTATACCCGTCTTGGCGTTGACCACATTTCCGCCGCTGCCGCTTCTGTTGGCGGTGGCGCCGAGGCTGCTCTTCTTCTGTGAAATCGGCGGCGAATTCTCGGCGCTGGCGCAGTTCCCCATGCCGCCTGCCCACCGAGGGGATGCTACGGCGGCGCCAGATGAGAGCCCCCCCGGTCCGTTAAATTCTGTTCACTGATCTCTGTTTCTCCGGACACGACTATGCTCTCTATGCTCTAGCCCTCCGCCCCTATCTCCTCTGCTCTACCTACCGTCAGCTCTCTCTTTCTCTCTCTATACCGGTGTCTGTGGTATATCGAGTTCGGGAGGAGGGGGGGGGTGTCACAGAGGTTCTTTGGGCCTTGCTCATCTGCTCTTCCCCCCGATATATATATATATCTAGTGTGCACCAGCCGTCCAAGCGAAGCATCTGGGCCCAGACCTTTTGAGGGTCGAGCGATCTCGCCACTTGTCCCTCCGCCGCGGAGGGCCATCCAGTCTCCTTGCGAGTGGCCCCGCCGATAAGTCAGCTGCCGCCCACGGTGATTAGATTTGACGGGGAATTACCCGAAACTGTTTCTCATTAGCCCCGGCTGAAGGCTCCGCCTTGCCGTTCTGGTTTGTTCTCTTCCTACAAACCTCTCTTCGATTCTCTCTCTCTACAGGCCAGAGTGTTCATAGATAGAGGGCGACGGCGATGAAGCAAGCATATGCTCCCTCCCTCTCCCTCCAGCTCGCTCTCTCTCTCCCACGGCTGCGGTAATTGAGCGCCAGGAAGAGAAAGAAACAGACAAGATAATAGTCTCGATCGCCCCTCTCGCTCCCTCCCATCTCTGATGATATGCGAATAAATAAATAGGTAGATAGATAAACAGACACTGACTGGCCCACGGAAAAGCGACGCGTTTTGCGTGTCCTCACGTCCCCCTAACCCCCGCCAGCTAGCCATCTCTGCTACTACCCTTTGCCTGCCGCTCCTCGTCCCCGTCTACGCCGGTCAATCCCGTTCGCCGTCCGGGGGAGCTGGCCCTCGTGCCGTCGCTTCGGGTGCTAGCTGTATCGCACCCACCTCAGCTCATCTCACCGTCCCCCTCCTTCACTTCCCCCAAATTAAAAAAATCACCCAAGATCACTGTGTGCACCACGAATTCTGCCACTGGCCAAGATAATCTTCAATTTTTACCAGCCTGAGACCAGACCGCGGGGTGGGCTGGGCCACCAGCGGCATCTCCGGAGGACCAATCTGGTACCCCCCTCGAAAGCGGGGGCACAGGGCGACGACTTCTCGGTTTCACACCTCACCGTCTCCACCTAGAATCCGAACATTGCCGCGTAGGTTTACCGTGGACCGGTCAGGATCATGAAATAAGACTTGGGTTCCGACATCCGGCCTCCCGCGTTCAACATCTGCCGGGGGCATCCCGTTGACCAAGTGACTCGCCATTTCAGCTCCTCGTAGAATTCCTGTCGCGAGAGGCGGCGCAAAAACCTCTTATCAGAGAATTCCGGGTTAAGACTTCGAGCCTAATCCACGCGCGCTGTAACAAAGAGTTTGTACAATAAAAAGTTAAATCTCGCGACAGTTGAACTGATCCAAGGGAGAAGTGTCGTCGGCCTAGTGGCCCAGTGAACTGCCCCTCTGATGATGGCGGTCTTTGCAGAACCCTCTTGCCCTACAGTCGGGATTCTATTTCTACGTACTCGCAACCAGAAGGGAAACGGCAGAGGATACAGCAGAACAGAGATGGAGGAAGAAAGGGGAGCGTTAAGCAAGCACCAATTGACAGAGATGGGATACGTGTACTTGGCGTGAACCCCATTTTGGCAGATCAATAATGGTAATCCGAATCATCGCTCCGGCGAGAAGCTCCGAGGTCCCCCCCGCCCCTTCTGTTCAAACTCGTGCGCTGCTCGCAGCGGAGAAGCGCCTGCACGACTTCGGACATGGGGGGCCTGAATTCCGGCTCCGACTGGCACAAGAACGAGGAAGATGTAGTCACTGCTCCCAAGAACATGCGCGAATTTGACCCCCCACAATATTGCAATCATCTAAGCCTTAATGATGAACAGGAACTAGGTACATCTCTGGTGGATCTATAATACCTAATAATAACCTAAATCCCATCTTTGCAAACACCGGAAGATGTACGACTAATGCATCTTTGAGGCGTATTTCTCTCACCTGAACACAAAGGGCGATCACATCGGCAAACCTTGACAGAGACTTGGGCGGGTAGAGCCCACGAAGTGCCGGGTCCACCATCTTGGCCAGTGCATCTATATCGTGGAGCTGCGGTGTAGCCCAGCAAGCCAAGGATTGCTCCGATCTTGACTTTGAGCTGCAAAGAAATTCGGACCCATTTATTCCTGAAAGACAAATCGAAGACAAGGACGAAGCAGACAGCACGGGTAAGAAAAGTATGGAAGAAAATCCTCATTGCAGGCAGACTAGCGGCATCTGACACCGTTACCATAAAACTGGGCATCCACCGATCCGCGGTTCAAGAGGATGACCCTTTTGCATCAGGCGCAGGAAATAATTAATTGGTTTCAACAGGTAGGAACCGCATCATGTGAGGTCAGGTGAGCAAAGTAGCTTTCCTTCAGTCTTCAGAATTAAGTAAGAGGAAGATTCTGCCATCACCTGTCAAAGGGCATCCGACCCGTCAGCAGTTCCAGCATGACAACGCCAAAGCTGTACACATCACTCTTGAGAGTATAGGCAGATGGGCTAGTGCATTCAGGAGCGCTATAGCCAGGGCCCAAGTTCCGCTTCGTATCCTGTGGGAAGAATGAGGATGGATTAGAGAAAAAATCCGGAAACATATTCATTGACTTGATAATAATGGCAGAATTTGCACCGAATATAACACGCCCAAGCCGCAGTCAGTGAGATGGGGATTGAGCTCTGCATTGAGTAAAATGTTGGCCGATTTTATGTTCTTGTGGATGACTGGCGGGGAGCAAGTCTCATGCAAGAACCTGAAAAGGATAGAATAACAACAACAACAACAACAACATTCTGACATAGATACGACTGTCAAAAATATGTACGAGTAAATAAATAAATACAAGGTGTCATGAGATTTTTAACGGAGGTTTAACACATGATAATTAGCAGATATCGCATGCAGGGGTTTGAAAGGTGTCGTGAGATTAAAGAAAGAAACACATCCGCGGTTAAGTGCGAAACCAGAAACCTTTATTTTACATTTTGCCTGATAAAATAAGGTGAAAAAATTTCAACTCCTGAAAGCTTGTAGAAAATGTTAAGGGTGACCCTGATCTCTAAAGAAAGGAGATAAAGACCATCAGTAATCAACGGGCATGAATCAATTAGTTTCTGTAGAATACGTCGTGCGACTTACTCAACAGCTCGAGCCGTTCCAAGAGCAATCCTCACCCGAGTATCCCAGGTCAAGGGTTTGCTGTACTCATCTGATAAATGCAGGAACTCGTGTAGAGAACCATTTTTTTGAAATTCATAAACTAATAGGTGATGCCCAGATTCACAGCAATAACCAAGAAGCTCCGTGATGTTTGGGTGGTGCAGTCGGCAAATTCCCGAGACCAGGTTCTTGAAATCTTCCGAATTCCCTGATCGAAGATGTGATGAATCTATTCTTTTCACAGCCAAAACCTGAAAGTAAAGGCAACATGAGTAAAGAATAGGACATCTTACGAGAAAAATCTGAATATTAGAGTCACCTCTAAAATGTTTCACTTTAGTTCAATGATACAGAGAAGTATGATGAAGGCCAAATTGCCTATGGTGATCTAAGAAAATAATTATGAAGAAAGAGTGACCGAACTAAGATTTCCTGCATATGAACAATTCCAATAGCCATTTCCAGATTCCAGTTAGGAAACCATATACTCAAAGTCAATATGTAGACTCAAAATTCAATGTCGCCCATTAAAATTATGTTGTTCCATCGCCTGGACAGAAGTCGTAATATATCACAAGGAAATACTATATGGAGACTGATGCCATCGCATTTACCTTGTAATGTTTAAGATATTAACACCACAATGAGATTCTTGCCTAAAAAAGTAACAGCTAAGGTAGTAGTGAAACGGTTCTATTTCTTCAATAGATTAGGTGTTCGAAAAGTGGACACACACAGACACACGGCAGAAGCACCAGCATCAGTCGGCCACAACCGAGAATGAAGCCTTAAGTGTTCTTCAGGAAAGCGATTTCATCCTTCGTTTTTCCAACTCTTTTGAATGGCTGAGGGAGAAAGCGCACTGCCATATTAAAATCAACCATGCGAAACTGCTAAGATGCCCTCCATATCATATCAATTGAAGGCAATTTAGAACAGAACAGTGCAAACGACTGTGTCTCTACTCGACAATGGTAATCTCGCATGTATTACAGATCTACAACATGCTTGTTGAGATATATAAGTTGGAAAAAATTCCACGCGATATAAACCAGAGAGAAAATTGTCAACATGAACAGAGGAGACACTGAAAAGAAAGGAAAAGATAAGACTTCTGAAAGATTTTCTCCGACATATTTAGCATGGGCGTACCTTTCCGTCAGCGTACTTAGCCTTGTAAACGTGTCCAGTTGAACCCTCACCAACAATGCGACTGGCACTAAAACTTGCAGTAGCCGTTTGGAGATCCATCAAAGAAAAAACTGGGGCATCAATTGGATTCGCATTTCTTTTGGCATGAAACTTGCTCGCAAATTCAGTATCATTGAAGGATCTGTGTCGATCAGAAGGAGGAGGTTTGAGGCCAAAGGAGGAAGGCGTACTAAGCATCTTCACGTGAGCTGAAGAATTAGGCTCCACTGACGTCAGATCTGATTCATGTGCAGGCAGTACTTGGTCACTGAGTGTTACCATTAAATGCCAGCTTGCCATCTCGAATAACAGGAAATGCCAAAATTATACTATCCAAGAAACTTATTGTAATGAAATCATAAGCGAAAACAATTAAAAAAGGTGAAACTGCCCAGAATATTACCTTTAAAATTATTCGAATCTAGGTATGTGAATGGTCTTGCCGGGCCAAGATTCTCCTCATCGATGTAATGCGATGATGATCTTCTTCGTTTAGCTAGTACTAATAAAACCAATCCCAGGATGAACACAAATATCACTATCCCAGCTATAGCTCCATTCACACCAGAGTTTGTTCCATTGCCTTCTTTGGATGAATTATCCTCACTACCTGAGCTGTCTCCTCGATGATTGGCACCTCGGGGCGTAGACCGAGGAGGAGCAGGCCCAGATGACCAAGAATTTCCTTGAGTCCTTACAGAAGACCATTTTTACGTTACTCAAAAGGATATCTTTCAAGGAAACTAAACGAAACAATCCAACTATACATGCACTTACTGGAGATTATCTATGCCTTTCAATTCATCTGGAACCCAACCAGTGAAGTGGTTGTTTTGAACGTTTCTGGAAGATAAACGAAGATTGCAAATACTAGAGTGAAAATGTACGCACTTAAAAAGCGTTTACACATTAAGAATAAAATAGAAGATTTAAACAGGCAATATAACATATAAACGAAGAATAAAACGAAGATTGTTGAGGAATGGCATAATATCATGCTTCTTAAAGACTGAGACCAAATAGGCGTTTATTAAATTAAAGCATCACCAGGGGAAAGCCATAACATTAGTATACCAATTTGGTCAAACAGAGATGCATATATCTTTTGAAATAGAATTCGGAAAATTAGTTATTTTGAAATCCGTGAATCATCCTTGTTAATGTAGAATCTTATTCATAATATATTTATCTCATGCCCACAAAACACAGCTCACAGGGACAAGGCATAAGAACACCTTGTAAAGAGCAGAGAGAAAACAAGGAAACCTATTAGAATTCTAGAGAGATGCAGTTTTCTTTGCAAATATTACAGTAACTTAGTGATCCAATCAGGTAATCCGCGGTAAACAGAACGCTACGTTGAGAAGCGCAGTAGATGTGAGCTCCCTGTGTAACACTTACAGATTCTCAAGAGGCAAGGCTGCAAGGACATCAATTTTTCCAGTGAATTGGTTGTTCTGCAAATGCCTGGACAAAGACACAGTTATTGTAGGGAAAGGAACCCGAAAAAAAGAAAACTAAAAGCTCGCTTTTCCTCACAATGTCTTGATACTAGAGAGGGATCCAAAGGACTGAGGCAGATCACCAGTCAATTGGTTGTATGAGAGATCCCTGATGTCAAATTACAAGCTTATCAGTGAAAAAAAAAGCGCTTCTGTTTCCATGATTTGGAAATAGATTTGTCAGAATTAGATACTGAAATGATGATATTGTATGAAAAGGCTACATAAAGATACCCATAAGACTCGGAAGGAGGAGGAAGCCACATAAATAAGCAAAATCAATAGGCTAACTTATGAGTTTACGTATCACTTTCTACAAAATTGTTCCGTGAAGTGCTCTGTGAACTACCTCTCCCACATGCTTTCCTGTCAATCTGATCTGAACTACGGAACGAATATAAAGTATAACTACGGAAAATTCTGACACTGCAGAGTGTGATTTATTTTGCCTCATAAGGGATAATAAATCTTACATTACAAAACCAGAATGATAAAATGATTAGAAGTAGCAGATAGCCATGCAGCAAACGGTGGAAAGGGAATTCATGAATATTCCTCTTTTTCACTTTGAACAAGGTCATTGAATCCATAGAAGCAAATCATGTTTCAACATTCCTTCTCCATCGAAATATCTTCAGTGGGAATACAGAGTAGAACCATCATTCAGCTTTGATTGTCATTTTTCTTTATGACAGGAATCCCCGGGGATTAGTCAGAATGCCTTGTGATGGGCGAAGAATTCAACATTATCCAACAATGCAGTTTTGATCATCTGACATTCTGTGGTATGATTAAAGCTCAATACTTGAATTAACTATTATTAAATGGGCATCTGACAATTTCAGTTAAAGAACAAGATAAATGGAAAAAAAACTAGAAAGAATCAATCGTACTAGACGCATTGTCTTTACTTACAAAAAAGTAAGGCTAGGAAGCTTCCCAAACATGTCTGTCAATTGACCACTTAGCTGGTTATTTGCAAGATTTCTGCATTTCAGCACAAAACCAAAAACATTTTACTGGAAAGATAATGCAAAAGTAAGCATAGACAGTCAAAGAAAGATTGTTTGTGCTTACAAATATGTGAGGTCAGTCATCTGTGAAATTGAGTAAGGCACACCTCCAGTGAAACTATTCCGAGCAAGGTTTCTAAAAAGGTTAAAATAATTAAAACAAAGGTTCTCAACGTTAACTTCCTCTGAATATAAATAAGACAAAAATAATAGGTGCGTGATGATTAAATTAAAGTTCAAGCATGAAATAAGAGAAGAGGATAAGGCTGACACGAAGGACAGTAGGAAAAAAGTAAAGAAGTAACCTACATGTGAAGTGCATTTGGAGGAAGCTGGTATGGGATGTCGCCCCGAAGATTATTCATGCTCATATCTCTGTACAGAAAGGAAAGGAAGTCAACGAAGTCCCTTATATGGAGTAGAAAACATAACAAGCAACAAATATGCCAGGAAAATGTACAACTAACAAGTGTGTCACTGAGGTCAAGCTCGAGAGCTGATAACCAATTGATCCCGTCAGTCCAAGACCTGACAGCTTGCTGTTCAGATTAGATGAAACAAATGAAAATTCAGTCCCTAGGGTTCTGAGATATAAGAATGAGAAATGAGATTTCATCAAAATATTTGCCCATATTTGTCCAAACCTCAGTTGGAAATGACAAAGAGAATGCCCTAGAAGAAAAATAAAAAAGTATCTCATAAAAATAAAAGGGAAAAAGGCAATGTGAATAGATAATTTTCATGTTATCTGATGCAAAAGCTTGAAATCAGCCATAATAAAAGTTATGAGTTTTTTCTGCCTTTCCTTTTCTTTTCTTTTTTTCAAGCAATTAACTTCCGATCTCTGTTCTAGAGTTTCCAAATAAAAAAATTGTTTTGAACTTAGTTCCCATAACATAGTTTTTGGTTGTGAAATCATGAAGCGATCCTCTGGGGTTCTTTTCGCTTTGCACTGTGTACTCGGATCCCTGGGTGATTGTTACCTTAACAACATGACAATGGAAACTAACATAGCCTATGAGAGCAGTATCATTAACACAGGCTTTACATTTCTGTGACTGATGGGCCGGAGCACTTAATGCCTTTCCAACGTTGACCACAAGGATCCCCACCACTTGAAGTCCAGCCAGTAAGCGATGAAGGTGAATTTAAGCTATTGTACATCACATTGAGGGCCGAAACTGCAAAAATATAAACAAACTAAATGAGAAATATGTGCGAACGGAAGCAGAAACACAGACGGAGAAGGAAGGTTCATTACCAGCACGCAACATGAAGGAACAGAGACTTGAAAAACTAAAAGTCATGCAGGGGAAAAATTATCAGGAGACATCTCTACTCCTCACAAATATTTATAAGGGGTATCAGTGGGAATTTTTCGTCTGAAGTAAACAGATTTACATTCGGCTGTATTTGCTTTGTTAGGACAAGGTAGACTAGGCATATATGAAAGCAATAAATCCCGGCTTTGAGGGCCACATCTCCTGTAAAAGTGAAGACCTTGAAGTGGTGAATCTCACACAAAAGTCTTCCCATTTGTGATCACCCTTGTCATCATTCGCATGCTATTAACACGTATGTACCCTTTGCTCAGAGGAGGAAGATATGAAGAACTTAATTCCTGGGCGTTCCTCCCACGTTAGACCTTGTAAATGCTCTTTAAAGTGTTAAGCGTTCAACGAATTTGGAAGAGATACGAGAAAAGTAACCAGGTTTCCCCATCTAATTTGTAAGTAACCAGGTTGATAATTTCTCCACTCCATTAATGGGTAGTCACATTAATATACGGTTGATATTTCTCCACTTCAGATTTGGTCCAGCAAACAAGAACCTCAAATAATAATATCAGGAGTACGCAAGCTGGTGAAGCAGAGGATTCCTGGCTCGGTGCTCTGTTTTCTCTCTAGGGGACGCCAATCCTTTCACATCATCGCAGCTGCATCACCTAAAAACCGTCTGAGAAGATACTAAACAACAGAGCCAACAGGTTGGAAAGTTGGAAGAAGTCGAGAGGTCCTAAGAATTTCATATATAGAGAGGGAAAGAAACATGGAACTCTACCAAAGGCAAATCGTCAAATGCATCAACATATCCCGATGGCGGGAACAAAAACGCGTGCACGTGAACGTAGATCAGAAGAGAGACATCAGAAACAGGACTAGCAGGTTCATGGATTACCATCAGGGCCGTCAGTGCTTCCGCGGACAGAAACCAGCACCCGCAGCAGGAGGAAGACGCCGAGAAACGCTACGGCGGACGGCCCTGCCGGACCCGCGAACATCTTTCGGCCTGACTTTTAAGTCCTGCGCCTCTTCTCCATTTCGATCTGCGCCTCGGGGATGGGAATATGGAGCGGATGGTGAGAAGGCGGTGTCGGTGATGCGGCACAGGGGAGGAAGGGAGAAGAGGGCCGCAGAGGGACAGCCCCAGCTGGTTCAATCGCCCGAACTCGATGTCGCGAATGCCTAAATTTGGTGGCCGAGGAAGTGGGTGGAGGCCGAAAACTCCGAGCGCCTCTAAAAATAGCCGCTGCAGGAAACAACGGACGCTCTCCGCAAGCCATGGCGCCCTGGTGGTGGCATGCGTGATTTGCACATCTCTCCCCCCTGTCTTTCTCTCTCGATCTCGATATATGCATACGTATATCCAGAAATTGGCAAAAACAATCATCCAGAAAAATTGTTTCCAAGTGCAAGATCATAATTTTCCCGTGTTAGATGTTAGATAGATGACGGGGGATCCCCTAGATCGTTACGAACACCACAGAAACTAGCAGTACCAGGACTCACAGAGTCGGCCTTCCAGAAAGGGTTGGCCAGTATGCAGCAATCAGAGAAGAATCATGGGAAACAATTCCGGTTCATCCAGTGCGCACTCACTCTGGGGTGGTCCCTTGCGTATTTAGGAGGTGCCGCCGTGATCTTATATCAGCCTGCATTTCTTTCAATGAAAACCATGCGTCAACCATGATAAGCAGATCACAATCAACACCTTAATTTGCAATAACTTGATTCCAAGAACTCTCAAGCTTTGAGAATTGAGTAAAAAATAACAACTGGGGTGCTCCCCAGAGTGCTCACAAATCTGTGCCTCTCGGTTATTGGGGCAAAGTTTTTTTTTTTTTTTTTTTGATTCATTTACTAGCTCGGAGATTTGAATGTAGATTAATTTCACTTTCTGAGGTCGACATCCTCGCTGCCATTTAAATTATTTGCTATGAAGGGAAAATCGAAAAACGGAAAAAAGGGAAGTAAGCTGGGAGAACAGCCACAAGCTTAGTTTACAAACAGTCTGGACAGTGATAGCAATCAACAGAGTGGTACTGCCACAAGCTTAGCAGAACAGTCTGGTTTCCCGGAAGGGTAGCTTTCAGCATCCAAGGATTTTAACTGTAAGGATAGCAATGCCCAAGACCTTGCCTTGGTCAGAGGAAAGTGCGCGGACACACATTGCTCAGATGTCGAGAGGCAACATAATAAAGAGAAAATAAGTAGAGCTCACCTGGCGGATAGGCTCCGGTACTCGGTGCTTACAGCACATTCTGACTATGCTAATGCACGATTCGAGAGATAATCGATGACCAACTGATACAAATATGGGCTTTGAGGAACCGGAACTTGACCGCATTGCCTGCAGATGCGGTGTGGTCTTAGGCCGGCATTGTTAATGAGTGCACTTTTCTAAAGAGCTTGAAACCAAACAGGTTTCTATGAATGATTAAAAGGCACTGATTATTCCGTTCTCGAGCAGAAAATAAAAAACTCTGGGGAAGGTGAACCAGATAATCCTCAACACTAATTTGGTTCGCAGTGAGTGAGGAAGCATTATCTTGTCAGAAGAATACCATTCAACCACTGGGAGGCAATGAAAGGGGAGGGAGGTTTTATTCCCTGAAGGGCATAGCAGAAGTTTGAATTAATCTGGAAGCATGAAAATGCCCAAAGAGGTAAATAAACTAGACAAGCTGGCAGGCCTCAACTACAGTTTAAAAAGAAGACAGCGTGATTTCTCTTACCGCACCCCAGATTCTTCCCGAGTCTCCCATTAAAGTAACCAAGTCTTTGGATATGTTTGCCGGATCTTGTAGGAGCTTCCTGACTCTAGATAGTGTAAGGCCATCTACATGATGCAACTAAAAAAAATAAAATCGTACATATTACAAATCAGTACACACAAAAAAAATAAAAAATGAAATGAAAAATGTATGCGAGGTCCAATCAGTTTGATGCAAACTAGATCTATAGCGACTCAATAAAACACAATTAATTGCATGGAAACAATCTAACAGATTCACAATGAGTCCATTCGAATGACAAAAAAAAAAAAAAGAAAAAGAAAAGAAGAAGCATTACTCCTAAAAGATTTTATGCAATTTCTCTCTTCTTCTACTCGGCATGTTAGGATGATGATTATTCTAATGAGATAAGAATCAGTAGTCCTTTCAGAATCTGAAGACCATAATTCATGACTTTTCTCGGCTTATTTTATCTGAAAATAAGCATTTACGAATTTTGATAAGAAACGACTATAAGCACTGCCGAAAAGCCCTCAAAGGGGTCGTAAATCCGGAAGGAACTAAACACATTTGTAGATAAATTGTCGGGCTAACTTACATTCTTTCCAATACCAATTGTAGGAAGATTTGCCAGAACCCCAAGATGACAAGCTAAACCAAACCCTGCATAACAGATAAAAGTTTGAGCATTCCATGAAGTCAACGCTGCGGAACAAAGAATGAGTCACGCCGGAATACACGACTCGTCAAATAAGACAAGGTGGCGGATAAAAATGAGCATCTTCAAAGGGCAGGAGTTCTTTTATTATTAAGTAGCATTAAAAAACTTGGAAAAATTGCATTCAACAGATTTAGATTGATATCCCAGATCTTTTCTTGTATCTCGCTTTTTCTCCCTTTCAGGAGAATATTATGTCAGATTATATCTAATCAAGAAAGCTAAATGCTCATTGAACCGAACAAGCAACACACAGAAATGAACATGAACCGGTCAATGTACAAGTCTGCTCATCCACGCCACCAGGAACTAAGACGAAGAAATGAACCATTTAGATGGGTTTAATATCATAAAGTTGTCTACTCAGAGAAAGTTAATCTACAAGCCTGCTTGACTTCCCCACTGGATTAGGAAGAAAAATATACAACATGCATTATTTCCTCCGTTCATATATTCGTGCATAGCTTCCAACATTCTAGTGCTAGACAGATTTTCCGGCATCAATATCACTCAGGGCCATTTACATACTAGCGATTACTAAAGACAGTGCTGCAAAGTTTAACCACTACTGCTCCTAAGCAGATTCGGTAAGACCTTGATATTGCTCTCACAGGTAGAACCTTAGACCTCGGAAATAATTGGCAAAATGGGAATTAAAAGCTACAGAGATTTGAGTGATGCCACAAAAATGGTTATGGTCAGCAGAGAAATAATCGTATCTTTTGGGGATCCTCGGGTTAAAATTGTCCTCAGGCCAAATTGAGGGAGGAGGGGGAGAGGAGAGAGAAAGAGAGCATTTAACCCGTGCCACAAGCTCAGACAGAGCAGTCAGAAGCATGGTAAAATTTTATGAGGCGATCGTTACAGTGCATGACGGGAGAGAGAGACATGTTATCTTCATTAAAAAGTATAAAGAATAATAAAGATATAATTTGCAGCTAACTACGAGGTGCGATGATCATATCTGCAATAGAATCTCATCCTAGAACGTCATGAAAGGATGATTAGTTGACTAACCTGCAAGTGGGCGAAAAAACACACAACTATGCTGAAAAACTTGCCTCTAGGATGTAGAACTCCATTGCCATCGACCATCAGGACCTGCAGACAGTAAGAGATCTCAGATTTCGAGATCAGAATGATCACCCAAATCCAGAGAAAGCTCGAGCAAAATGAACATCATGAACAGATTAGAGTGAAACATGAAATATTTGTCGTGACAAAAACATGTTGTATGAAATCTGAAAGAGCCAGCAAGAGCATATTTCCTGGAATAAGCCAAAAGTGCTGGAGTAAACTCCCCAGATGAGATGGTGGCACACGGTGCGCCAATTAAGGGCACATAAACACGAGGACTGGCACAAAGATTTTAGTCTGAATTATAAAAAGACCATAAGAAGAAAAAAACACTCATTTCTAGGGAATGGCTGCCGACTATGAATTTATGACGTATGTCGAGCAAAGCACAGAAGACACAGATGAGCTAACTTAGAATCGCAGGAAAGGACGAGGGATATCTCTTTGACAGATGTTACCACCCTCCGAAAGAGATGCATTGTGACCCAAATCACAATCGCCAAAATGAGTTAAACGAACCTTGTTGGTTGTGGATCAATCTCTCTCTCTCTCTCTCTCTCTCTCTCTCTCTCTCTCTCGGCATATGAAAAGAAATATTGACCAGGAATAGCCGAGGGGATGTCCAGAGCTTACCTGAGGATAGAGAGAAGGAGCATCGTGTTTCATCTTCTCCAACAACCTCAGAAGGATCGGCGCCTAAAACCGCAAATCGCAGGGACTACTCATCAGAATTACCTTTGAGATTTCAGATATTATGCGATAAAGTTAAGGAAAGGGACTCATCATATCTTCTCGATCATTGGGACTAATCATTCTGATAATTATCTCAAAAAACAAAAAAAAAACCAGAAAACTGAGCTCCTCGTGACTGAGTCGTGAGGGAAGGATGTCTGAATGGAGAAGAGCGGGATGAAGGGGGGAAGGAGGGGTGGGGAGAAACCTCTCTAAAGGCGAGGAAGCCAGGGACATAGGGAACCGTTAGCCGGGCGACGTCGTAGACCTCGTGGATGACTCCAGGTGCGCTCTCGCTTTCTCCGCATTGCGTCCGCTGCTGAAGGTCGACGACCACGAGTGCACCACATGCGATAGAAGGGTCGTCTTTGGCGAAGCTCACGTCCACCCCTCCTACGTAACGCAGGGAACTACCTACGCCGCCTTCGCCATCCCCCGAGGCCCAGCAGAAATCGTCCCCGACAATCACTCTCTCCCGTAGCAGATCTTGCTGCCTGGAAGAAGCGCAGGGGAGAAGAGAATCAAGACCAAAGCAAGCAAGCATGAGACCCACGGAGGGGGAGCCTACTCACTTGATCCAGGTATGCTGATACGACAGCGGCGCTGCCCGGTCACGTTCCCCGGAGGAGGTGGGGGTCAGAGCATCCATCTACTCTCGTGCTCTGCGTAGTTCTTGAACAAGGATATGATATGCACGATATTTACGCCGGCAGTGAAAGAATCTGACGCCAGATCACTGCGTTAGCCTTCTGCTGTGGTCTCACGGTGGCAGCGGGCGCAAACCCTCTGCTTTAAGCAGCCTCCCTCGTGGTCGGCGACCCGTCGTATTTATCGAATTATTGAACTCGAAATCAGGCGTTTAGAGATCCGCTCAAGAAGACTCCTTTAGTGACTAGTTCCTGCCTCCGCCATCAACGAGAGCCTCGAGTCGATGCCTTGTACCGAGGGGGTGTCTCGGGCTTTCAGTGATCCCCTTGGTTTCCTCGTCTCTTCCGCAGCTCCGGCGGGCAGAAATCAGAGGAGTCCTGGTTCCCGGGAACGACCCCATGGGCGTGTTCCCCACGACCTCGCAGGCATCCTCGGCTATGCCGGATCGGCCCAAGAGGTCGGGGGGGAAGGAGGACGATCGAATTGGGATTATGCGATATTAATTTATCTTCAAGGACGACCGACGAGGATCGCGAGGGGGGAGGGTTGACCTATTTTTACAGTAAATCCCATGTTCCCGACGCAGATGGGTCTCTCAGCAAGAAGTCGTCCAGCCCGAAAGGAGGCGACCCACAGTCAACATCCATTGACGGGTTCGAGACGTCGTCGTCGTATCTGACCTTGGGGATGAGCTCCGATTCTTCCGATGGCCACCTCCCCGCAGCAGCGGGGCGATGGGGAGCAGAGACCGCCGGAGATGAGGGCGGCAGGTGACCGCTCCCCTGCGGGGATGGCGAGGAGGAGGACGCGAACCGAGCGGCGATGGCCTTGATGTCGCTCTTGGACAGCGCCAGCCGCAGTTCCTCGGGGAAGCCCGGCCGCTTCTCGTCGGGGAAGTTGAAGCGGCCACGCACGCCGTGGAGACAGTAGAGCGCCGCATCGTAGGCGCGGGCCGCTTTCTCCGGTGTGTCGTAGGACCCCAACCATATCCTCGTGCGGCTCCTGGGGATCCTAATCTCCGATACCCACCGCCCCCACCTCCTCATGCGGATGCCCTTGAAGGGCTTCTGACCGGCGTCGGCGGCCGTCGCCCTCTGCTCTTGTTCTTGCCTCAGCTGCCCTCTCATCGGGGAAGACGAGAGCGTGGTGCCTTCGCCGCCCTCTGCTCCAAACGCCATGACCCCCCCTCTCCCCCACAACAACTATATCAAACAAATCTCAGACAACACCGACCGGAGGAACCGTGCCACCCTGCAGACAGACCCTTCTTCATCGGGGGAAATCTCACCACCTCCCTCCCCCTTTCTCCCAACCTCCTCCCCCCGGTGGGAAGGGAGACACAGGAGTACAAAAAGGGGAGGATAAGTTTGGCCGAGACGTGGCTGGAGAGAAGAGGGTGGGAGACTGTGCGAAGTGGGTGGCACCTGGAGTAGCCGTGGTAGTAGTAGTCCCCCCCCCCCCCCTCCGTGCCCGTTGCAGCAGGAGCTTATCTTCTCGGCCCGACCCTCCGCTCAGTCCACACCATCCGGCGACGGGCTGTCCCAGCAAACGTGGGCGCAGAAGGTCACACCACCGGGAGGCGGAGCCCAACGTGGCGGCAGGGTCCTCCAATGGGGGGAAGAAAACAGAGGGTCAGGTCAGTCCAGTCCAGTCCACAGGTGTAGGCAGGAGCTCGACCGAGGAAAACGCGGACGCCCCTCTTTATCCTCCTCGTCCGCATGCAAGAGAGGAGGGTGGGGGGAGCTCATCCCGACCCCAGCAGAAAGCTGGCGGGAGACGGCGAAGCCCATTGCGCCTCCCACTCATCGCCGTTAGCCTCGGAACCGAGGAGGAGTGGCGTGGCTCAGACGAAGACGACGAAGACGAAGACGAAGAAAAAGAAGAATGAAGAAGAATGAAGAAGAATGAAGGAGAAGGAGAAGAAGCTCCTTCCCCGAGTTCCGATTTCAGGCCGGAGAACCGTCCGAGGCTTCCTCGCAGACGTTACCGTTACCGTTCGGTCGGCGCAAACGTGCCGCACCGCAGCGGGCGGGAATTAATTCTCCGAGTCCCGAGCCATAACAAAAAAATGGTCGTGGCGACCGCAGCGGCCCAGTTAAGACGTCGGCTTAATGGGCCTCTCTCTCTTTCTCTCTCGCATGAATCGTGCCAGGTGTAGGAATGGGTCCCACCATCCCAGTAAAATCTTACCCGCCTTGGCTCGTCGCCACGTGGTGGACCTTATCCCGGACCCAGCCCTTCTTGGTCGGGAGGGGAAGAAGGGTGGAACTCGACGGCGACTTGACGGAGAAGGGCGGCGCCGGGAGAGGTGGCGGCCGTCGCTCGTGTGGCAGGGCTTCAGCGTGCGATTCCATTTTCCAACACCTTCTTCGGGTTCTCCACTCCCCCTTTTCTTCTCGTCCAGTTCCCCACGACGGCCGCCAAATTCCTTGTCGCCACCGCCACGAAACCCTAGACGGCGAGCCGATTCTCACCTCCATTCCCCTTCCTCCCACCCTCATCACCTCTGTACCGTCCGTCCATCTCTATCTCTTTCTCCTGTGCCTCTAGATCTACCCCTTTTCTCATTGACCATGAGGTTCGTCTGGGTCGCGGTGTGTTCTGACGTCCCCAATCTCTAACCCCTGCAGATCTTCTTCTCTTGGCCCTCTCCTTCCGCCCTCCCTAATTCCGTGGGCGATGGAGGGTCCCGAAGGAGACAGCGGAGCTCCCGACTCGTGGGAGCTGGCGGATTTGGACGAGAGCATGAGCCGTTTGCTTGCCTCCTCCTCTTCGTCCAGGAAGATTCCGCCGCCGGAGTTCGTCGACGAGGTGGCGACCCCCGCGCCCCCTGTGTCGACGCCTGTCGCTTCTTCCGAGTCTTCTTCATTGCAGGCGGCTGCGGTGGGCCAGGTGGACCAATTTCTGAGGGAGGCACTGGAGAAGCCGCGGGAGAGACTGGCGAGTAAGTTAATGTCTGCGTTCACTACTTTGCTTTCTGCTTGTGTCTCGAAAGGCCTGAATTTCATTATGCGTATTGATCAGCTTGAGATTGCACGCGACAATTGCCTCCAAGACTTGTTACGGTGTATGCCCTTTCTTCTCCATGTGTAGAAAATTTATGCACTTTCAGAAAATGCAACATAAGTGCCGTCTTCATCCCGAATTCATGGTTACATCATATGTATCATGTTCTTGGTGGGGATTACATGCCAGTGTTCATGTCTTCATGAATTTGTTGATTGCATAGAGTGCTGAATGAATGACTTTACCTACTGTGCCATCTGAGCGATCAAAGGACTATGAGCTTCATTGACAGTTAATATAGAATTTTCTGGCTCAGTTCTGACAATTTACTTACTGGGATGTGTTGCCTCTACTTGGCTGTTGAGATACTACCCTCTTGGTGAGTAGGCTGTTATTATCATCATCGCAAACATCTTCACTAAAAATACAGCAAGAAACCTTCTTTTACGTCTGTTTCAGGCTGGCGTCGAACTTCAACGCCGAATCTCTTGGGTTCCTACAATATTTTATCCTGCTGTGAACTTGAAGCAAATATTTTATTTCGCGTGGCAAATCTTTGGGATTGATCCGTACACATGCAGGAGAGGATTTTCCGAAGGATAAATTGATGACAACTGTGTCCAATGCCTCATTGTGTCATATGGCGTGGTCATTTTTAAGTGCTGCGAACAGAAATCCATTTCATTGGATAATGTTTCTGGTTTATCGACAACTATAGTTGTTTTTTGTCAGCGTCATATGGTTCCCATGTTCTATCGCATCAATTCGTTTTTATATTCTGGTTGCATTCCTATTGTGATATAATTTCCATTTTTTAGTACACTTCTTCCTTGGCATAAACATAGATTTAATCCTTTTTCTTAAGCCTCCGCTGATTTACGATCCCCCACTGCTTTGTTTTCTCTTTTGCTCTCAAATTTTTCTCATTTTTTTTTGGGTTCTACCCTCCGTCTCGTGAAGTACCCGATCTTTTTTTTATTTTTTACTATTTCTGCCATTTCTATTCTTCAATATCTCCGTCCAAAAAATTCAAGGCAGATAACTGGCTTCTTTCATGTCACCGTTTTGTTCTTGGCTTTGGAAATGTATGGCAGCTCTGTACCCATCCTGCACATGAGTAGTTTTTAAAAGGGATTCGGTAGACTGGCCCCCTTTTAGCTGTTATTTTATTATTTCTCAATCTTTACTTAGAAGGCTTTTCCTGTTTTTGTCATATTTAAGATTTTGTATGTCTTCAATATAAATTTGATCCCACAGTTGAGTAATACGATAGTTTTTATCCTCTTCCTCTTTTTTTATATTTCTTCAAATATGATGCGGGTATATGGTCACTGTCCATGACTTTCTGCCTTTTCTTTTGGAATTCTCTCCTGGGCTCCTACTTTGTAAATATTTCCTAAGAGATGAACCTCGCACCGTTGCTGGTGGGATAGAGTTGGAATTTCAAAGTTCCAACCAAATAGGTGGAATTTTCTGGCTTGCTATTTATGTCACTCCCCTCCTCTTACATATCTCCGGTCGAAGTCGTGGGAGGAGTGCTGGCAGTTCATGCATCCCAGCAGATCTATTGACTTGTAAAATACGCATTTTCTACTTTTATTTTTTAGGCGTGAAAGGAAATTAGGTCCAGCCCGTCTCCTTGACATACTATATGTCCACAGTTCTCAATAATGAAGACAGAAAATCCAGGGGTGCATAACCTATGTAAAACATAGAAATAAATCGAGTCTTTATCCCCATTCCTACTCTCAGTTGTGTGGTGGAGCAACAACTTGTTTCTCTACGTCATGTTGTGTAAGAGACGATTTTCCTGTTACTGTCTTCATGGATTTAATTTTACCTTGAAAGGGATGTGGACACTCAGGATATATTTCTTGTATAATTGTAAAGGTATGGCTATTCTGCATAAACGAAAGATGGTAGTGATGCTTATTTGAAATGCTTCTTTTCTGCTAATGAAGTTTCTTTCTCATTTAGTTTTACGAATGGAGCAAGAAATTGAGAAGTTCATCAGGGATCCCACTCAGCAACAGCTGGAGTTACAACCACAGCCAAATTCCTATCTACGATTGGCAGCACATCGAATTGCCCAGCATTACTCTCTCCAGTCCATCGCCATGCCAGACAACAGTTCGCCCGATGGTTCAAGTTCCAGGATCTTTCTTCACAAAACATCTTTATGCCGTTTCCCTCCAATTCGTCTCACAGACATCCCTGTTAACCTGCCGAAGGAAGAAGGCAGCAACATGGTTAAGGTTGCTATCAAAAGGAGACCAGACAAATATTCACAAAATGCAGGTTCTGCGGATGCTCATTCATCAAAGATGAATCAACTAAAAAGTGTAGAGGAAAGAAAAGAAGAGTACAACAGAGCACGTGCTCGCATATTTAGCAGTATCAGTGGCAGTAATAATGATGGGAGAGCAGAGGAGGATGTTGCCTTGACAGATGTTTTCCAACACAGTCCTGTGGTGTCAAGTCAGTCTGAGGAGAAACCGGTTTATGAGCCAACTGGACTTAATATTGGCCAGGGTTCAAATGAATCTCTTGGAGGCAGCAGCAGATCAAGTAGAGGTAAGACAGAAAATGAACCTACCATCAATAGGTACAAGGTGGGAAATAGAGTTGCCATTTTTCGTGACCGTGAGATGGACCGCAAAGACCCTGACTATGACAGGAACTATGACAGGTGTGTAAACAATTCAGAGCGCTCCCTTTCTTTCTTCTTTTTTTTAGAAAAGCTTAATAGGATCGGTGAAAGACTTCTTTGAGCTGGTTGCTGACTATTAGAACTCGCGGTGGCAATCATTCGCTCAGATTCTTTGATCCAAACAGTCAGGACTTCATTTTTTCACTTTCAGGAGGAGAGGAACCTATTGAATTTACCTGAGGGGCGTCCCACATTTTCCTTTTGGCTGACTGTAGCTAAAATTCTTTTTTGAAGTAGTAGTTTTTTGATATTTTGAGAACACGTGTTTTGGAGTGTATAGGGCGACGAAAGTTACTACCTTTCGGGGAGGTGGTGTGGGGGTGTGGGGGTGTGGGGTTGTGGGAGGATCAGCCTGGGAGCCACGAAAACCAGTGGTTTACGCTGATGTATGTCATTTCTTTGAGTCTGCTCATGAGAAGCACGTAAACTTAGCTTTGATTATGATATGATGGCACCTCATTTTATGATTCAGCAATTTTATGGAACTATAGCGATATTTGATATCAGTTGCACTAAACCAGAAATTATTTGCTTTATTTTTATTGTTCTTTTCTTTAATCATTATCCTCTATTGAATGCAGATATGTGCAAAGGTTTGATCCGGGGTTCGGTTTCAATGGGGGAGGAGGGGCCTATGGCATTCAACCATTGTACACTCCCGCTGTGAACTACAATACAGAATTTCCGCAGCTTGGATCGAGTCATTTAACGCAGATGTCTATTGAGCACCAACAGCGACCTATGCCACAACACCCCCACGTCCCTTGGGGCGCTGGATCGCCATCTGCTACAGTTGGTTACGGCCCTCCAGAGGGATTGCTGCCTCCTTTCAATCCCAGTCCAGTTGGTCCTCTCTCAAATCCTTCTGTCTATTTGCCTTCTTCCCAGTATCTCGCTCAGCCAAGAGGCCCAAGGCCCGGAATGAGTTTTATCCATCCTCAAGAGCTTGCGCAGCCTTTCTCACAGGTAAATGGCATCTATCGTTACTGATTGGGTGGAGGTGCCAACTTTGGTGAATTTCCCCCTCGCTGAGTTTCTTTAAACGCTCACCCAGTCAGAGGTTCTGTCGTCATCTGTTAAGTCAGTAATCATTGATCTTGCGTCCAGGATCTGTCCACATCAGCTCCCTAGCTCCATAGATACGTAGAATGGATATTACTTTAGACAAAATAGTATATTTTCATAAGAAGAGAAAATTTCCTTTTTGCAGAGCTTTTTACTCTTTTGTTGTTCCAATGCTGATCCAGCGCACCCTTCTTATTCCGTATGCAGACTCACCAGCAGCAATCTGAGGCAAGTTTTGGATTATCCAGGCCCCGCTGAAGGGCACGGCCATGCCTGCACCTGCCCATCTCCGAACAGGGTGCTGATCGTGTTAAGCCATCAAAGGCTTGTTAGAGAAGGACAGGGTTAAGTGCAGGCATAAGGCTAAGGTGACCAAACTGGGCACCTTGATGGATGAACGGAAAAAAGGAAGGCTCCAGCTTTCTCAGCTTTGAGAAAAATCTGCCTACTCCACTAATTCCCTATCCAGCAGCGGCGCGAAGCAAGTTTTGGATCAATCACCCCCTGCTGAAGGTGCAGGGCTGTGCCCGCATCTACCCATAGCCGAGCAGGGTGCTGATTGTGGGAAGCCATCTGCGGCTTGTTTGAGGACGGATGGTTCGGTGCGGACCGGAGATCGAGGTGGGAGCCTCCTTGGCGGAACGGGGAAGGGCTCCAGTTTTCTAGGCACTTGGCTGTGGAAGCATCAGTTTCAGATCATCGAAAGGCGATGGAACAGGCCGACGCACGGTCACCAAGGTCCGCCTGAATCATCTCTTGTTTGGCCATCTCTATGCCGGAATCTCTATGACTGATCAGGTGAACTGACGTGGGCCTGCTCTCCACTCTCTGGCTGCAGCGCCGTAGGGAAAGACGATGGAGGGGGGCGCTTGGCAGGCGACGTGATCCTGGACTCGCGGTACGACAGCTCTTGTGTGGGTCAAATCGCCGCCCTGGAAGGGACCGAAAACTTCGCGTTCTTCCGGCCGATTCGACTTCACTCGCGGCGACTCTACTCTCTATTTGCCTCTCCAAGAAACGTTTGGAACAGCGCCTCTCTCATCGTGGTGCGGCTCATTCTCTCTTGTTTGTTTGGTGAATTCCAGGTGGGACGCTAGGCGGACCTACGAGCCACCGGGACCGCTCCTAGAGATACAATGAGAACCAATAAATAAATAAAAAAAAGTCAATTTTTATTTTTTTGAACAGTCCGGGGAAGAAGAGAAGCGAGGGACCAACAGGAAGAGGTCGGCGATGAGGATGATATAAATGTGTCGCCGGCGGGGAAGCTTCGCCCGCCGTGGTTCTTTACGCCGGCGACGTGTTCCATCTACCCGGCGGCAACGCAGGGGTCATGACCCACCTTTCCTCATCATCTTCCCTCCAACTACATCGCCTCGTCCCCTCTAAACCCCACGCCTGCTGCATTCGGCTCCCCTCCTCGCTCTGGTCGCCCTTTAAATCCTCCTGTGGAGCCCGCCCCTCTCATCGGAGGTGGAAGCGGCGGAGCATGGGGACGGTAGTGCAGGCGCCGCCGCCCAGGAAGGGAGGAGAGAAGGATGAGCAGGAGCACATCTTCCGGGGCCGCGCAGTGCCGGTGCTGGAGGGCGTCACGCTCCCCGAGTTCGTGCTGCAGGGGGCGGAGCGCTACGCCGATAAGGTGGCGCTCGTGGAGGCCGCCACCAGGAGGGAGTACACGTACGGTGCCTTGGCCCGCGACGTCGGTCGCCTGGCAAAGGCGCTCCGGTCGCTGGGGCTGAGGAAGGGCGACGTGGTGGTGGTCGTCCTCCCCAACGCCGCCGTCTACCCGGTCGTCGCGCTCGGCGTCATGGCCGCCGGCGGCGTCTTCTCTGGGGCCAACCCCCTCGCGCTCCCGTCGGAGATTGGCAAGCAGGTGGAGGACGCCGAGGCGAAGCTCCTCGTCACCGACGCCCAGTTCTACTGGAAGGTGACCTTCACCGACCTGTTGCCGGCGACGGAGAAGAGTAAGGTACTCAGCGTGGAACCATGGAATGCAGGTGGCGGACATGGGAGTGCCCATCATCCTCGTCGGAGAAGAACGCCCCGCAGAGTGCACTGCCATGTACTGGGACGAGCTGCTGGAGGCCGCGGACCGTGCCGGCGGCGCCGGGAGAGAGGATGAGGACGACACGAGAGTGGTGCAGTCGGACCTCTGTGCTCTGCCTTACTCCTCCGGCACCACCGGCGTCTCCAAGGGCGTCATGCTGACCCACCGCAATGTGGTAGCCAACCTCTGCTCCACGCTGGACGGCGTCGGGGAGGAGATGGTGGGGCAGGTGGTCACGCTGGGCCTGATGCCCTTCTTCCACATCTACGGCATCACCGGCATCTGTTGCGCGACGCTGCGCAACAGAGGCAAGGTCGTGGTCATGTCGCGGTTCCAGGTGCGGGACTTCATGGAGGCGCTCATCGAGCACGAGGTCAACTTCGCCCCCATCGTGCCGCCCATCATGCTGACCATGGTGAAGAGCCCCTTGATGCGGGAGTTCGATCTGGCACGCCTCAAGCTTAGGGCCGTCATGACGGCGGCCGCCCCGTTGGCCCCGGAGCTCCTCTCCGAATTCGAGTCCAAGTTCCCCGGCGTGCAGGTGCAGGAGGTACGTGCCTACCTTCCTGCCCCGTCGCAGATTTTATAGCAGGTAGGCGGAGAGGCGGCCCCCTCGAGCTGTGACAATCATGATCTGTCTCTGACGATGCATCTCCGCCGGCGTGGTGTTGTTGTTGTTGGTGGTGGTGGTGTCGGCGGCGGTGGGCAGGCGTACGGGATGACGGAGCACAGCTGCATCACGCTCACCCACGGCAACCCCGCGCTGGGGCGCGCGACCGCGAAGAGGAACTCCGTCGGGTTCGTCCTCCCGAACCTGGAGGTCAAGTTCGTAGACCCCGACACCGGTCGCTCCCTCCCCCGCAACGTCCCCGGCGAGCTCTGCGTCAGGAGCCAATGCGTCATGCAAGGTACGCCCGGCGGCAGAGAAGATGGCGGCGGCGTTCTTCTCTCTCCGCCGCCTCAGCGCCACCTCTCTCACCGTTAACTCTCGCTCTTCCTTGGTGGTGTGGGGTTTGCCGGAATCCGCAGGTTACCACAAGAACAAGGAAGAGACGGAGAGGACGGTGGACTCGGCGGGGTGGCTCCACACCGGTGATGTCGGCTACATCGACGACGACGGCGACGTCTTCATCGTCGACCGCATCAAGGAGCTGATCAAGTACAAGGGTTTCCAGGTAAAAATATCCCCTCGTCGCATCACTCGTATTCATCCCCCCGGACAAGATGACAACATTTGGGTACTGCACCATGTGACCCTAAGTCTCTGTCACACAGTCGCAGGGATTGCTGACCACTACGACCTTGTCATTACTGCTTTCCCTCTCTCTCTCGTTTTCTTTCCTTTTTCTACTTTCTCCCGCTTTCAACAGTTTCCCCGCTGGGGCATCCGACGGGGCAGGTACGCGGGATGCCTCCTACAGAACGACGATCGTGTTGGGGAATGCATCCTGCCGAGTGATTGATTGACTTTTCATCCCTGTGAATCATGTGCGTCGTTGTCGTTTGACCTGCTGAGTTAACTGTGCGGGGCATGTGCAGGTGGCTCCGGCGGAGCTCGAGGACGTCCTGCTCTCTCACCCCTCCGTCCAAGACGCTGCCGTCTTCCCGTAGGCCCACTCCTGCTCTAAACGCCGTGCAGCTCTCGTCTTCTGTTCTAAACGCCGTCGCTCCTCTCGCGCGATGGGCAGGCTGCCGGATGAGGAGGCCGGCGAGATCCCGGCGGCGTGCGTGGTTATGGCGCGGGCGGCCGGCGAGAGCGAGGAGGAGATCATGGGGTATGTGGCCTCCAACGTGGCCTCCTACAAGCGGGTCAGATCGCTGCACTTCGTGGACGCCATCCCCAAGTCGCCCTCGGGGAAGATCATGAGGAGGTTCCTTAGGGACGAGCTCCTGAAGAAGAGCGGCCAGCGGACGAATCCCAGCGGGAAAACCCAACAGCAGGAGGGGTATGCTGATGCCGTCGTGTAAGCAAGCTGACCGGAGGTCGACGATACCTCTTACTCGTATTTCTCTGTCTGCTCTCCTCGCCGGTGCGACGAACTTGGGAAAATGAGAACCGAATTATAAGTCTACGCTTTGAAATAGGGAGCTACGCACTCTAGCAACAAGTTCTCATCGGCATGTTCCAACGAGAGAGAGAGAGGGAGAGGGAGAGAGAGAGAGAGCTCCCCCAGTTAGCTCAGAAAGCTGCCATCCGCCGCCGCTCGTCGGAATCCCGGCAGGCGGGATCCCCCACCCTGGTCGTCACCGTGCCTGTCGATAGAGTTCCAACTCTGGAGGAAGCAGACGACAGCGAGGGGGGGCCACTCGCGGAGTAACTCCTCTCGTGTGGCTCGTGTGGAGGGAAAAGCAGCATTTTTACCGTCCCCCTCGTGTGACGTCTACGATACAACGTCACAACGAGCAGGACAGGAAATAGTTCCCGATTAAAAAAACATGTTGCCGACAGCGGGCTGGCGGGAAGTGGCCCGTAAGAGGAGGAATATCGTCTTCTTCCCTCAGCAAGTGGAGGCCCGGGGGTCGCAGTCTCTGAGATAGGCGGGCCAGGCCGGGATCTCGACCTAGGCGAGAGGGGAGAGCGATTCCGCCGCTTTGATCTCCCCGAAGGAAGAGGCGTGTCTGTGAATAAATTTCTCTGAAATTTGCAGGTTTCAGAGAGATGAGGAGTGAGAGGACGCCCTTTTCTTCGCTTGGCCTCGAAGCGTGAGGTCTCCCGTTCTTTGTCTGCTTCTTCTCGGAAAAAGGTGAAAGAAAGTCTTGAGAGCGGCGAGGGGGCAACCACGAGAGCACCCACCCCTGCCTGGGTAGTCTGCGGGGTGAGAGGGAGACGGTTCCACGGAGACAGAGAGAGAGAGAGAGCGAGAGTGGAAGGGTGGGAGACTGTGATCAACTCTCTCTGATGGGGACGAACGGAGGTCTCGCAATGAATGCCGTGTGAGCGGTCCTCCGCCAGGGACAGGACTGACTGGTGATCAATCTCTCTCCTGTCGTCCTAGGGACATCGAGGCCTGTGGGGACGGGGCGTGCAGCAGATGCGCGTGGGTAGAGAGAGAGAGAGAGATATAGAGAGAGAGAGGGAGAAGGTGGGGGAGGGGGGGGGTAGAGAAGAGAGGATGGATGGATGTTCGGGGGAGAAAAATAGAAGAGAACCTGCGATAATCCGGCGGTGGAATCGTGAGCAGCATGCCCATCTTTCTAGTGGGCGAGACAGGGGGCGCTGAATTCAGGATCCGCGTGTGGTTGGTGCACTGGGATTAGGGCTTTGCGGATGCCATAAACAAGTTCACAAGCCGAAGCTTCCTGGACCTCCCCCACCCTCAGTCTTTCTGCCCTGTCGAACATCATACCATCCTGTTCGCCTGGTACTGGAAACTCGTCCCAAGAGGGATCCCTCTCTGACTTCTATTTGAAACGTTTCTTCTTCCTCTTCTTCTTCTTCTTCTTCTTCTTCTTCTTCTTGCCAGTGTTGTTCATTCTGTTCCTTTTCGCAGCGCATCGGCACCGCCATTGAAGAAAAGGAAGGATAAAGAACAGTAGGTATTGCACCCGGGTGCTTGGTTTTGCTGCTCGTGGCTCCGATTGGGTGGAACCACTTCTGGGTGCTCATTCCTCCTTGTTCTTCCTGTTTACCAAACCCATGAGACCTGTTTAATTAGGCTTCTTCCTCCCCTGCGCCGCCATGCTTCCGAGATGTGGTACCGCCTGCGTAGAAGCGGACCCTACCATCAGCCGCCTATGGCCGATACGGGCACCATAGGTGAACTTCTGTGAGGGATCTGTGGCGAATGGACTGGAATCCGAGGCCCTCCTCGCACTGGGATTGGGAAAGCCTGGGGCTGTCCCATGCGAAGGCAGGCGATGATCCCCGGGAGGCGCTGGATTTGGAGTGGGGAATCGGGGACGGGTCCCTCTGTTCGTCCGCCGCCGTCGGGTTTTGCTCCGGATGCGACCTGGGGAACGGCTGTTCGCCAAAGAGCTCCACCTCCACCAGCATCGACTTTGCAGTGACAGCGGAGCCCAAGCCCCCGGGGATCGATCTTGAACCCCCCTGCCCCAAGCGTCCCCACGAGATGAAGGACCTGGCGAGGGCCGACCACGCTCGAATCTCGGCGGATATGGTGGAATCCGTGGGCTCTGCAGAGCCTTTCATCGGCTTGAGGCTCGGCAAGAGGACATATTTTGAAGATGTCTGCCCCGAGAACCTCGGGAAGAACGCATCCTTCTCTTCGGATCCCGCCGCCTCCTCACCCAAAGTGAAGAGGTGCCGGGCGTCGCAGCAGGGCGAGCAGATTTCTCGCTGCCAAGTGGAAGGCTGCGACCTCGACCTCACCTCCGCCAAGAATTACCACCGCAAGCACCGTGTCTGTGAAAGCCATTCCAAATGTCCCAAGGTCATCGTTGCAGGACGGGAATGCCGTTTCTGCCAGCAGTGCAGCAGGTGAAACATCCATCTCGGAAGTTTGATTGATTCGTCGATAAATTCTGCACTGCGTCTGGCCCTCAATTCCCCTCCTCACTGCTTGGGTGGAGTGCATAAAATCGACGATTCCCTCGGCCTTTGTTTATCATCCTTCAAAGTACATTTTTGGATATTGAGTCGTGATTGCCATCTCGCTGGCGCATCCTGTTCAGATTTCCTTTTTATTTTTGCGGACATTTGGGTTTCTGATAACGACTGTTCTCCCCTCGTCTTTGCCGACTATTTCAAGGTTCCATCACTTATCCGAGTTCGATCAGAAGAAGCGTAGCTGTCGCAGGCGGCTGTCTGATCATAACGCTCGTCGTCGCAAGCCCCCCGCAAGCACGAGGGTCTCATCATCGTACTATGGTACGCATCTCCGCTATTCGTTTGCCCTAAATCATCTTCGATTGCCTCGGTCCCTCGTCCTGGGTCTCCTTCCTCCTCCGTGCTCTGCAAACTTGACGCGGGGCTTGACTTGGACTGGGCGACTGCAATCGTGGGATCCTTCCCATCCGCTGGGCCCGAATGCTCATTGCTTATCCGTGCGAGGAATTCACCTGCTTTCAACCCCCAGAAATCATCCCTGTCTGACGTCTACCTTCTGAAATCTGTCGTTCCCTGATGGTTCATCACATAAAAACTAGAGTCCCTCCACTGCAAAAGCCCCAAGAGTTTGCCCACAAAAGCCGGAGCCAAAGTGACCGAATCTTCTGCGGGCGTCCACATGCAGAGAGAAGGGTCTCCCTTCCCTCCCCGCCCTCTTAATCTTGTTTCAGCTTCCCATCTGCTTTGGCAAGTGTCAGCTCGCTCAGTGCACTGGATGTACTGCCTCATTTTCGTGACTTCCCCTTTACTTTTCCTCACCTGCATATACATTGTGTGCTGTTTTCATTGCTGGAGCAGATCATAGGCTGCAAATGGACCCTCTGCTGAGTCAATCCCCTTTCAGTGGGGTGGGCACGACCAATCCCCTGTGGGAGAGCTCATTTGACATCAACCTCATGCAAGCCAAGGGCTCGTCGGTGAGGCTGATTAAGGCAGGGGGCCTCAACGTGCAGCCACATTTCCCCACAAATGGCTCGTTGATGGCTGTTTCCACGCCTCACCACAATTTCCGTCAGCTCTTGCCATTCAAGAGCACCACAACGCAAGTACTCAATCAAGGTGATTCTACTTCTCCCTTTGCCGCCACCACCATATAGCCTGGTGGAGCCTTTTTCTGCTCGGTGTTCATGCCCTAATGTCCTAGTTCTACCGTACATTTTTATCCAAATATGGAATTTCTTACTGGTGGGATCAGTCTTGATAATCTTGGGAAGGTTCACCACGTTGAATTATGCAACGTGGGAGATGACACTGATGTAGCCTGGCTGCCACTCCACTAGCAGTAGGAATGCAAGCAGCTTGATTTTCGCTGAGTTCCCTGAAGATGGCATTGTTTCGTAGCCATCATCTTGTTTTCTTTTTTGAACTCCTTCTCTGGCCCTCTGACTGGCTCATAACCCTCCTAAAAAAAAAATGAATTTCATGTTCGATTTTCCTCTTTAAGCAAACTAACATCCCGATAATGCATGCATTGAACCTGCACTAATTACATGACCCATTTCTCAAACTATCTGGCCTCAGCGTTGATGTCCATTGCAGGTCTGGAGGCTACCTCTGATGCTTCCAACTTGGATGGAGCCCCGGATTTTCGGCGTGCTCTCTCTCTTCTGTCAACTAACTCCTGCGGTTCGGCAGACCCCGGTGAGGCCTCTCCTATTGATCTTTTTGCTCACCTGAATAATGCCGGTACAGTCGGGCCCCCGATGCATCTGCCCTTCATGAGCTCGGGCTTCTGGCAAGTGGACCAAGCCCCGCCCCATTAAGAAGCTCCAAGGGTTCGGCCCTTTGCAGCTCACGGTGATGGAAACCAGTTCCAAGAGTTCCACCTCCTGAAAGCGCCTTATGGGAATGCTCTCTTCGACTCGACCCGGTCACTCTATTCTGAGAAGGTACACTATTCTGGGTAGGGCGAGGACCTGAGGCCTGCTACAGCATCTTCCTGGATCAGGGGAAAGCCTGGGTTTGGAATGGGAAATTCCTCTCTCAATCAGCTACATTGGGGAGAGGGTTCTTCCGTCTGATTCTGGATACTGTGGGGTCGGCGCAGATGGGCTGGTCCCTGGACTGGTCCGTCCATCGCCCAAAACTCCAGGCCTCCATCCATGTCTTCATCGCACCAATCTTCTCTCTTCATCACGGAACAATCATTTTTTGTCATGCTTGTTTAAGCACTTCACGTGTTCTCACATCGAATGTGCTCGATTAGTCAGCCTAGTGTACTTTTACCCATTTCAATTCATGCTGGGCTTGTTTCCTTCACAACAAAGAGTCTTAACCCTTGTTCTAGGAAGTTGTGGAACTTCCTATTTGCAGGGAAGAGTCACCCATGTCTCTTCTCATTTTTTCTCTCTGGGGTTAACATCTCACCCTTAAATAGTGTGAGATATAAGACATCACTTAACCACTTTTTTGATAATTGTTGAATCTGTCTCCTGAAGAGATTGATTTAACAGTGCAAGTTCTCAAGGTTAGGCCTGTCAGCGGAGTTCATGGCCCCAGCCATTAGCTTTGTTTTGCCTTGGTGCATACCTAGTGGATGTGAGCACTTGCATCAAGAGGGGTGTCTTTACGGGGAATGTAATTTGTGCATCCCAAAGTTTTATCACGTTTGGTAGAAGATCTTGCAACCTCCAATTATAGTTGGCACATTGCCTTTGAAGTTCAAGGCACTTACCACCACATTGGCTCACTAAGGCAAAGTCATACTTTGTTAGAAAAGTCTTGCCGACATGTTCTCATTGGTGAGAGCTTTCATTATGTCTCAAATCATCTAGTTGGCATGTTATTGATGCAGACACCAAATTGGCCGCTTAGGAGATATTGGATACCACTACCTCAACTATAGGGGTCATCTTGTACACATGATAGCGTCATTTCTTGTTGTGCTTCCTATTCTTGTATGTCATCAATTGCTCCTACATCAAAGGTGCAAAGTTGGATAATTGCAATACTCATTTACATGTGATCCCCCCTTTTTAACTCCATTAAAGACACATTTACGTTCACTCATCTAATTTCTCATTATGGTAGCTTTCAAGAGCTCCATCAAAGGCATCATTCTTCATGAGTACCCACCCATAGATAGGCTTAGTTTTATAATATTGCTTGGTTCTTGCCACTCGTCAATAGCATAGACATTTGCTTGGTTAGTCTACATGTCATCATACTAGTGATGTGGTTAAGGAATGCAAGTTCTAATAGAAAAGGTGAGGGATGAATGCGATTAAGAAACTAATGAGGTTGGCACATTCAGACTCATGTATGGTCTACTGCAACCAAGTGGGGATCACTTTCTCACTATACACCATTCTTACCACACTTGCTAAGCACCGGCTGAGGGGAGGTCACCAGCAACGTTGGGAGAGAGAGAGAGAGAGGGGGGGGAGGGGGCGGCTAAGAGGGGCGTTCGAGATGAACATGTCACGATAATGGATAATACCTTGGCACTGCCATGACACCTCCAGAAGTGGACCTCCACAAGGCTCTTTGGCACCACCATCACAAGTGTCTGCAGTGGGAAAAAGATGAGGAATTTGTGGCACCGCATCACCACCATCACACAAACCAGTAATGTGTCAAGGATGTCGGCCACTTTATACGAATTCTTTGCTTCACACTTAGGTGATTGAATCCTCAATGGGCCCACAAATGGCCAATATGAATAATCTTGATAATTGAAGGTGCTCATACATGAAGATAAGAGTCCTCTATAGATGGTCCCCTGGTTAGTTGTCCTAACATTTGTAATACGGGATTAAGGCTCTCCACATCAGGAGATGTCGGGATAGTAATCTCTTATGTTCCCCCTTCAAATAATGTCATGCTCGTGACATCATTGGTTGCCCTTGTGGGTTGGGTTGTCACATCAGAATTGTACACTGCTTCACTATGCATTTGGACCTTGCAGTGTGTCGGTCTACCTCGTCATTGTGTAGTTGCACACATGTTTTGTGCCACCATGTGCTGATGTCATACCTGCACGCGAGGGGTGCCATGTTGTTGTGCATGGGTGCCATGCCGTTGTGCACTGTTGATGTGCCAGTGCACATGAGTACCATGCTGCCACACATAGGCATCGTGCCACCACATGTGGGCACCATGTTGGAGTGTGTCGTTGTCATGCCAGCATATGCTGCAACGATGTTGCTAGGGGTGGTTCTTGTAGGCGAACTTTGGTAACATTCTCTCCCTCTTGAGAGATCAAGTATCCTCATCGGATATTGCCGACCATGGTAAGCTTAGATCATATCCTCAAATTGTCACAAGTCTATGTCCTTCTCCCATATAGCCGTCTCTTGTGGTTATCATGCCCACTAAATAAGGTAAAAGGTGTTATGGTGGGCGTGGTTGCACCCACATTTGTTGACTACTTGATGATCCAATATGGCCATTGCCATGTTGGAATAGTGTGCTTGGATCATTGGTGGGGGCTGGTGTGGTCGGTTCTGCTCTAAGCCTTCAAAAGGGAAACATGGAAGACCTATGCCACAATCTAGAAGGGCCACAATCTACATGGCGTATTCAATCTTTTGCCAATGACGACCAACATTTTCTTCATCTATTGGGTGGCTCTGGCCAATGCCTCTTGGGCCTCTTCAATGAAGTTGTTGCGGCTCTTGATAAAATGGTAGGTTGTCGGCAAGTATGCTAGACCCCACTGCTTCACAAATTCTAGGGAGGTCAATGGTTGCCTACTGTAATTTTTAGCAATAATCAATTTGTCAAAAATAAATCAAAACTATCTTCTTTATAGCTATAATTTCGAATTTCAGTAATATATGTCTAGGGGATTGAAATGTGAAAAAAAGGTCTCTAGAATTTCAAATTTCGGGTTATTTTTTGTCTACTATTTTTGATAGAAAACCAGAAAATAAATGTTGTAGTAGTTTTTTTGAATTTTTATTTTTATTTTTTTTATTTTTAGTTGTTGTTCTAAGTGAGCGTGAAAAGAAATGCAAACACATGTTCTTAATCTTCCTACAGCATAAATTAAGAATTAATACTTTACCTCCCAACTTAAAAATGACATTGTCTTGAATGACACAGAAAAATTGAAACAGAATCTATAGAAAGTATAATTTTCAAGTGAAACATGCATGTATGCATAGTTAAGTATTAAAAATGTTGTCATAAATGATAAAGCTCAAAGAGACATCATCTCAGTCTCGTTTTTAATTTTCCACTTCATCTTACACTCCTCCTCTTGTATTTTTTCGAAAACAAACAAATGCAAAAAAAAATACTACGAAATTCTAAGAAAAATAGAACTTAAAAAAAAATTCAAATAGAATGAAATAAAAATCATGGGTTGCCTTCCATGTAGCGCTGAATTTAATGTCTTTAGTTGGACAACTCTTAGATCATATAAGATGATTTATGGCCATCAAAATATATTTGTATTTCAAGGTAAGTTTCATGATATTCTTTTTCAGATTTAACATAAATTCATATACTTCATATATATATCTTGACATACTTTCAACCAAAATAAAATGTAAATTAACAAAAATTTCCCAAAAATAATATTTCTATTTTGAAAAGAATCTTTTCTCATTTTTATATTGTTTTGAAAGGCTCTCATTCATTAATAAATACTTTCTATTAATAGACCATAAAATGTGATCAAGCCATATAATTTTCAAATTAGCTCTAACCCAATCTAGAATTTTTTCATCTAAATTGATATCTCTAATTCTTCCACTCACCTATTTCTTAATGTCTTCTTTTATCTGCATAATCTTCCCCTGCTCCATTTTATCTTCCATACATATTTGTTCAATTTGTAAAGAGTGAAATATTTCAAGCTTAGAAATAATTCTAATGGGCTGTGGGTTTTGAAGGATGGAAAGATTGTCTTCTTTAATCTCAGATCTAATGAATTCAGTAAAATTTAAATTTTATTCTCCAAAATTATCTCTATATTTATATTTATTATTTTCATTTCTCCCTATTAGTTGAATCAACTCTTTTTCTAGCTTTTTCGTTTCTCAACTCATCAAATTCTTCATCTTCCCAAGAGCTATCTTCTAATATCGGTATATGATATACATCATCATCCTCACTATCAACATCCATGGTTGTAAAATTATGATTTGATTTATTAATTTCATCTCCTATATCTCTTAAATCAATTGATTTTTCCTCACTTGAAATATGTTTTCTTTATTTCTGTCCTTACTCCTTTCTACTAAAATTTAGATGATTTTTCCATGATTAACTACTATTTCTTCATCTAAGGGCTCTTTTTCCTCATCATCCTCACTATATTTATTTATCAATTGTGAGTAATAAATGATTTTATTCAAATTTCTTGCTACTATATTTTCAACCTTAATATTCTCATTTACTTCTAATGGCTCATTGATTTCTTCTAATAATTGGAAATAAGGATCAGGTAAAATATTATCACTCAATGTATTCACTGTCTTAACATTTTCATTTCATGAGTTTTTTTTCTAAATTTATCTAATTAGACTCTCTTGACTGAAATCCTACTATTGGACAGTTTCTTGAATTTTCTATGGGCTGACTAAGTGGTTGTCCCTCTTCTCTCCTATTCTCAAAAGTCTCTATAATTTATTTTTGGTGCATCATCATTTGATTCATAGTTTGTTGCATCATTTGGCTCATTTGCTGCATCATTTCCATAGGATCAGGTTGGATTTGAGAGGGCTGATTTTTCTTAAATCTGTGTTCTTGTTTTGGACGAAATTCAAAATTTGAATTGAATCTAAGTGCTTCTAGATTTTGAATATTATTTGGATTTCTCCACGAAAAATTATTCCCCCAATTAAGATTATAAGAATTAGAAAAATATTTCCTATTTTTGCTAAAATTATGGGTACTTGTTACTTATTCCTACCTAAGATGAAATAATTATTCTAAATTAAATATTGAAATTTGAAATGATCATTTTCACCATACATAGGACATACACTATATGTATTTAATTGAAGGTTAGGAGGCTTTCTAATATTCTCAATAAGTAATCTAGTTTTTCTAATCTTTGATTAATCTGATTAATCTCATTTCTTAAATTAAAATCATCATCATGATGTAATTCATAAATTCCTCTCTTCGTATCCTTGTCATATAATTCAAAAGAGACTTGATCTCTAGAATTTTCACTTAAATTTTCATAAAGGCTGTAAATCTCATCAGGGGTTTTCTCCATAAAAGTTCCTCCACATATAGAATTAACTATATTTCTATGTTGTTCTAATAATCCATCATAAAAAAATCTATTGAACTGTCACTTGGGTATAGCATGATGAGGACACTTTCTAAGTAAATCTTTGAATTTTTCCCATCTCTCATGTAAAGTTTCTCCTGATCTTTGAGAAAAGCTCTATATATATTTTCTCATATTTTGAGTTTTTCATAAAAGATAATTTTTTTGAAGAAAGGTCTATTCTATGTCTTTCCATCTAATTAATTCTCTATTTAATGTGGATAACCAATGGCTAGCTTTGTCCCTAAGTGTATGAGGAAATAATTTCATCTTAATAATTTTCAGTGTAACTTAAGGGAGACTAACTAAATCACAGACCATATAAAATTTTTCTAAGTGTTGATGAGGTTCCTCTAAAGGCAATTCATGAAAATTAAAGAGCATTTGAAAAATTCCTAAATTTATTTTGAATTTAATAATGGGTGCTAATGGGACTCTAATATTCGATGCTCTTTGAAATGAATCAAGGATATAATTATTTTTCATGGCCATAGGATTATTCTCAGTTTGACCTATACTTCCTTCAAGATCCATCAAAATTAATTGTTCTTTCGGATTTTTAGTTTTGAATGAAATAATGAAAAGATTTTCTAACATCTGATGTAAGGATCTTCTACCATGCATAAAAAATCAATAAATTTGAGGAAAACGTTTAGTAATTATTACCCTCCTTCAATGCTCCAGTCCTTACCTTATTTTTCTTCGTTCTTTTTTTTTAAAAAAAAATCGGCAATAAGAAAATAAAATAAGAGTTTTATTTTTTGTGTACTCTAAGAGAAAAATAGAAAAATACTAATTATTATGCAATACATCTTTGATAGTGGCGCCAAAATTTGACGTGACTTAATCGTTGTATAGTAAATCACGTAAATTTAAAATTTATAAAACTAGAAAATACGAATTTTCAGATATTTAGAAGTATTTCTGAACAAATATATCAATTATAATTTAATAAAACTTATAAAATAGCGGTAATTTTTCAGGTCAATCATAGAGATGTAATATAATATCAAGTAACTATTCAAAATTTTCTTCAAATAATACTATTTAATATGAATTTTATACTAAGAAATAAAAAAGAAATATATTTAAAATTCATGAAAAAGGGAAACAAGGGTGCAGACGTCAAGATGACGTCAGCACCTGACGAACGCAAATCGGCAGAAATAGAGTTCCATTTGGCAATTCCTACATAAGTGATTATAGACGATTTAATTGATCAAATTAAGATCTGTATAAGCCAAAAGAATCGTAATTGAATGAAGTATATCTTGGTAAATTTAAATCACACAAATTAATACTAAATGAAACGGACATTAAGTTGAAAGCAGGAAAATAGAATTCCAACGTCGCGGCGGCGATGCGTTAGCGATGCACTAGAATCTTAAGCATTTGAAAGGATTGTCGTGTAGTGTCCACGGCCTCAAAGGCTCTCATTGGACAAGGACGACATGGGTAATCTCTAGATCTCCTTACGAAGTCTAGAGATTCATAAAATGGGTCATCGAATCGTCTCCGGTGGCTGTCACTTGACAGAGTGGAAAAACGACGACTTTGCGGCTCTTCGGTGGCTGTCACCTGACGGAGAGGAGTTGGATGGAGGTGGGGCACGTGTTAGGGAACTTCATCCTCAAGTCCACACAGCAAGATGAGACTCTTCATTGCATCCGGTACACTCTCAGGAGGTGGCGACTCGTCTCTCGGCAGATCTTCCTCTTCACGATGATGGGTTATTCGTTGATCAATCGGAAATACTTTACTCGATGGATTCACAATCCTTTTATTACAAATCGTTCAATAATTTTAGTAACAATGCTCCACGAATCGCGTTAACGAGATTTTCACCGATGATCCAACGATTATGGCGACTTAATTTTTCATCGGCGATTTATAGGAAAGTCGCGATAATTAGATAAAAAATATGAGTTTTGGCTCTAGGAGGATTCAAACTTGTGTCGGTTGCCCGCATGCATGAGAGAGATTGACATAAGTAGTCTAATGCCCTTATTAATTAACGTCATCATGATATATCCCTATTATAAATAAGGGGTATTATATGTATTAAAATCATCGAAGCCTTTCTGAGGAAGATGTGACGTAGGTTTAGTCTCACATCGCTTGTTCGCTGAAGTTTCTGACAAATATATAATAATATTACATTTGCAAGCAAGTTCCTTCCTCCTACGTGTACAACCACTCCTTGCCCCACAACTAATTGACCACCAATGACGTAGAAGGGGAGTGACGCACACGCATCTCCATCGGTCTTAGCTGCTTGAGCCCCTACTTGCAGCTCTTCCCCGACTGTGCTTCTGACTCACTTGCGGGCCCGGCTGGCCGGCAAGTACCCCTCATTTTGCTATATTTTTATTTTTATTTCTTTTTTTTCATTTATCTCAAAAGTAAGAGTGTAAAATTTTTATAAATTTGTATAAAACTACATAATTAGCCAAAAATTCACGTTAATCAACTAAAAACCACTTTTCACACTTTAACACAAATATAAGTCTATTTGTCATGAGTTAAGGCTAAAACTATATTATTTACTAATTATTAACTCATGATAATGAAGACTTATCACCTACCAATGACAAGCTTGAATGGCAAGTGTCATGTGGATGCATATTATTGAATGTTGTGCATAAATTAGATAATGTCTAGGAGATCGACCCAATTACTACATCTAGGAGATCAACCTAATTACTACATTGTGATATAATATATGAGGTAGTCCTTTAGCATCCCATTCACTCTCTTTGTTTATTCATCTATTTGTGGATGAAAATAGTGAAAAAGTAAAGTTCAATGTCGAGAAAGGTAAAAAAGGTTGACAAGAATTGCCTCATGAAACGAGGGTCACAATCTAAAATTATATCTTGGAGAATATCCCACAACTTGACAATATGTGTCAAGAAGAGTCATGCCACTTCTTCTACCTTACACCCAAAGCACATTGGTATAAATGTGCTGTATTTGAAAAATCTGTTGATCACGACCAAAATGGTGTAATGTCTGCCCACTAGTGAGAGACATATGATGAAGTCCATAGACAAGGACTCCCATGGTCCCTCTAGTATGGGTACTAGTTCCAATGTCGCCGTAATATTTAGTCACTCCACCTTATCCTGTTGATAGATCAAGCAAAAGCAAACATACATTTCTACGTCTCACTCCATATTAGGCCAAAAATAACTACCGGCCAATAGTACTAGCGTTTCTTGTTGCCCGAGGTGTCCCACATGTGGTGTGTCATGTGTCTCCCACAAGAGATGACATCAAAGTTGGTCCCCATGTAGAACATAAGGTCATTGGCCTTCTACGTAAAGAATATCATCCTCCATTTAGAAGCGTCAAGTTTCCCTTATCTACATCTATTGAATGAGATGTTTGACTATTATCTCCATGTCATGTAATACGTATGTCGTCAACTAACTCTTACATACTCATTGAAAGGGCGACCCCTTTATATGTGGTTCTGCATCAACTCAAAACATTTGCTATCATATTAGTACATTCATACTTGTATTTGAGTAGGAAGTCATACTACATCAAGAAATTCTGTCACCATACTTATTTAAGAGATAATTTCTTTCAAGAGTTCAAGCAACTAGTGACCACATGGTCAATATAAATAGTGAAATTATTACCGATAAGGTAATGTCTCCATACTTGTAGGCAATAAACGATTGTTGTCATCCTCTTCTCTTATACTGAGTATCGTTGTTCCATGTCGCTCAGCTTTCAGCCTTCGGATATAACTAAGTGTCCTTCCTACATTAATATTTTATCGATCGCCACTTTTGAAGTATTAATATAAACTTCAAAAGAGTTGTAGAAGTCCAAGAGCTAAAGTATTAGCTCCTTTGTGTGATTGTTGCTTGTAGGTCATCAAAGGTATGTTGACAACCCTCAAACTATACCCATTTTTTATTCTTCTTGAGGAGCTCTGTCAAGGGTGCTATTATCTGGAAAAAAAATTAGATGAACTTTGATAATAATTGGATAGCCCTAAGAACGACTTAAGCTCAGCCACCCCTTTGGGTGTCAGCAATTCTTCGATTACCAACACCTTTTTTCGGTCCATTTGTACTCTTCCTCCACCAACCATATTGTTAAGAAATTCCACTTCTCTAGCACACTAGTAAGGTTCAAATATAGTTGGTGACGCATTAAGGTCTGTAATACCTATCGTAAGTGTGATAGGTGCTCATGCATATTTTGACTATATACCAAGATGTCGTCTATATATCCCACAATAAATTTGTCTAAAAATGGTCAGAATATCTGATTTATTAAGACACATAATAGCATGTGTCACATGTTTTCTGCTCATTTCCTCCCTTGATACAAACCTAACGGCACCCTCTCTTCAAGTCCTACTTTGAGAAGATCCTCACATCTCCTAGTCAATCGAACAAGTTCTTTGCATTTAGTATCGAGTACTTGTTCCTCGACATGATCTTGTTCAGAGCCCTATAATCTACACAAAGCCTCTAATTGATGTTCCCCATTGGGTGCCACTTACATCTTCATGTCAGTCATTTGTATCATGCCATATAATATCATTCCTCTAATTTTTTTGATGTGTTAATATATTTTTTTCATTGAGCTATGTATGAGCCTTGAGCACTCCACATGTACAACACACCTTCCATTTGCCATGTCTGGCCAATGCACACACCTTGTGGTAAAAATGTTGCTATTCATAAAACCTTATGCTAGTAATGTTTGAGGATTATGTGACTAGAACAAGAGTTACGATAGGAAAGAGACACAGAGGGGAAGGACATATATTCTCTAGCAAAATAAATTGATACAAGGTCCCCAACATGTTACTAGGTAAACATATCTATAAAGGTGAGATCGTAGTAGACTTCTAGGTAATTATTCTAATTTTTCAGCATCTACATCACATGTTACTTAAGCCTTTGCCTTCAAAATCACCTAAAATTTTCAAATAATATCTAAGGTCATATGAGTTTGAAACTACCACTTTCAAATACAACACACTATGTATGCATGTAAAAGTAATATTAGTAACTAATCTTAGCAAGTAAATCTTATGGTATCAAAGTAGATTCCAAGTCAAAAGCCGCCTAGATTAACATCATTTTCAATGAAGTTAGGTTATAAACATTTGATAAAGATAATAATCATGAATTTCAATTAGATTGAATTTTCTCAAGATGATTAATTTAAGTCCTTAAGTGTAATTCTAGATAACTAAATTATGACCTTCTTCTCTACTATATTCAATAAATAATAAGACAACTATTATGAATCTATTTGTTAAATTTTTAAAAAAATTATGATAGATACTATAGGAGGCATGCACAAATGTATTTAGTCTGCATTCAACATAGTGATTTCACACTAAGGAGTGAATAGATTAAGATGTCAACACTGAAGTAAGAAACCTTCTAAAAACTAATTCAACATGAAATACAAGAGTAAAAGAAAATAAAGAACTAGAGAGCAGAAGTATTCTTCTTCTTTAGAGCTATAGAATGAAACATTTCAAACTAATTGAAATCTATTATTGCACAAATGAAATGGTGACATGACTATTGTAACATAATTATTTAATTAAAAAAATAGATAGCATACAAGGTTCTAAATAATAAGAGATAGCAATGACCACTAAATTAGGATGTGAACATTAAAGTTAATTAACTCTTTCAATCACTGAATTGAAAGATGATCTAAATGATAAGGAGTAAAGTTCACATTTAGTGCATAACATTCTCTCAAAAAATATTTCTAGAGAGTAATAAAATGAGACACAATAGTGTAACATAAATGACCCTTGGTTTCTTCTTTGTTAGTCAAATGAAGTAATAAGGTCAAATAAAAGATGATAAGATCATATAAATCAATCACATCTATAATATGCGAGTTGTTTAATAGTACACTAAATATCCACATCTAGTTTTCTTAATAGCACCACATACAAAAAAAATTGAGTTAACCTAGGCTACAAGTCGCATCCTAATAAGATATAGAGGATAGGTTGTGGATGCAGCTAAGATCCCTAGCTAGCCAATGCCTAATAATCATACACTCAAATCTACAGTCACAAAGTTTCTATTATTGGGTTTTGGCCCACACTAGGATCAAGAATGAGGGTTTCATTTGTTCTTATATCCTATAGTTTAGAACCTATTTTAATATCTTTAACTTCTCCATCCTTTTATGATTCGTATGCCTTTTTAACTAAACAAAGATAAAATTCTAAGAATTTTTATAGTGATTCAACTCACTACCAATATTTAGCCTCCAAGAACAACTTTTTTTTTGGGTCCCACTAGTTATGAACATTCAATCACATACTACTGATTCAACTCTCACAGAATTTCACCTCAAAATTCTTTTCTAGATCACGACTATAAAAGATCAACAACGATTTAAGGTGACAACTTCCACAAGTGATTAAAATGATTCAATCACGAGTTTTCCCCACAGTAGATGCAAATTTTTTTTACGATTGATAGAATTCTAGAGATGATGTAGACTTTGAGTATTTCTAAATTTTCAAAGAAGAGGATGATGTATATTGACTTGTAATCATTGTCTTCTTCTTGTCGTAATGTTGATTTTAGATTGAATGATCTTTATGCTTTGAATAAACTAAGGAAATTTTTTCAATACTCTAGTAGTTCTTCTCAAATTAATGCATTCATGTAGTTTGACTTGACAACATGAACCTCACAATTTATTACTTAAATTTCCTGTGATGAAGACTTAATGTAAAGCTAGAGATTGGTGAGGTGAGAAGAATATTTTTTCAACAATTAATTTTATAAAATAAAATTTATTCAAATAACTTAGAAACCAATATGACATGTTATTTAATCAATTAAAATATCCTCTGTAGAAATCAATATGTAGTTCTTTTTATCACTTAATGTTCATATCTAAATTATGTAAGTTCATATTTCATCTATTAAAGATTCAATATATAAAGATCTAATATTGTTCGAACATCATTAACAATACATTATGATAAATTAATGATTCATGAATCAATTAATATTCAAATCACCTCAAATAAAATATGATTATCAAGTTGATATCTTTAATCCCAATATTTACAACCTTGATTAAAATGATTTAAGATATCTAAGATGATTTTATAAAGTATCTATTTTAATATCTGGAAAATCATGTTTGATTAAATATGCATCTTGAATTCAACTGATTAAGACAATATCAGAATTATTGAAAAGTAATGATCTAATGTCACAAATATATAATAGACCGAGTAAACTTTCCCACACATATTTTACTTTTTATTGTGTTATTGATTATGATATACTTATCATTACTTTTTACTATGATATATTATGTAAATATTGATTTTTTCTATAGTAATATACTTCATACGATAAAATCAATCAAATACATAAATTCAGTTTTACTAATCAGAAGTATGTTCAATAAATTATCATATAAAATTTATTATTATTTTTAAATTATATTTGAACACTTTCATCTTATGCATATTTTAAACAAGATATAATTTGACATTCTAAGTCTTGTTTGTCATCATCAAAACATCATACATATAATGCTCCAACATCTATATATGTTAAGTTCAAGAAGTGAGTTCAATATTTGAAGAATATTTACACATGCACATAAATATATTATAATTTCTTAAGAACATAAAGTAACTCTCCATAGTGAGAAAATGGTTATCAAAAGAATCCTCTACTTACTAGCCTATATCTTTTATAAGTTTAGAAGATTATAGAAAAATATGAAAGACGATGAGTGATTGTGACCAAGTTTCCTCTCTATAATACTCTAAATCATTTACAAACATATGGAAGGTCTCATTCCTTATGCTAGCCTTGCTTAAAGCTGAAACAACCAAATACATTCCTTGCACTTGTGCAAATAAAAATTTATCGAAACGTATGCAAATACTGAGTCTGGTCAAAATATCCATACTCAAGGATGTCAATCAGGGTACTAGCAGGACTATCATGAAACTAAGACATGGCCTTGAATGTAGGTCAATATTTCCATCACTCTTGCTAAAATGTTCCAAGTAGGATGAAACACTGGTTTGCAGGCCCCATTAGTGACATGGGGGATCTTTATAGAACTAATCATCTCATGATCTTTTTTGACCAAAAAACTCAATCACTCTTCACAGAAAAGAGTGGTCATATCCACAATGAAGTGATCACAAAACATTTGAGCAAGGCGGGAGAAAGTAGAACACACTTTACAAAGAGCAATCAAATAGTAGTTACAAATAAATTGAGCAGCCATAGTAGCAACTAACGATAATAATTTTGGTGTTAGAAATTACAAATAAGTTGAGGCCCTCAACTAAAGCAATGTTCTTTGAATTATTTATAAAATAGATGTAAATGACTCATTGTACAAATAAATAAACCCACACTCACAAAATTCTCTTGCTCATGTATAGGGTGAGATACAGTAGAAACTTACTATTTTATTACACATATGAGTTTGGGACAAATATAATATACAATCATATTAACACTATCCCACTATGATTTTATAGATAACAGACATCAAGAATATCCTAACTTTTGAATTTCTTATTATGGATGATTATACAAATTTTTTAGACTGTAGATGTTCCAAAGTAATCTACCACCACATTAGTATCACTATAGCATGAGTATCAAAGAGAGCTTAAAATGAGTTTGAATAGTCGAAATGCAATTTTAATCAACAACAAGAATAATACATTGTGTAGAGAGTAAAATGGATGATGTTCTAAATCTAATAGTTTAAAAGCATTATTTACATGGTAAATGCAATACATAGTCAGAATTTATTTTCAATGGACCTGTAGCATGTGACAATTTATTTTCATGATGCAAAAAAAAGTAGTGCAAAACCTAGGTGCCTGCCTCTGCAACTTATGACCCAAAACAAGCATACCCAACTATTATTGACGATTAAATTTCATTCTCATTATTAGCTTCAGTAGCAAATTTATGAATACCCTTTCTAAGCATCAAAGAAACATAGTTGATGCATCCAAGTAAACTTGTAATGAACTTAATTCAAAAAACCATATGAATCAAATCTTTCATAGAATAGCTCTCCAATTTATAGCTGAAGTCATGGTAACAACAGTCTTGCATCGGTAGTTTTCACTTCTTCTTTGAAAGCTCCTTGTCATGCAACTTTGTTAAGAGTATTCACATATATTATCAATTGAGGAATGACGTATTTTTCAGAGGTGACATTTAATAGGCTGATCACATGTTTAAGTAGGTGGATGGTTCTGCACAAAAAAATTGTATGCTTTTATGAAAATTAAAGGATTTTTCTGCTGAAGATTAACAATCCAGTGGAGATGATTCTGCACAAAATTTTAGCAATCTTTCCCAAAAATTAAATGATTACTCTGCTGACGAGTTTAATCCAATAGATAGTATCTTAATTTCAGAAAAAAAAAACCAGACCCTTTGTTACACGTGAAACCATAATAAAGTTTCGAAGAAATTTTACTGCGAAAATCGGAATGAGCATAAGGTTCTACTATAGAATATAAAATTTTATGGAAGCAAAAAAAATTCAGGCGTTTAAGAATTAGGATGGTTCTGCACAATTTTTGCAATCTTTCCTAAAAATTAAAGGATTTGTATAATAAATAGTTATAATCCAATGGAGAGTACCTAAATTTTATGAAGAAAAATAGTATCAGTCCCTTTGCTTACGATGACAAGATAATAAATTTCTGACAAAATTTCTCCTTGAAAATCAGGAGATCAGCATAAGGTCCTGCCACATAATATCCAGCTTGTCATCTAACTGCTGAAAGCAGGCCGATATCCAGTTGCCTAAGGGGGATGCCAAGATCATGATCCAGCGACTCGATGAACTCTAAGCGCACGTACCTACGGCAGGCAAAATGAGACCAACTGATTTGACCAGCACTCTCTCTGTCTCACTCTCTGTCTGTCTGTCTGTCTGTCTGTCTGTCTGTCTCTCTGTCTGTCTGTCTCTCTGTCTGTTTGTCTGTCTGTCTGTCTCTCGTTCACTCTCTCTGTCTCACTCTCTGTCTGTCTGTCTCTCTCTCTCTCTCTCTCTCTGTCTCACTCTCTGTCTGTCTGTCTGTCTCTCTCTCTCTCTCTCTCTCTCTCTGTCTCTCTCTCTCTCTCTCTCTCTCTCTCTCTCTCTCTCTCTCTCTCTCTCTCTCTCTCTCTCTCCCTCTCTCTCCCTCTCTCTCCCTCTCTCTCCCTCACTCACTCACTCACTCACTCACTCACTCACTCACTCACTCACTCACTCACTCTCTCACTCACTCACTCACTCACTCACTCACTCACTCACTCACTCTCTCACTCTCTCACTCACTCACTTACTCACTCTCTCACTCTCTCTCCCTTTCCCTCTCTCCCTTTCCCTCTCTCGCTCGCTCTCTCACTTTCCCTCTCTCTCTCTCTCTCTCACTCACTCACTCACTCTCTCCCTCTCTCTCGCTTTCCCTCTCTCGCTCGCTCTCTCACTTTCCCTCTCTCTCTCTCTCTCTTTCACTGTCCCTCTCTACTCGGGCCCGGGTCGCAACGGCTCCTCCCTTTTATCCCGTATCTCTAACGTCATCAATTCAAACGGGCTCTCATTTCCCGCGGAATTACGTTTTCTTGTTTTCGAGCGCCAGCGCGGAGGCTCCCTGTCATCAGTATAAGTAGCCGGTTCTCGTCTTCATTGGATGAAGCTGGGGGGGTTCTCGTTTGCGATCGGCACGGTCTCCACTTAACTCATCTGCAGACTACGAGGAGGGCTTCAGATCCCATCCCACGGGGGTCTCTTCTCCCTCCTCTACTTCTTCCTCTTCTTCATGGCTTCCTTTCTTGAGATCCGCAAGGATTCCATTCGAGCTGCTCTCTCCGTATAATCATTGACCTTGGGTATCATTCCGTCTCTCCCTCCCTGCCGTTATATGTATGCAATGGAGTACAAAGGGGACCCACCAGGGTTCTCTGAGGAGCGGCAGCGTCCAGAAGATAGGAAAGATGCGAACCTGATGAACGGTTTCGCAGGCAGGGGGGGTCTCCGGAGAGGAGGGCGCCCCCAGGCCTGCGGCACCCGCTGTTGCACTGGTGGAAGCAAGAACCGACGCGATTCCTTGTCCGTGTTGCGTGAGGACCTTCCGCTCAAAGAAGGCGATGTTCGGGCACCTGAGATCCCATCCGGACAGGAAACCCAGAGCGCCGCCCTCCCCCGGCGGGCCGCAAGCTGCTCCGGCCGGCGACCCGGCGGCGGAGAATGGTGGCACAAGCGGAGACACCAGGGGCATGGAGGTAAGTAAGGAGAACGGCATGGTCTCCGCAGGTGAAGCGGCCGCCATTCTCCGTTCCGACATCACGGCGCCGGGAGGCCAGAGCTCCGTGGCGGCCCGGCCATGCAGGAAGAAGAGGAGGGTGATGCAGCGAACCGGTCAGGAGGAGCTGAATGGTGGGGGTGTAGGAAGAAAAGGAAATCCGTGCCTCAGGGACGAGAGCCGCATGGAAGACGCGGCCGCCACCCTGCCGCATTTCAGGTCCGGCTTCACAGCATCGTCCACTGCGGCGGCGGAAGGCCATAGTTTTGAGGCTGCCCCCCCATGCGGGAGGAAGAGGATGAAGATGCCGAAGACTGGTCGGCCGGAGCTGAATCGTGACGACGGAGGAGAGGAGGGAAATTACTGCCAGCAGGGTGTTACCAGCGAGATCGAGGCGAGTTGTTGCAGGGGAAAGCGTCGGAAGGCAGGCGGTTCGGGGACCGGCAGCAACGACGAGGAGACCTCGGAGGGGCGCTGCGTGCACAAATGCACTATCTGCGGCAGTGTCTTCCCTTCAGGGCAGGCCCTCGGTGGCCACAAGTGCAAACACTGGAAAGGACAGAACAGCGCCGCCGTGCCCACAGCCGCCGCTAGGGTTCCGGGGAACGTACAGCCAGTACCATGGGGCAGAGCCATGGACATCGATCTGAACAGGCTGGCACCACGGGGCAGAGCCATGGACACCGATCTGAACAGGCCGCCACCACGGGGCAGAGCCATGGACATCGATCTGAACAGGCTGCCACCCTCGGAGGACGACTCCGGCAACGTACCAGGTACGATCCATGAAACTACTCTCTAGGGTGGGTTTCTTCCTCCTCTACGTAGGTCTTCTACCATGCATGATTTCCTGGCTTGCAGATCGCTCTCTCTCTCTCTCTCTCGATATATATATATATATATATATATATATATATATATATATATATATCTACGTTCTGAAGTATATACTGAATTCGGACAGACCCATCGATCGAGTTGTGCGAGACCTCCGTTGCTTCGAACTGCCCCTCCCTGCGCAGCAGCTGGTGCGAGCTGACTCCATCTCCTGTTCCAGAGGGAGCAGACGGAGGAAACGGAATCGGGTGGCAAGAGGAGGAAGAAGAAGCCGGTTCGCGGTCCTTCAAAGACTCCAATCCGGGCGAAGTTCTACCACTCGGCATGCCAGCCACAAAGACTCCATTTTTTGCTATTTTTTTTCATAGGCCAGATGCACTGATTCTCTCGTGTGTTCGTTCGCCGTGTGTTTTGGAAACCTAATCCTGAGAGCTGGGTCGCGCTCTCCTCCTGACTGACTCTGTAAGGGCTCATTCAGATGTCTATATGTTGAGCGAGGCTACGCCATGGACGATCGTCAAATTGCTTCGAACCAAATGCTCTTCAAGAACAGTCTAGTTTTATTTTTTTTCATTACAGGGTCTGGTCATGTTGGACCTGGCTCTACCCAGATAAACGAAGGAAAACATTCAGGCATGCCGAGACATATCGAAGGTCGGCGCGGTAGGGATGGCGTGACGGAGATGATTTTTATCTGGCGCAGCGATAGGAAATATAGAGCATGTCCATCTCTGCGTTAATTCGGGGTAATAAAAAAAGAAAAAAGATAAATATGCTTTTCGGGTCTTCATTTCCCGAACACAACCCATGAAAGAGATGAGAACATAGCTAGCTAGATAGATAGATAGATAGAGAGAGAGAGAATTGGAAATTAAAACTATAAAAGTTCACGCCCGGGCCGAGCCCCATTTCTCTCGGGCTCGGTCCACCCGGAGGAGAGAGAAAGGGTGGCGAGTGGACAGGTGATGATTTCTCCATATTACTCAGATTTTCGGGAACTTGAGAAATGATCGGCATCATCTCCGAGGACACTTTGGTCCAACTTTTATATAAAAAACAAGAAGATTCGCGGTGAGGTATCCCCAGCTGACGGTGCCCCTGTGCTCTCCTCTCCCGCGATGGCAGCGACGGCGGCGGCGGACGCGGTGGAGGAGAAGACACTGGTGGAGATCGTAGAGGCGTCCTCCGGCGAGCTGGACGTGGGCAGGTACGTCTCCTTCGTGCGCGACCCTTCCTGCGGGGCGATCGCCACTTTCGAGGGCACGACGAGGGACACCTTCGAGGGCCGCCGAGTGGTGGAGCTCCGGTACGAGGCGTACGTCCCTATGGCCCTCCGGCAGCTCCGCCAGATCTGCGCGGCGGCGAGATCCCGCTGGGCGGTGGAGCGACTGGCGGTGGCGCACCGCCTCGGCAGGGTGGCGGTGGCGGAGGCGAGTGTGTTCGTGGCGGCGTCCTCCGTTCACCGGGCGGAGGCGCTGGCGGCGTGCGAATTCCTCATCGACGAGGTGAAGGCATCGGTGCCCATCTGGAAGAAGGAGGTCTACGAGAACGGCGAGATCTGGAAGGAGAACCGCGAGTTCCTCGATCGCCGGGGGCCGCCTCCGGGTGACGGCGGCGGTGCGGAGGAGGAGAAGAAGAAGAAGAGGGGCTGCTGCGCGCACAAGGTGAGGGTGGATGACTAGGGCCCGCCCCCGCAGCATTGACCGGCACATCCCTCCGCAGCCGCAGGTGTTGGATGATGATCGACTGGGCCGTGATGACGACAGGAAGTCGGCTCTCTCTCGCTTGTAGCTCCCTTTCCCTATCCTCCCTGTCGAAAGACGAGGATGGGACGGGTAAATCAGGCGTTGACTTTTTATTGTCTTCTTGGTTTGGAGACGAGAAAGATGCCAAGGGCGCGCGATTAGCCATTAATACAGCTGACAATTCCACGGAATGAGCGGTCAGGGGATTGACACCTGTCCTTGGGTCAACCCGGAGCTTAACACGAGACGCCCCGGAGCGGACCGGGGGAGCTCAGCGCCTGGTGGCTCTGGCCGGTTTAGGCGCCGACGCCGCGCAGAAAGTCGAACGTTATCTTCTCGCAGAGGAGCGGAGCAGGAGTGGCGCCGAGGCGGCGCGGGTCGAAGCACGGGGATGAGCTTCGCTGCTGCTAACCAGGTCCGTTCGCCTCTCCCAGCCCGTCTCTCTCTCATCGAGGTACCTAGTTTTTCTCTGTGTTCTTCGCCGAGAAAGGTTTCCACGTCGCGCTGCCTTCGGGAGGTTGTGGGGTGTCTTCTGGGATTCCTCTCGGTGTGTTGGTGGTTCAGGCCCCGTCGTGCGTTTGCTGTTTAATGGCCCCCTCCGGCGAGAAAGCGGGCTCCTTTGGAGTTGGGTATTTCCCCCGCGATGGTCGTGGGGCAGGGAAGCGGTCGCCGGTGTACGAGAAAGGAAGCCGAGTCGGTGAGAACCCTGATTCCCGTTGCCTCCCTCGGGTTTGAGAAGCGCGAATGACGCCGAGAGGGTTGGGGATGGATGTCTAGAACCCCCCTCTAAGCTTCTTGTGAGATTTCAAGGTACGAGGGGAGGAAGTAATGTCGGTTCGCGGGGTGCTGTGTGAGACGTGTGTGAGACGTGCGTGACCAGCGAGGACATCAACCCATTTCCTCGGAGCTCGGCCTTGTTTAACGTTCTAGCAACCATCGCGCGACTGGTGGCAAATTTCTTCCTTTTGTCGGGCCGGTGAGAATGATGGGGATGATGACAAGGCCGCGGGGTAGAAGTCTTCCGGGGTGTCGTGCGCTGCGTGCGTAATCTGGTCGACAAGGCCGTGCATTCTTTTCTCGTGTTCGTGCCAGAAGTCCTCCGACGGATTCTTGATCTGGAAATAGATAAAGTGTTCTTGCGAGGGCTTTTCGAGCGTTGAAGGTCCCCCGTTGACGCGCATTCCATTCTTCATGTTTTTCTTGCAGGGTCTAATCAATCAGATGCAGAGCATTGCGGCTGTGAGCACAGGTACTTGGATGACCAGGCTATCTCGCTGTTTTCGTTCCCTTAATTTGAACCTAATGCTTGAATGATGTGTCAGCGTAGCACTAAATCTTACATCGTTCATAGCTGGCTGGATTGCCTCATGAGTGATCGAGCATTCTTCTGGTACCGCTTTTTGCTCTGGGCAATGTTTTTTGTGAGGGACATGACATCTGATGATTTAGAATCTGAAATGCTGATGAAAGTTGTATAAGAATAAAAATACCGTACTAGTCTCGGGTGGGGTGAATTAATGCCTCCAAAATGGGGAAAACCAGGACTCGAGGGAATGTGAGAGAAAATTCAGAAGGAAAACAGACGCGAGAGAACAAGGGAGCCCTACCAAATCGAGCTGCTCTTACCATCTGTTCCCTCCCTTTATCTAAGTCATTAGACCAAGATCATCGATGTGTTCTTGATGGTTGGGCTCAAGAAAAAAAATGTTCTTGATGTGTTTTTTGAGGATGGAGAAACCATCTGAGTTGTTCTTTTGGTTTTCTCCCTATCCACCACTGTAACAGCGAGTGGGTGGGAGGTGGAGGTAGAGCCGGGTATGCCATGAGATGCCTCCAGAGTTTTGGGTCCGATTGCAGTGGACCCCCTGCCTAAGCCAGATGTTTTTGTGCAGTGCCATTTTTCTTGCTCTAGCCCAGAACACCATAGCTCTAACCTTCAGGCCAGCATGGCTAACTGAGACCACTCGTGGTGAGTCTGGTCCTCAGAACCTTGAAACTTCATGGAATCCCCATTTTGAAGTTTCATTAGTAATATTCGAGATGCGAAGAGATGAGGTGCTTTGAGTGCTTTGCCGGAAGAAAAATAAAATAAAATCATTTTCAATTCTGATTTTTACCATCATTTCATTCTCCATTACTTATTGAACCAAGGGCATCTGACTGATGTTTTCTTGATGATCTATTTGGGCATTTGTAGCTCAATATCAAATCATTCTTCCTGTGAAATGTTAGTCTTTTGAATCCCACTATTTCTGTGGGTGTCGTTCTGTTCACCTCGCATATTTCCTTATGCTGCAAATCGAAGGAACCTTGAAACTAGTTTTCCCTCTTCCCAATGCCTTGATCTGATTATTGTTCTACAGAAATTAGTTATTGATGCTGCGGCTCCTTGTTTGATTCTCTTTATCTATATCGACTGGCCATGTAATCAAAAAATCCCACTGCGGACCTTAAAGAAGAGCGAGCACTTCCGTTGCAAGGGAAGTAAACATATCGGTAGGTGCAAGATCTTGGCGAACATGATTAGCCAGGAGTCTTAAGGATTATGAGCCGGCCACCCCCCCGGGTCTACTCTTCCTTTTCATATCGTCAGCTACTCTCACAGGACATTTATGTGGAACATCGCTCGAACATACCCACTTTTGGGATGATCCCTTGGAGATGGAATATTTATATGAATTTTCACATCCTACACTGAATCTTTGAGAGAAACCACATTCATGGGATGAATCTAACAATGATGATGGTGATTTTTAGAGCATTCTTGGCCAGATTCTGCATTTTCACCCAAATAATTCGTAACATATTCTTTCTTTGATCTGCTTGCATCGGTGCGGACACATTGGCCATCTAAGCTCTCTCTCTCTCTCTCTCTCTCTCTCTCTCTGTTTCGATAAGCTGCATTGTGCCATGAGTGCTTTAGTTTCTTACTAGCCCATAGACAGTCGCGAATCAACCCTGCCCTGCATGTTGTTATGCTGTTTAGTATATGAACTCAGTCTGCTTGGGGAAATTTTGGTCGCCATCGCTGACTAGTAAAATATGCTGTGCGCTAAAATTTTTTGGTCGATTGTTTCCATAAAGAGATGTTCTACTACACAGGATGCATCCTCCGCGAGGGAAATTGCCTTCGCTGCTCCGGAGTTTCGGGGAGGGCGGTCGTATCGTCCCGCCATGACGACGGCCATAAGCTGTTCCGTCGGGGTCAGATCATGGTGAGAAGATGTGATTCCAGAAGGAGGTCCTTTGCTTGCACCGCCAGCAGTAGCCAGAGAAAAAACCCAGACTTTTCGAGACAGAGCAAGGGGTTCTCCAGGGGCCGGAGTAGGCAGAACCAGGACAGAGACAACTCCGAGAACTCTGACGACGCTGCGGATCTCTTGACGTCTAAAAACGGGCCGCTGCTCTCCCTCTCAAGCAACCCAAGGCATCAGGCCACGGCGGCCCCGGGGCAGAGAGAGAAGGAGATCGTCGAGCTGTTCAGGAAGGTCCAAGCTCAGCTCCGAGAGCGGGCGGCGGTGAAAGAGGAGAAGAAGATGGAGGCCGCCTCTACACAGGGCCAGGGAGAGAGGGGCACCGTGGACTCCCTGCTCAAGCTCCTGCGGAAGCACTCTGTGGATCAAGGGAAGAAGAAGGGCGGCGGGGAGAAGAACTACGAGGTCGACCAGCCCGACAGGAACAGCCCTTTTGAGGACACGCAGAATTCGAGCTTCTTCGAGTCGAGCAGCATGGTCCCAGAAGAAGACGTGGAAGAAACTGTGCCCCCCCCTCCCTTTACCAGGAGGCCGCCGTCAAATTTCCAGCGTAGATCCCCGGTTCCCAGAGTGAAGTACCAGCCGGTTTATTCTGCAGAGGAGGTCAACAACGAGCCTGCTCCTCAAAAATCAGCAGCGAAGAAGAAAGCTTCCGCCCCGGATCCAGACGAGGAAGAGGAGGAACCCATCTCCTTGGACGAGCACGAAGCCTTCGACGACGAGCCGTCGGACGACTCCGACGCCGAAGACGCGGAGGAGGAGGAGGGTGGTGCAGGGCCGCCGTCAGAGGAGAGCACGGATTTGAGCTCGCTCAAGCTCTCGGAACTGAGGGCGCTCGCGAAATCCCGGGGCATGAAGGGGTACTCGAAGCTGAAGAAGAGCGAGCTCTTGGAGCTGCTGGCCAGCAGCGAGGGAGACCGATGAAGGTCCCGCCCGTTCCGTACACACCCGGGGCGGGGCTACTTACCCCACCCAAGAACTAACGCAGAGCTCCTCCTCCTCCAAGCCTTTTTTTTTTTTTTTTTTTGGGTGGTCGCATCCTTTTGTCTGTTGCCCTCGTTTTTTTGACTGTTGCCTCGGCGTCTAGGATCCAAGAATCAAGCAAAAGCCAGTGCCTTTCAGGATGTGATTGATGATATCGGTGCCAGTTCCGCGCTCAGTACTTCTTCCTGAGATCCTCTCTCCAAGATGCCCTCGAATTATTCATTATCTTGGATGATTGATTTCTGCGCTGATCGAAGAGAGTCCAAACCATTTTCCAAAGGGAAATGCCGGCAAAATGTAATCTCTCATCTTCAAAGCAGAAATAATTTACTAGAAAAATCGGAGGGTTAGCCGGGGGAAAGAAATTACTGGTAGACGACTCCTCAAAGCAACAATCCCTCTCTTCGCTCTTCTACTCCCCAGCCCGCGCCACCCTCCCCCCACCTCAGAGCGAGAGCAGCTAGCTGTCGTCCATCGCGTTGTCGTCTCCACTCCTCTGCGCCTTCGTTTCCCCGTCCCCGTCGCCGGATCCGGGCGACTTGGCCACCGAGTCATCCAGCGCCTCGAGGAAGGAGAGCACGCTGAACTTATCTGCAAGTGGGGTTCAGAAAAGCGTTCAGCTTGCTGGAGATGCATGTGCCATGACCCCTGCTTCATACTAAAAGTAGGTGCCTGCTTCATGTGTGTGTGTGTGTGTGTGTGTGTGTGTGTGTTTTGTGCTTCACATATTATGATGACACAACCGCAACATACATTTAGTAGGGTCGATTCCAAACTGAGTCAAATCAACTTGCCCGGTTCGAAGAACCTGTAAGCATCAAAGTCAGACAATCTGAGAATTTTATAAGAGCAACAGTCTGGTGACTGGGAGGTGGTTCCTCACATGGCTAAAAGTTTCAAGTTGCTGCCGAAAAGGTGGACTCTGGAGCACATCCATGAACTCTTCGGAAGTCCATGAACCCTGTGATAGACAAGACAGGAAGAGTTCTCTGAGAAGGGAGTCAACAATGATGAAATGCAAAAATAATGGATCTGACCAGCCAATAATACCTCGGGCAAGTGTGACACGAGCCTCTTTTCCAGGGTTAAATTCTCAATCAGCGGCAGAAGCAGATCCGGCTTCAGGATATCTCCTAATCCCAAGCCTAACATCCAATAGAATGAGGGGCAATGATCAGAGAGATGAAAGAAAACGGGAGAAGACAGAATTTACCTTCGTCAGGGTCTTCCGAAGCACCTGACATGATCCAAATGCATGCATAAGATGCTCAGAACATTAACAAAAACAATGATTCACTCTGCGAAAAGTGTAATATTCATCTGGAGGAAAAACCTGCGGGCTGAATGTGGCGCAATATTCTCTGCAAGTCAGCTAATTGTACACGCCCGGCTGATGAAGTTGCTTCATCTGCAGCAAGGTTTTGTTGAAGCGAGCTCCCAGGGCTGAGAAGTAAAGAAGAACATGTCAGATTTGGACGATTCAGGGTCCAACGGCTATACAGACACAGAGAGCAAATGACTTCGATCAAAAGTTTGCTCCATGGCATCATCATAGATACTTGGACCTTAAAAAATACGTGGCCGGAGGCTAAGGGCAGTAAAAGCAGGTTGGGGAGTGGAAGGAAAAAAGAAATGGTGTGAAAGACCACATGGTCAACAGGAGTCGTAGAACCAGCAGGCATAGCAGACGCCCAAGGTCATATCCAACCATCCGGAGTCGCTGAAAAGATTTCTTATTTTATTTTATTTTATTCAATTTATTACCTCGTTCTCCATTTACGCTCTAATCTTCCTTTACTTTTACGTTTATTCCTAGATTGAGAAAGCCAGAATGGGCTGAGTTCTGATCTAAACACCACGTAGATCATTTATGTTATGGTCCAACACTCTGCCAAAGAAAATGCAAAAACTAAGACAGTTGCATAATCCGGAGTTTCTGTTGACAGATGGGGCATTTAATCCTTTCTACAGAAAGAAATCATCTGAACAACGATGAATTCATCCCTATCTGTTGCGAAGTTAGCATCAACAAGACTATGGAAAAAATCAAATTGAAAAACGCAATGTATTGAGAATATGGGACGATTGTAATCGTGACATGAATAAACACTTTCGAATGAGAGAAATTTCCTGGCATTGAACAATGTGTCAGATGAATTCTATGATAGAAAAGAATCATGGATCAATGTATATGAGCTCTAATTTAGCATAGGTTGGTTGTATTAGCAGTGTATAGGAAATAAGCACAAAACCAAGTACGCATTAAACCAAAAACTAGGATGGTAATTAAAAAGTTGAAATAGAAGAAACAGGAATATGGCCTAAAACATTGCTCTCAGATTGTGAAAAAACAGGTTTTAAAAGAGACTAAAGAAACTAAACGAATATGAATTACAGCTGGTAGGACAAAGCTAAATAAAAAGTCCAAAATAGGAAAATGTCATTTGCGGGGCTGCCAAATGAGTAGCCATCAGAAATATGAAAGCACATCACAAGGGGAGCTAAGAGACAATTTAAACCTTACACAAAGATACGCACAAGAAAGAGGAAGAAAATTAAGGTGAAAGAGAAGAAGCAAATTGATGCCTCCCTCTCCTCTCTCACCTACCGTATAATCTACGTTATCTGGAAACCGTCTAAGGAACAGGCAGGACTAGCAGACACGCCAAGACAATGTCTCACAGACGTACACAGCCATTTAATTTTGAAAAACATGAAGTTGATGATTCCTGCCTCATCTTTTTGCATAAACTTTTCCCCCTTGACTATGTTTCCTTTACATATTCTCATCAAAATTGATAATCCAAACAACCCATTACTTAAGTTTCCCATAGAGTTTCATTTCTGATATCGTATACCATATAAAAGTTGACATGAAAAACATCAACTACAGATTAATACGCATGTCCCTAGATTTATCAAAAGCAAGTTTTTCTCCAGATAAAATATCAAAATAAAAATTAAATGAGAACAAAATGAATTAAACGTCCAAAAAGAATCTAATCGAATGCCTCTGTAAGATCCAAAAGATTATGTTATTTGCAAGAAGCAGTTTTATCGTATTCGTCATATGCCCATAATCCAGATGCTAGCAAAAATAGATATCTAGTGACATAAACCTAAACACCAGAAAATCTTAAACTCTCATTTCATTAAATCATAAAACTTAAAAGAGAGTAAGTGACCCGTAATATCTCACTGAATATTTCAAACAATAGCCATTATTTCCTAAGCAGAATCACACCTAGGCGATGTTTCATCATCTGCATTGTCTCCTGAAGTTTCAGGCACCTGCATAGGATCCAAAGCTTCAGTCTCTTCCTCAGCAAGCATATCTGAGAAAGTAAACAAAGAATATGGTGACGACAACGAAATAAATATTACACGGCTCTAAAGATGTAATTTTCAAGATACCTAAAGGTCTGTTGATAAAGTCATTGACGGAGTCACAAATTTCCATGTCTCTGTTAGAGTCTGGCTCCTACATATCTCTCAGATAACTAGAGGTTAGAACGTACAAACAACATAAACACTATCCAGCACGCAAAGAAGCCATTGGTACAGAAAATATGCCATGAAATTGAAAAGAAGCGTTCTCAATAAAACTAACTAACCTGCATCCAGAAGAAAAACTTCCTATTGTCTGTGCTGAACTTCAAAATGTACACTCTATCGGATGACTGGCTGACCTGAACAAGCAAAAAAACAAATAACAAAAGGACGTCTAAACTACAGGGAGAAAATATTAATTAATTAATTGAGCACAATAAAAGGTACCTTCTCAAAAACAGCCTCATCAGGGAGTATTATCTGATCCTGTAGCATCTTGAATTAACAGAAAACATGAACTTGCAATGATCATTGATACTCGGCAAGAATAAGGCTAATATTTCGCGATAGGAGAATAATGAACTTTGGATGAGATCAATAATGTAAAATGGTACGTGCCACCGAGCATATATATAGAATAACATCATACAGATTAGATAGTTCCATCAACTGAAACTTCAAAACTTGTAAGTAGATGACGAATGAGAATCGAAGGCAACAGTTAATAAGATTAAACGTGTTATATATAGAACAGGGGGGTTATAATGGAAACAGTTCCTGAATGTCAGACTGAAACAACTGGATGCTATGGAGCCGACAACTAGTATTTGAAAAAAAAAAAAGCATATTCTTTTGATTGTTTGATTATCATCCACATCTTGTGAAACAATATGACAGGGAAAAGGATACATCTTCCACTGAGTTGTGTCCCCGGTCAAGCCACTGAAAGTGGACAAGTCCTTCCTCTCCCTGGAATTTGTAAAGGCGGTGAGATATGTCCCACGTCATAAATCACGGCAAACAGGAAATGTTGAGAGCAATAATGCAGAATTAAAAAAAAGGCGTGATGCATGACCCCATGATCCTAGGTCTATCGTACCCTTCCTATCCTGACCAGGCCCTTGCGAGTATCAGGAATCACTCGAGTCCCATCAAGAAACATCTTCCCTGCGCGGAACTCCATCATAACTTCCTGAAATGGGAGACAGATTAAGTAGGAAAAAACGATATGGAGAGAGAAAAATAGATAACGCAGACAATTTCTTGCTCTAACTACTTGAAAGGAAAAAGAGAGAAAAAATCAATTATTCTCAAGAATGTTCTACCACAGTCACAGAGTCTCTCGCTAGTCTACGACAGGAGAAGCTCTGTAAGAGTCAGTTAGTTAGACAGTGGGCTGAGGAAATCATAAAATAAACAAGAAGAGAGCACGGAAATACCTGCAAGGGGGTCATAGCATCCATCGCTTGCCGCGAATTGACCAAAGGCCTACGCCCATATCGTCATGTCAAATAATTAGAAGAAAGTTCAAAAGGGCAAAAAAGGCTGCAAACACCGGCCCTGAGAGCGGCCTTCATAGTTTAACTTGTAGAACGCACATAGATGGATGAAAAGTGCGCAGGAAATAAGACACGAGAAGAAACAAAAGCCAATATGGAAAGAACCGTACGATATATCAGGATTGTGCGGGCACCAATTCACTAACCCGTGAAAAAAAACAGGCGGACTGGAGGTCCGTCCTCCCCTCGTGGAGCCCTAAACCGGGAATGGGACTGATGCAGAACTTCTCGACAACCGACGATCGCGAGTGATCCTTCGTCGCCGTCGGCCGCAGTTGGCAGCAGACACCCAGGGAAGAGGGGAGAGAGAGAGCGAGAGCGAAAGGGAATTGATTGGATGTCCGGGGGAGGATTCGAGCGCCTGCGACGGGCGAGGATGACGAGGGTTCTTGGGGTACACGACGACGAGGTGAGGGTTTGTCAGGGTTGAGCCATTTCAATTCCCTTTTGTAACGCGCCACGTGGGGGTCCGATTCTGCCCCTCCCACCCCCCAACCGATTCCGATCTGGGTCGCTCGGCATAGGAATCGGCGGCCCTTCTTCCACCCAACCCCCCCCCCCCTCACCTACCTCCAACTCAGTTCCCCCGAAGCTGGAAACAGAGAAATCGCAGCCAACAGGAAGAAAGAAGGTCTCCCCCTCCGCGGGAGAGGGGAGAGGGTGCCGCCCGTCGGAGTTTTCACGGTGCCCGTCACGGTAACAGCGGTGATCATGTCGGTTAATCGGCCAGCTCTGTTTCGGAGGTGCGGGTGACTAAAAGCGGAAAGCAGAGAGAGCGAGAGCGAGAGAGGAAGGACAGAGGGGAAGAAGAGACGGAGGGAGGGGCTTGCGGCTCTCCCGTCAAGAGCGGAGAACCCAGACAGATCATTGACAAGACGAACACGCGGATCTGGGCTTCCCCCCACCTCCCGGGGGGTCTATTCTTAGCTCCCTTCTCCTCCGTCGTCGCCCCTCCTTCCTCGTCCTTCCTCCCCGCCATTCCTCCCAAAAGCCATTCATGCCGTCGGATCCCACGTCTCCTCCGTCTACCAATGATCTTTAACTCTTGTGTACCTCCCCAACCCCCCTCCCCGTCCTCCAGCCCCCCTCCCCACTCCCCCCTCCGCCTCTAGGACAGAGCTGCTGCCGGGCAGTACAGCGCCACCAGACCCCGGAGCGCAGCAGCAGCTATGTCCGGCGAGGCCTCGCTTCTCGCTGTCCTCGTCTGCATTGCGGCAGCATCGGTAATGGCGGCGCCAGTGTCGCAGGCTGACGTGCTCCTCCGCTTCAAGGCAGCGACGAGGGACGACGCCGGTGCCCTCAGTGACTGGACCTCCGTCTCCAACGCCGGACCTTGCCTCGGCGGCAAGGAGGGCAACTGGACCGGCGTCCGCTGCGAGGACGGCAAGGTGATCAAGCTGGTTCTCGAGAGCATGACCCTCTCGGGTACGCTCGACACCGCGGCCCTCGACGGCCTCCCGGAGCTGCGCAGCCTCAGCCTCATGAACAACAGCTTCAAAGGCTCAGTCCCCTCTCTGCGCAATCTTCCGAGGCTGAGGAGCGTTTACCTGGCCTACAACAGGCTATCGGGGGAGATCGCCGCCGACGCCTTCTCTGGCATGGACTCCCTCTGGGCCGTCCACCTGGAGCACAACGCGATCACCGGACCTATTCCGTCGTCTCTTGCGGGGCTGCCCAATCTCGCCGAGCTGTCCCTGCAAGAAAACGAGTTCACCGGCGCCTTGCCGGAGTTCAGGCCCGGAGGGGGGCTGAAGCTCAACGTGTCCCACAACCTCCTGGAGGGCCCGATTCCGGCTAGCCTCACCTCAATTGACGCGAGCTGCTTCGCAGGTGAGAAGGAACGCGCAGACGATTATCAGTGTTCCCTCCAACTCCGGTGTTGCAGGCTGTTGACAAAAACTCTTTTCTTTTTTTCCTATTCTGGACGCGTTGGCATAGGGAACAAGGGTTTGTGCGGCGACGCCCTCGGCGTCCCATGCAGAGCCAACTCAGACACGTCGACGAAGACATCGTCAACGCCACTGCTCGTGGGAATCGGGGTGATGGTCGTAGTCGTCGTCCTGGCGATCGCCGCCGCCATATTCGCCGCCCTCCGGCGGCGGCGCCCATCGGAGGAGTACCAGCTGGGGCGGCCACCTTCGTCCGCGCGCAAGAAGTCTGCCTCCCTGGACCCCAACTGCCTTGAGCAGGGCTGCGCCGGCAGCAGCGGGAAGAGGAAGAAAGCGGGAGGCGTCAGCGGCGGCGGCGGCGGCGGCGGCAGGGAAGAGGAGCACGGGACGCAGCTCGTGATGGTGCAGGAGGGAAGGGAGAGATTCGAGCTGCAGGATCTGCTGAGGGCGTCGGCGGAGGTTCTGGGCGGCGGAGCGTTCGGCTCATCGTACAAGGCGATGCTGCTCGAGGGACCGACCATGGTGGTGAAGAGGTTCAGGGAGATGAACGGGGTGGGGAAGGAGGAGTTCCAAGAGCACATGCGGCGGCTCGGCAGGCTCTCTCACCCCAACCTTCTCCCCGTCGTCGCCTACTACTACACGAACAGGGAGAAGCTCCTCGTCACCGATTACATCCCCAACGGCAGCCTCTCTCATCTTCTCCACGGTAATAAAAATCCCAACTTTTTGTTCTCACAAATACTCAGTTCCATCGAGAGCTGTTGTCTCCTGAGCCGTGAAATTCTCCGATCGTCCTGAGCCGTTTCTATATGAGGAATTACTACCCGATAATTGAATTTTTCTAAAACAATAAAAGCGGAGATTGTTTGTGCGGGTGAAGAAAAAACAAAAATAATTTGGACACAAGCTTTTTTCTCATCTGACGTTACGAGAATTATGGATAATCTAGTCTTGTGATGAAAATCACCACGATTATCACCATCAAGAGCGATGAGTCCATTTCACCGAGTTTCTCATGCTCTCGGGATGAAGAATCAGACGAGAAAATTATGACATTTTACAGAATTAATGCTCAGAATATGGTGGGTGGATGATTCTGATTCTTTCCGGGTTACAATTTCTCCAGGAAACTACCGGAGCTCGGATCGTCCGGCGCTCGACTGGGCGACGAGGCTGCAGATCTTGAAGGCCGTGGCAAAGGGGCTCCTCTACCTCTACAGAGAGCTCCCCATGCTCACCGCCCCTCACGGCCATCTCAAGTCCTCCAATGTCCTCCTCGGAGATGCCATGGTCCCACTCCTCGCCGACTACGGGCTCTCCCCCGTGGTGAACCCCGCCCACGCCTCCGACGCCTTGGTGGCGTACCGCTCGCCGGAGTTCCTACAACACGGCCGCACCACCAGGAAGTCCGACGTTTGGAGCTTCGGCATACTGATCCTAGAGGTGCTCACGGGGAGGGACCCCGAGAGGCACGTCCAGCGGCGGCGGCGGCGAGGGGAGAGCAACGGCGGCAGCGGCAGCGGGTCCTGCAGCAGCAATGGGGCCGCGGAGCTGGCGGCGTGGGTGGAGTCGCTGGTGCGGGAGGAGCGGGCGGAGGAGCTCTTCGACGGGGCAATGGAGGGTACCAAGAACACACGGGGGGAGATGATGATGCTCTTCCAGATCGGCCTGGCATGCTGCGAGCCCGACGTGGGGGAGCGGTGGGACGTGGCGGAAGCCCTGAGGAGGATCGAGGAGTTGATAGAGGGGGAGGGGGTTTCCTCCGCCGTGACCCAAGGCGACATCCCCTGAGAAGAAGAATATTGGGTAGCAGTAACCGAGGCTACTGTCGTTGTATAGAATGGATATAGCTTGATCACACGGAGCTCAGAAGCGTCTTCAAGAAGAACAACTGTACGCCATCTCTCTCAGTAGAACTCCTATCAGAGCTCTCCGTCGGAGGGCCGGAGAAGGAAAGAGTGATCGCTTCTGCCGCGGGGAGCGCGACAAGAGTGGGGGTTTGAGCAGAGGATGCAAATACGGCAAGACCATCTCTTCTGCCACGACATAATCGGTTCGCGCGAGGTTTCACCGTTACAGGGGAAGGAAGGAAGCTCCATCAGCCACCTTTCTCGCCCATTCACGGAGGAAGATGGTCGACGAGATCAGAGGCGTGGAGTGCGGGAGGCGGAGTTGCCACAACCGTGGGAACAATTCTCTTGAGTGAAAATTCTCTTATTAATTAAAAATGTCGCAGTCAGGACTTCCCCATCTGGGTAATTCTCATACAATCTATAATCAATCAGAAGTTGGTCCGTAATCCCTGTGATCGAGTCGAACTGAGGAGGAGGAGGAGGAGGAGGAGGAGGAGGAGAGTTCAGTAATTCCAGATCACCTGGTTGCTTCTGTATTGTTTCTTCAGATACATGGAAATCAACGAGGAGTAGGCCCAGTTTCTCCGACGGTGTTTGGACTCCAACAGGGCCTCCGCGCTCGAGTGGAAGTCCCCCTTTCCGAAGACCTCAAACACCAGAGGATCTGTGGAAACTCTCGGTGGCCCGTTGAGGTCCATTTTCCTCAAGACGAAAGACAGGTTCCTCCCGAGCCTCCTCTCCAGGAACAGGTCCACCACGCACCCGCAGGTCACCAGATCGGGGAGGACCCTCTGGTGCGCCATGTGCTCGACGCTCAGGTGGAGGTCCCAGACCATGCACATCCTCGAGAAAGCCAGGGCCCGGATGTTGAAGGTGGTCAGGTCGGGGGAGAAGCCCGCCTCCGCCATCTCCAGGAACGCCCTCTGCAAGCTCTTCATCTTGAAGTTGGCGGCGTATGAGAGCAGCAGCAGGTTCCAGAGGAGGTTCCCTACGTTGCGCCGACCGAGGCCCACATCCCTGAGGAACTCCCCGAGAAGATAGAACTTCCTCTTGGAAATGTAAGCCCGCGCCATGGACCTGATCGCCCCCCTCTCTATCAGGAGCCTCGACCTCTTCAGCCGCCCGTACGCGGTTTCCATGTCCGACAGGGAGCCGAAGGCGCTGTAATACTCGACGAAGGCGTTCCCCGTCAGGGAGTCTATCTTGATCCCTTTCGAGGCCATCTCCCTCAACATTGTCTCCATCATCGCCAGCTTCCCTGCGCTCCCGAAGCAGGAGACGGCGGCGGAGTATATCTCCGCGCAGAATTCGTAATCCCTGGATGCGACCTCGCGGACGACCCTCGCGAGCTCGTCGAACTGCCCCGCCCGGAGATAGGCGTCCATCAGACGTAGCACCACCTCCGCGCCGGGCACGACGGAGCTGTTGATGATCTCGAGCCACAGCGCACGGGATTCCGAGAACAGGGCCTTGTCGGCGTAGAGCAGCATCAAGGACGGCATCGTCATCTCCCCTGGGGCGAGCTCCACATCACCAGAGCCGCCAACGCCGCCTCTCTTCCGAATCCGGCACCCCACCATCTGCTCTCAGGAACAGACACGCCGAAGGTCAGGATCACGACGACCTCCCCCACCTCTCCACCTCAGGGGAAATACAACAAACACCTCATCTTCAGAACACGGGATCAGCGCTTGAGGCCTGCAAAGCCCCGGGCTCTACAGAATTACAAGCGCCATTGGAAGAGACAGAGAGAAGGTACGATCACGAACAGGAGGAGAGCTTCCGAAGCCGCGGCTGATTGGAGTGTTCGGAATCGTACCTCTCGGTGGGGAGGATCACGGTGGGCACTCGCGGAACCACCGTGCCGCCACCGAGTGAGCACCGGCGGAGCTCCGCCGGCCGGAGCAGCCCTGCGGGAGGACACGGAAGCCAGGACGCCGGAGAGGTTTACGTGCATGGCCTCCATCTGAGGGCTAGTAAAAGGAGAACGCCACTCTTCCCTCGGGTCAAGGACTCACCGCGGCCCCCGATTATGAAGCCGTCCCCCACGCTCGGATGGACACATTTACAAATACAGTGTCTTTTTTTGTTCAGGGTCATTAATCAAGCGTGTTCCAGAGTCAACCATGGCTGTAATAAGAGAGGACGAACATCCATCGCTCGAGCCCTAATCGACTTGATACTCTAACGAACAGATTAGATGATGAAGAAGACAATCACTAGCTATATGACCCACAAGAATGGGTTTCCATGCATGACCGCGTTAGGCGTCTGGAACTTATTAATAAACGAACATTTGAGAAGCCCGAAAATCTCGATCATACACTTTAGGGAAATAGAAGACCAAAAATCTCTAGATAGTGAATTGAGTTTGAGATAAATTGTATTGATAATGACTCTTTAACCAGTTTTTCCATTCATTCATTCCATACTTATAAACTTTCTTATGCTTTGGTTTGGAATCAAATAATCCTCGTGTCCCACAATAATCCTTGATTCTATCTTTAAGAAAAAGATGGGTCCCGTGATATTGAAATACAGATCTCAAGTAATACTTGTTATTAACTTGAACTTGTGAGAATGTGTAAAATACATATGCTTTGAACCCAATAAGAAAAAGGAAGATTAAGGACTTGGAGGGGCATAGTCCACTTTGAAGATGGCCATCGGAGGAGTGCGAGGCTTTCTCAATCGAACAAGCTGAATGCCATGTCTTGCAAGAAATAATGCCCAAGGACTGAGATATCATGGGATCAATAAGAGTGATTGGTGCGGTTGACAAGAGCAATCATGGGCTTTATCCTTCTCTACTTTATCCTCTTTTTTGGCTTTGGCAGTAGTTATTCAAAGTTTTCTTTTTCTAAATCTACCATCTATGAGTTGCGATCCAGTCACTATATAGAAAGCTGAGAACTAAAAAACAACCTATGGTCATCAGTACATTGGTAGAATAACAAGATGATTTTCAAATTTATACAACTATTTTTAGATGTTGAAATGATAGAGATACGTTTGATTATAAAGATAACGAGTTGAAGAAAAACCAAAGTCAACATTGAATGAACATTTTCATTCGCATCATTCACTCAAGTTTTAGAAGAAAATCCTACCCAAACTTTCATAGTAAAGCAACCACATGTCTTAAAGAGAAAATCGAAGCTTCATTTTACTCTTTCATCTGTGGTGATTTACGAGTCAATCAATTAGGTTGAAGGTTGTCTCTCTCCATCAAATCCTAAAGTAATTTAGGTAGTGAATAGAGAGAGGGTTAAACAAAGGCACGAAGTGGTAGGAGCTGGAATCTATCTGTAAAAGGTGTTGTTATTTGATAAGTATTATGTATTGATTTAGACACGTGGTGTTGGGAGTCAAGACATGCATGTGAGGGGTGAAATATCTGCAAATATCAAATAGTGGTGTTCGGGAGAGTTGAGCTTGTAAAGTTAACTATATTTTAAGAAGAAAATAGTAAAATCTAGTAAGAAAATCCTTCAAGATTAGATGTAGTCTAAGGAAAGGTAAACTCATACAAAAAATCTATGTGTTTATCATAATTATAAGTAAAAGAAAGAAATCAAAGTGATACTATGATGAAAATAAGAGGCTTAGGTGAATTTTCTTGTAGATTTGATGCAATATTAGAATATGTGTCAACACATGTACACACAGGAAAAACATTAAAATATAATTAAAAAATTATAAGAAATTAATTCACCCTCCCCCCCTCTTAGTACTTAGTCATATCAAACCCAACAACATTCTCTTATCCAAGGAGGCCAAATCAATTATAAGTAAAATGATCACTATATTTGTACTAAAATTAGTTACAAGTGGTGGAAATAATGAGATAACTATATTTAGTGAAGATTACAAAAAAATTAGAATGTAAGAATGTTCCATTGAAAATATCATATTAAATGCATATTTAAATAAAAAAATTCTAGGACATAAGTTTAAAATACTCAAAACTATATGTCACTATGTAATATAGTATGGCCCACACTAAATTCTCCTTAGAATAGAAAGTGTAAGGAAATCAAGGGTGATTGCTAGGCTTAGAATCTATCCATGTTGTTCAACAAAAGGAGTGACAATGACAAATGTCGCACCTTATGATCATGTGATGCTCATAACATATACATTTTGAGTATAATGGTTCTGGTTATCAACACCACCTCATGCATTAAAATTCCACATTTAAAATTCAGAGGCTATAGTTTTGAGTATTCACTACTTGTAATATTTGGTCACAAAGGATTTTGAGTGAGACTCAAGAGCACAAGAGCTCACACTTACAATAATCTAATGAGTGGAAGCATTTTATAATAAGTGTGAGCTCTTGTGCCATCTACACAAAAAGATCTTATTTTACTAGCCATCTCTAGCTAGAAAACATTCAACTTTGCATAAAATTGATAGAATATAGTTCTAGAGAAAAATAATACCTTAATAAGTGTTTCCACTTTCTCAACTTCATAAAACTAGATGAGCAACCATAAAAGATAAAATGAAGTCAATCCTAAATATTCTACATATTTTGTCAGACATCTTCTAAGGATTAGTAAAATATTTATAATGATGTAGATAATTTCAAATAAGAATAATGATATCATGATTGAAAATAACTATTTTGCCATAGCCTAGTTTTTTGTCATCAATGTATAATTGAGTGTAAAGTTGATACCGTAGGACATAACTAAATGAAAAATAAGCTTTATTCATGTGGATAAAGTTTGATAATCAAGGTCTGAAGTCTAGGAAGAAAAGTCTAAATGATGAAGTCATAAAATAATAGTTTATTATGTAGACTCAAAACAAAGGTGAATAGATGTTAATATTGTAAGTATGAAACTTATTACAAAGATGATCAAGCCTACTAGGAAGATAGCTCCTTAAAATTGTAGATTATATTAGTCAGTACTTAGAAGTCTCAAAAGATGTCTAGTGCTTACTATGATTGTAGAGGAATTTTACTCACCCTAAAATGAACTTTATAGGTACTTCATTTAATACAGAGTTGAGGGCCTTGAATATGATGCAAGGGAGTGATTGCCCTTGAATAACATGCAAGTGGGAGCGATGGGCAACCTTTGTATGTATATATATTACTTTTAGGCCTGCAAATACCGATGTTTTTCATGAAAAAATGACAATTATGATAAGAATATCAAGACTATATTTGATCAACTTTCATGGTAGTGATGACTTTTTTTAACCATAAGTTAAAAAGTATTTGAAAAATTCAAGCAAGAAAATTGTAGAATTTAATATATTATTTTGTGAAAGTTGTGAAACTAATACACAATGACAATGGTAGTAAGTTTACCTCTAAAAATTTTAGAGATTTTGGCCATTCATATTATTATATTCTGATTTTTTGACATCTGAAATGTAATGAAAAGTGAGTATATGAATCATTAATTGAATGTTGTGGAAGAAGGTGAATTGTTTTTGGAGAATTGTTGGTCCCAAGGTAGGCTAAAATAGGAATTAAGAGGGGGGGAGTGTATGGTTTTTCTAAAGAATTTTCACACATTTTTTGTTTTACGATTATTTCAATAAGTTTTGTAAATAGTGGGTTGGCATAATTAGACTTGAGTTGACACAAAATAAAATAGATCAACACGAACATGTTTAGGTTATCACAAATTGACATAGGTTTATCCACTAATGTGACTTGATTGGATTGACACAATAAGTCAACATGATATTTTAGAGTATGGAAAATACAATGACTTATAATGATTTGGTATTTTCTTGATTATATCTACTTTCTATGGGTTCTTACCCTTGGTCTTTACATGATCATAAAATCATTGATACAATAAATATCACATGTGTATCACCCCACTAATTGAGCCCCTAAGCATAAGCACTCATCAAATTATATTCATATAAATAATGAAATTCAAAGATCTTACAGTTTCAATCTAGATGTTTGGAATAGTGGCCCCTAGATATAGTAGACAATTGATCACTTGAGAAAGACTTGATAAAGTAGCATTTACATCAAAACTTTGATAAACTTTATTATAGATAAAGTAGTATTTATTATAGATAAACTTTATTAATAATGGATAGGTTATTTGAAAGATCTTGAAAAAGGGTATTTATAAAGTCTAAGAATGTGATCATTTTGATTCAAATCTATACATTTGACTGATTAAAGATTATGTAGGTTGACACAAGTTGACTCAGGTACAAATTGCATAGTTTTGTTGTCATGTTGATTACTACTTTAATTGGGATGTGTTATGGTAAGATTTTCTTTCCAATTCTTTGATCTTTTAACATATCAAGATACCCTCCTTTGTTAGAGATCTTATAATATTTTACTATGTTTAATGTCATAGATTTCTTAGAGAAAATCTCATCTTTTCTTTGTAGATATTTGGTTTGTTTTTTTTGTGTCAATATGCTTTCTCTTTTTAGCTTTCGATGTGTCAATATGTGTGGTTTACATGGGTTAACATATTTTATCTCTCCTTAATTTTTAATTTTAAAATTTCCTTATTTTGTTTCAAGTTTTTTTATCATGTGTTTGATGATGTTTACCATATCTAATGATTTACATCTTGAC